AGGAATGGCAACGTATAAGGGGTATCATGGGCGAAACAATATACACTCTGTTATGTCCATGGTGCTGTTCATGTCTATAAGCGACGGTTACCGCTTTCCATCAGGTGGGCCGTCAGCTTGCTATTCTAATTTGCATTAAAAAAGATAATAAGGTAAAAGACTTTCCTATATACACAGTCTCCTTCTGACGTTGCAAATTTTGGAAACCATCGCCTAGTTCTTGTGGCTTCCAGTCACGTCTACGTGTTAATGTAACATCGATTGCAAGATGTGTGGAAAGCGAATGTGTCTAGGTACTTTCCATTGCATGGTGCTTAATGGTGAGTCATTTCCAGGCAACTAGCAGACTACGAAGCATTAGATTTGCAAATGAAGTTTGAATCTGTCGAAAAAAAACCTAGGTTTATAGACTTCTGAGTACGTATATGGATCCATTGTGTCAGCTTCTAGGAGGGAAGTCGTTGTTTGTTGAGGCACCATTATAAGTATAAGGTAGATTATAAATACATATAATTTATTTATAATACTAATATAAATAATTATGAAAAATATAAATTTTTCATCGCATAATTACATTTCTGTTTTACCAAAGATTGATTGGGAGAGAATACTATATAGCATTAAGTCCGCCTTTTATACCAATTATTTTTTTTAATGTGGTCAGTAAAGAATAAATCATCATGTAAAAATCGTCTAAAACATATTCTGAACAGTGCACAAATCAGCTTCGCAAAGTCTACCTCCCCATCAAAAATAGAGGAAGAACAATTTATCAAATAAAGAGTATAGGCTTATTAAAAGAGGGGCCAAATGGGGTGTGCCCACTTTAGAACTTTAGGATGCAAGCATTTAATCCGTTTTAATTATGCGCAAAAACTTATACGATAAAATAATATTAATCCAACCCACCCCTTCTGCCCCTTCCCACCGTCTCCCTATGAAAAATAATCTTAATACTCTAACGCCAACGGACCCTTTCCATTAAATGGACGTCCATTTTCCATTCCTGAACTAGGTGAATTAAAAAAAAATATCAATTATAAGAGTTGTGGCTTCCGGTATCAGGATTTTCTAAAGCACCTTTGCAGTCAGTCAGTTATGATAGTCTCTAACATGACTTACCGGAAAATGACTTTAGGTGGTTTGATATGAATATCTGGAAACCATCATGGTAATTTTATGTCGAATTCATCATGGTGGGCCAACTAACCTGTATCCATTCTCACCTATCATCTTCCACTGGTGCCCCGCCAGTGTATACCGAAAGCGCGGACGGGGTTACCATTCCACTATCACTTATTAAAAAAAAATCTTACTGTGTTTGCCGTTTCCGACAATTGTTTCGACTTCATTCGAAAACACGAAAAGCAAGTTTATAAATTTCTTTATATGTTAAGAAATTAACATAAGTTTAAAAAAAATATTGGATTGAATCGGATTGATACGAAATTCAATATTAGAATCCTTGGACAATCCGTAGATAAAAATTTTAACATAGTTGTCACCGCTATCATAACTGTTGTGCAAGTCAGATGTGAGATCCGTTATTTTAGAATTACCAAAAAAAAAATTAAACTACTACCTAAATATACCAAATATACCCACTTATCGGTACAACATCTTACATTATTCAACAATTATTGCTAAAAGCATAGTAGACAAAACTGGTTCATTTATTTAAATTGTTCGTGTTGTAAACGTAACCTCCATTCAAGGTCACTGGTTTTAGCGGGAACATGACAAAATGGCCGACGTACGTCACAAAATGGTGTACCGCCGCTAAACGAGAGGTCACGATGGGACAAATAGCATGATAATTAGGTATATTTCACTTAAACATGTATTTTACGATGCAGTTATTATAATTGGTTCTTTTATTCTTGCTAATATGGTACATGAAAATATACCTACTTGCTGTAATTTGACGTCCATCACGCTTGTGGAGCACACAGCTACATATAATTGCATATTAAGGCGCTACATCAAATTTTAAAAACGTTCCAGATACAATTTATCGATTAGGGTATTCTAACTTGTGCAATTATGCTTTATTGTATTCGTCACTTAGAATCAATTAAGACAATTTTGTTAAAAAAGGGAGAATTAATATTGCAACTATAATTGCCTACATACCAGCGTCGCCTAACCAATGGATATTGGAAGAGAGAAGGGAGATGGAAGACGGCAGAGGGAAGAAGGGAGTGTTAGTAATAAGGTCGAACTGCCATTGGTAGTAATATACTTTACCTCTAAGGTGGACTTCCACGCGCCTTTCCTTTGTTCTTGGTGAATTTGTCACGATGGGCCAACATAATTGATTTCATCTTTACTTATCATTATACACTATCACTCCACCAGCATTGATAGCATCATGTACATGGGTGTACCTCTTTAAAACTACCTGGTGCCTACCCCATATTGCGAGCCGGGCCTTCAGTAATACGCAAAGAAATGTCTTAAAGTACATAATGTACTTAAGAGACAAGCCCCCTACAGGTAAATAATCTTAAATACGCGAACGATCATGAATACAATGTAACGTCTATGACACATGGCCCTTTTGAAGACTAAACTACTGTACTTATTAGTTCACAGATTGATTAAAAGAGAATATTGGATTAAATCCTAGTTAATTCGTCACCATAGACCGAAGACTCTGACCAATTTAAACCATAACAGTAATAATATTGGGTACTGTAACTCTTATTCTTTCAAGAGTTAACATTGCGTCACTTTTGCCATTTGTCGTTGTGAGCATTCATGAGCTACGTTAATAGCATACCATCAATAGTAAGCTGTTGATGGTAGGTAATATAATCAAGCACCGTCACGTTTGATTATCTCTTGCTACCCTCATTGTTTTGTTAAAAAACTGCTAACTTAACCTATATCTTTTTATGAAATTCTTTGTCATGTTAGAGACATTTTTAAATTATACCCACGTGATAATTAACGTTCTATGACTAATATAGAAACGTAATATTGTCATAATGTTTAAATAAAATATGGCACCGGTCAATAAACAAACTTTATTTGTCTCGGCATTTTCCTGAACGGCGCCATTAATTTATGCGTGGTATCACATTAAATTCATGTGTATGTAGAATGGGAGGCATCGGCACTTCACGCTCCCGATTTGTCCATGTACAATGAGTGGCCGGACAATCAACGGATTCCATATACGACAACCTTATTGGTCATAGACACCATTCGTTACGGGTTTTTGGTATTGTTTATGCGGGTCACGCTTGCCGCCAAAGACTGCCTCGCCCAGCTCTGAATAGAAAGAATCATGAAATCACGATGATAAAATTTGTGTTCGGCCTGCCAGCGAGTAGGTATGTTATTGTACGATGAATTTATAATACCTTCCAAGAATGATTGTCGACGAATTCATGAATTGCATATTGTTTCTGATAGACACACATTTGCTTGGATGTGTGGTTCGTTTTGCCATATGGAGAGTTTGTACAAAAGTCGTCGGCGTGTACTTTAGCTCTACCCTTAGAATAAGTATGTTACTCGTATACTACATCTACGGTACCACTCGTGTTTCAATTTCGCACAGCTGTTTTATTTTTATGGTTTGAAGATTGGGATATGTGTCAATGAAATTATAGAGTACGTAGGTATAATATCACAGTTCGGAGATGAAGAGATTGTTAGTTATCCAGACTACTAGTCTCATTGTTAACAATATACCCTATAAAGTTAACCTCCAAGTGGTTCCGGCTGGAAACCGTTGTGCTTAATTCTAGTCGTATTCATCACGATAGACTGCTATTCATTCTCATCTATCATACCTCACTAGTGCACTGCCAGAGTATATCGTTAGCGCAGGCAAGGTTACATTAAAAAGGTTAGATTAAAAAAATAGCCATTACTTAATAGCCAGTGCTTTTCAAAATCTAAAAATAAAGATTCCTGATGATCAAGTCCTAGAAATCTATTTAAATTTAAATCTATTTAAATATTAATTGAACTTATTGGGGAAAAAGTATTTTTAGTAAAGGATATACTACGTCTACGTCAACCGGTCTTAGCTGAGTAGAACTGCAATTTGCTGCTGAAGACCGTCAAAATGGAAGACAGTTCTGCAAGCCCTATGACAATGATTAAGCATTAAAAGAAGATATTATCATTATCATTGTCTCTCACTGAGCTAAATGATCTTAACACGTGATAAAGAAATAATAATTCTGCCTGCAAAAGGATTCTTAATTTAATAATGTGGTCAAATAGCCCCATTACTAGTAATATACACTATCAGGTCGACATCCACGTGGTTTCCTTTGGAAATCATCGTCGTAAATTCTAGTAGATTTTGTCAGGATGGGCTAAGTAATCAGCTTTCATCTGTAATCTGTCATCTCTCACTGGTGTACTGCCAGGGGATATCGATAGCGTCGGTGGGGTTACAATTCTATTATAATCCATTAAAAACATCCTACCTATGCTTTTTGGTAAAAAAAAAAATACCCATGAGGCAGCAGTAGGATCGACCCTTGCCACATTCTGATCGCCTCTTATACTCGATGGAATGTGAGCAAATCTTTTCTTATTCCTGCTATTATGTTTGTCAATAAATTAAAGTTTGTTGCACAGTAACAATCGGCTACTGTAAATGTATTTAGGGGGGTTTAGACCGTGCTCACCACAAGGGTGTAGCAACTTTCACAAAAACATGTCTTAGGAAATGTATTTACCTTTTTAAGAGGATTTATTTTACGCACATCCTCGTACTAGTGGTTCATTATACTTTTGAGATAAAACGGTTTAGTAAATCGTTTTTATAGAAAAATAGATTATTTATTGCGAAAGCAAATACAGCAAAAACATAATATACCTAATTTAGATTAATACGTCTAGATATAACTCAAAAATTACAAATGTATAACGCATCCGTAATATTTCTCAGATGTCACTTAGAAGTCTTACGACTTTCAGATGTCACTCAGCAGTCAGTTAGTTGTCAGTCATAATAAATCGATCGAATTGTCACAGCTGATTATGTCAAAAGAATTAGACCTTTAAAATTTTGTTTTGTATGAAAATCAACATATAAATTCTTATCATAATCATAACAAGGTGTTTCTCGCCACATTTAATGATAAAAATTTTAAATTAAACTGACCAGTGTATAAATTTAAAGAACAATGCACGATTTCACGAGCATATTAAACATTATATTTATAATAAGCGGCGGTGTGCTAACTTGTGTTATTTTGTTCATATTCGCCAAAAGGCAAATCACAAGATTTGCTCTTAGGTCCCGAAGAGGGCCACATGTTTCCATAGGAACTGATGCTAAAAAAGTAAGTGTATCACTACCTAAACTGGAAACTGTTAAGAAAGTAAAAAAAAAGATAAGATAAAATATATCTATGGCCAATTTCTATATACCATTTTTTTTCGCTACAGAATTAAGGTACATTATATAGTCAATACAGTAAAATATAACTTAATTCTGATTACCATAATAACTAATAATAAATGTTCATAAAAAACCTGATGGAAAGTGGTTATTGTCACATATAAACATGGAATTATTTATAGTTAGTAATAGTTACTATGTTCTTGTTATTTCAGTGTTTAAAAAAGGAGATAGAGCGTCGGATTGAGGCAGTGCCACGGATTATGCACGAGCCCAGACTATTGAGTGCTGAGCCCTCGCACTACATACTGGAGCCCCAGCAGCCATACCATTACAGGTTCAGAGCAGTGGATGATGTCAAAACACTCGGTAATTAATAGGTTATTTAAAAACAATTAGTTTTTACTTGCGACTTTGTCCTAATGATCAGGATATTCATTGATTATAATAAAAAATAACCTATATATACATAGTTCTCCATTCTATTTGTGTATATATCAAATATAATTATTGGTTGCTCAAGTCAACAAGTTAAAAAATGTTTATGATGCTCATGATTAAGGATCTCGAATTGATCCTGAAACTAGTCGAGCTTTCTTTATCTAATTATGTGTATGTTAGACCAGTAATTATTACATTAAAATACCAACTCACGTAATTTGGGTAAAGATTAATCAATAGAAGAGTAGCAATTTATCATTCTTGCAAACATTGTTTTGACCATATCTATATTTTCTTATTGAGATAAAAACTATACTATCTGTTGGTGTCTTTAAAAGTATTTTATAAATTGATTGAGCATATTCAGAAATTATCCTAAATAAACATAAGGACATGTATTTTTTTATATTTTAAGACTTAGCTGTCCAGACCTTAGGTTTAACAAATCTTTTTATCAATTGTCCTACTGGCATATTGGCATTACTGCTTGCAGACTTTTCAGACTATGACAGTCACTTTATTTCTTCTGTGGATATCCACATTCTGAGTTCTTTCACACCATAAAACTCTAAGCACTCTCTTCATAGTTTGCTTAATATGTACATCCTTTGTCACTATATAGAGTTGGCCAGAAGAGATCTTTTTAAGAGATAAGTCCACCCTTTCTCATAAAATTTATAAACTGTCTTACCTATATAATTTAAAAATGCAATAAAGAATGTAAAATCAATTGTGAATTATTTCTACTTATATTTGTAAAAAATAATGTCTCATATTAATTTATTTTGCTTCACTATATAATTTTAAATGTTATGTTTTATATACTGTTAAATAATGCATGTACTTTATTTATAATTGTTCCATATATTGTATGCTCCATGTCCTACTATACGAGGTTTGTCCGGAAAGTACGTATAAAAGTTTTTTAAAAATTTTATTTTACAATTATTCAGGTAAATCAATTTTATCCCCTTCAAAGTACTCCCCCTGTGACATAATGCACTTGTGCCAACGCCGTTTCCACTGTGAGAAGGCTCCTTGAAAGTCCTCTGGTTGTAGGTTTCTCAGCTGCCCCGTCGTAGCTTTTTTTATCTCATTTATGTCCCCCAAATGCCGCCCCCGAAGTACCAATTTGGTTTTTGGGAACAAGAAGTCACACGGGGCCAAATCCGGCGAATAGGGGGGGGTGTTCGGTCACCGTAATGGAATTTTTACTCAAAAACTCACGGACAACAAGAGAGGTGTGGGCAGGGGCATTGTCGTGGTGAAGAATCCAACGCCCCTCTCGCGCCAATTCTGGACGAACTCGTGCCACACGAGCTTTGAGGCGTCTGAGCACATCGACGTAGAATTTTCCATCAACTGTCTGGCCTGGAGGGACGAATTCTTGATGGACAATCCCCCGAACATCGAAAAAAACAATCAACATTGTCTTGACATTTGAGCGGGATTTTCTTGATTTTTTTGTTCGTGGTTCCCCGGATGTCTTATCGAATTAGATCGGCAAAAATTTCACGGCCATTCTTGCCGAGTTTCGAGAGAAACTTGATTACGACGCGCTGCTCTTCAACGGAAGCGGGCTCCATGCCGACGGGGTTTCGTTAAGAGGTAACTTCACAGATGGCGTGACAAGCCAGTTCGCACCGCACGGCGGTCAGACCAGAACTGAAGCATTGTTAGGGACATAAGGAAGGGGTCCTGCGCTTACCTGGCCTCCCCACTCCTCTTTCTCGCATTCCAGAACACTTTTATACGAACTTTCCGGACAGACCTCGTATAGTAGGACATGGAGATACTATTTAACTACTGTAATACCTTAATTTGACCTATGATCCACAATAAAGACATTTGTATTTGTATCTATAATCATTATCAACTTATTGACACTTTATTATATAAAGGATTGTAATTCCATCAAAAATCACATATAGTTAAAGAAATATTGTTAATCTCAGAGGAAGAAATCGCCCGCCAAGATCCGGGGCTAAAGCGGCATCCGCGCGAGTCGCTGCGCGCGTTCCTGCTGTCCTCCCTCGCGGCGCCGCTCGACGGACGCGGACAAAAGCTAGTTCACCAGTTCTGCGACACGTACGAGTTCGCACGACACCACCCGGGCGAGTTCGGCGAGGACGAGTACCAGGCGTACAGTCGCCTCTTGATGAAGTTGCTGGATGCGTAAGTTGTATAACTGAACTGTGGGTGTTGTTCTCGACATGTTTTATAGCTAGACTCGAGACCAATGATGTTTCAAGGGAAATAGTTTTCGTAATCGGTGGAAACATTAGAAGGGTAACCATCAGGTGGGGTATGTTTATGTGCTACTGTTAACAAAAAATCCCACAATTTAAATGTGAAAATTATAGGAACATTTTAAAAAGCATGCCTGGTGTGTCTGTTGCCATGTACTCTCCAATACTCCACACAAACCCTGCATGATGGATAATGGCACACGATCATCCTTTAGGCTGGGACTGTTCTGTAGGCTTCCAGTTTGGAGCACACGAGAAAATTTCAGTTAAACAAATCAGGTTCAGGTTTTGTATCGAGGAAAGGTACAAGGGCTTGCACAGACGACACTCCTCTGTGTACGGTCTAACCAAATAACCCGCGAGACGATGTCGAGTCGGACGGGCAAAGCGTGCAGTGTCGGCGGCCGCAGGGCGCGGCTGCTGCGCTGCGCGGGCCGGTCGCCGCGCGGCAGCCCGCGGCGCCGGCCGCCGCCCGCGCGCCTGCTGGACGCCGCGCGCCTGCGGCCCGGCCTGCCCGCGCTGCCCGGCGCCGCCAAGCTGCCCGCCGCGCTGCACCACTACACGGCACTCGAGGTGAGCACTGCACCACTCTACTGCGACAGGTGACCACTGCGCTACTTTACCTCCGCCTCCAGACGCCACCGAGCTGCCCGCCGCGCTGCACCACTACACGGCACTCGAGGTGAGCACTGCACCACTCTACCTGCGACAGGTGACCACTGCGCTACTTTACCTCCGCCTCCAGACGCCACCGAGCTGCCCGCCGCGCTGCACCACTACACGGCACTCGAGGTGAGCACTGTACCACTCTACCTGCGACAGGTGACCACTGCGCTACTTTACCTCCGCCTCCAGACGCCACCGAGCTGCCCGCCGCGCTGCACCACTACACGGCACTCGAGGTGAGCACTGCACCACTCTACCTGTGACAGGTGACCACTGCGCTACTTTACCTCCGCCTCCAGACGCCACCGAGCTGCCCGCCGCGCTGCACCACTACACGGCACTCGAGGTGAGCACTGCACCACTCTACCTGCGACAGGTGACCACTGCGCTACTTTACCTCCGCCTCCAGACGCCACCGAGCTGCCCGCCGCGCTGCACCACTACACGGCACTCGAGGTGAGCACTGCACCACTCTACCTGCGACAGGTGACCACTGCGCTACTTTACCTCCGCCTCCAGACGCCACCGAGCTGCCCGCCGCGCTGCACCACTACACGGCACTCGAGGTGAGCACTGCACCACTCTACCTGCGACAGGTGACCACTGCGCTACTTTACCTCCGCCTCCAGACGCCACCGAGCTGCCCGCCGCGCTGCACCACTACACGGCACTCGAGGTGAGCACTGCACCACTCTACCTGCGACAGGTGACCACTGCGCTACTTTACCTCCGCCTCCAGACGCCACCGAGCTGCCCGCCGCGCTGCACGATTATACTATACTGGAGGTACTGCACTAGTACCCCAGCCTCTCGCCCCCAAAAATTAGCGTCTAAATATTCTTGATTGATAGTGATGAACGTAAAATCTAGCACCGTATTGTCGATTTTTAAAATGATGCGAAATAGAATTTGAATCCGCACCTCCGAAATACCTTTTTGCACACCAGGTAATTGTAACCGTCGGCAATAAACATAAGCAACGCCATAACCTTGATAGTATCACCATTATATCAGCCATCAACTGTCCACTACTAATGGTCCATGGACGAAACAGTATACTCTGTTATGTCCACGGTACTGCTCATGTCTACAGGCGACGGTTACCACTTTCCATCAGGTGAGCCGACAGATTGTTTGCCATTCTAAATTGTATAATATAAAAAAACTATAGGCGTTCCCTATAAGAAAGATTTTGTAAATAGTTGCCACGCTTAACAGGCAGATTGGCAGCCGTGGTTAGGGTTTTAGTGATGTTTTAAGACTGATGCTAAGCTCTCTTAGTCACCTCTTACGACACCCACAGGAATGGAAGGAGTGGTCCAATCTATCCCAGAACCACATGGCTATTACAGAATACATTCTAACATATTGATCATATTGTATTAATTACACTAATACATTGACTTCGCGATGATTTCTTCTAGAATATGCCGGTAGAGACAAAACTGGAAGAAGAGGTGATACGCGTCCCGGTGAAGAGTCCCACGGAGCCGCTAGTGAAGCCGCCAGCGGACGAGACGGCGGTCTGAGGGCGGCGTACCCGCCACGAGGCGCAGACCTTGTAGTCGGGTTCAACTTGTTGGTATTAAGGTTCCGTACATTAGTACAATTACATTCGCATTATGTATGCGAAAATGTATCTTTGTAAAGTCTATTTTCCTGTTATGTTGTTAATGGCGTTAATATGGGATTACTTATGAGGATTTAAACTTCTAACTCTATGAAGGCTTTATTAATGGAATGGCAAAGTCGGTCAGTTTTTTTAATGCATGCTGTGGTTGCCTATAAATGTAAGAACAGTTAGATCTAATCTACCAGTGTATTGTACTAAAATATTTAGCTGTGTCTTGTGTTGGTAATCCAATAAATAAATAAATAAATAAGTGGCAGTCCCACCTGCGCTGTCGGTATACGCTGGCGGGGTATCAGTGAGATTATTATTATTACAACCGTTAACTGTCCTGCCAGCAGTTGCCAAGCTTGACAGACGGGTTGGCAAGCACAGTTAGGCTTTTAGAGATGTTTTAAGAGGGATGCTGCTGCCCATCCCTCGCCTTCCATTAGTCGACTCTTACGACACCCACGGGAAAGGAAGGGGTGGTCTATTCTATGCCGGGACCACAGCAAAATGTGGCAGTGAAATTATAAGGCACGGGGAGATAGCAGCCCTCAGGAATGGCAATACATGAGTGGTATTATGGACGCCATACACGCGTATTTTGTGATGACAATGAACCTGTTCATATCTATTGTAAATAAAGTGGTACACGTATCTACAATAAAAATACAAGCATAGTTACCTGTATCTGTGTAAAAAGTGTTAACATATTGTATTTGTTATGTACACTTGATTACTTGATTAGAATTATTTTAGTTAATTTTAAATTTTCAAACACATTTGAAATAAACAATCAAGACTCAACGTGATGTAAAAGCTTTTACAAGTAAATAGCACCTACATACAGTCGTCAAAACGTTGGCAATAAAGAAACAAGTAGATTGCGATAAGTCTCGATTTTATATTTAAAATAGAAATAATTTGTTTAATTTACCAGAGGGAGACTTTGTACAAAAGTCGATTGCTTGGGTACCTCTGTCCCATTCGTGTTTCAACCGTGAAGCAGTAGTGTTTGCATGGCTGTGTTTCGGTTTGAAGGGTGGGATATGGCGTGAATTTACTGGGTACAGAGGAATAACACCTGAGTCCTCAGGAATGGCAACGCATGGGGGGTATCATGAGCGAAACAGTATACTCTGTTATGTCCATGGTACTGCTCATGTCTATAGGTGACGGTTACCACTTTCCATCAGGTGGGCCGTCAGCTTGTTTGCCATTCTATGTTGTATAAAAATAAAAATTCCACTACCATTAGTGTATGTGTACATGTAGTGTATGACAACACTCAACGATTAACCACTATTTCTACCATTTGGCGTTCAAACTGCGAAAACCGGTTAACACTAGGCTCCGAGCAGCAATCCAATAATTTGCCTGAAGATGCCTCGTTTAGAGGTGAAACACGTAGGGCCTACCATGAAGTATTTTCCGAAATTTCGGGAACGAACGAAACAGAAATTTGATGTTAAAATTACATAATACATGCTGTTTAAAATTATTAAAAAAGTTAAAATATCGTTCCTTTCGACTATTAGAATAGGATTTATGATGAACGAAATGTTAAGCTTCATTTACTGGGTCGATTTTGATATGAACAAAAACACGAAATTGAGCCCGAAATTTCGGAATTTCATTTCATGGTAGACCACCGTGTCGCAAAACGTGCGCGAACAAAATGACAGTCGGAGATTGATGGCTAATATGGAAGGTTGTGGAACTTCTGGTAGTAATAATGGTAGTTTATCATCGAGTGTTGCCAGTCGCACACGTACTAAAGGTAGCGGAATTATCCAAAATAATTTAAATCAAATAACCAGTGATATGTACTCGCGCAAGATAACACCTAGTTTAATAAAATATATATGTACATATTTAATGTATGGATGATGTATGGCAGTCTTATATAAATACATAATTGATATAACTTAGGTTAGGTGGCTTTTTTTTAATGGGTGATAATGGAATGGTAACCCCACCTGCGCTATCGGTATACACCGGCGGGGCACCAGTGAGTGATGATAGATGAGAATGAAAGCAGGTCAGTTAGCCCATCGTGACGAATTCAACAAGAATTAGCCACGATGGTTTCCAGGGGGAGCCGCGTGGAGGTCGACCTGACAGGGTATACTACTAGCAATGGGTTCATTAGACCCCCATTACTAACAATCCCTTCCCCCCAGGTTAGGTGGCTTAGTTAGCATTTATATAGACATATTTAATAATAGTACATACAATATATGTATGTAGGGGGAAAGGGATTGTTAGTAATGGAGACTGAGAATCCCATGGCTAACAATATACTCAACCAGGTCGACCTCCACGCGGTTCCCTCTGGAAACTATCATGGTTAATTCCTAATGAATTCATCATGATGGGCTAACTGGCCTGTTTTCATTCTCATCTATCACCCTTCACTGGTGCCCCGCCAGCGTATCCCGTTAGCGCAGGCGGAGTTACCGTACCATTTTCACTCATCAAAAAAAAATATATATATGTATGTGTAATGTTATTTTGTAAATAAATATATGAGTATTTGTAATTTAATTTATAAATGTAAATAAATATTATAGAAAGAAAATTTATTCATTTATTTTACATTATCTTCACCTGTATGATTTAATACAAAAAATATAGTGAAATACCCTATGTATACCCTACTATATTATAGTTCATCTATGTACAAAATATCACTGAAACTAACATTATGTAGTTATTTTCAATCATATTGCATAAAACTGAGAATCGAGGTTTTTTTAATGGCTGATAATGGATTTTTTTTAATAGATGATAATGGAATAGTAACCCCGCCTGTGCTAACGGTATATGCTAGCGGGGCACCAGTGAAGAATAATAGGTTAGAATGAAAGCAAGCAGTTTTTTTTTTTTTTATTATGATAATGGAATGGTTACCCCGCCTGCGCTAACGGTATACGCTAGCGGGGCACCAGTGAGGGGTGATAGGTGAGAATGAAAAGACAGGTCAGTTAGCCCATCGTGATGAATACACCTGGAATTCAGCACGATGGTTTCCAGGGGGAACCACGTGGAGGTCGACCTGATAGGGTATATTGCTAGCGATAGGACTGATAGACCGCATTACTAACAATACCTTTCCCACCGAAAGCAAACAGTTGGCTTATAGTAATTAATTTAAAAAAAAAACAATCAAGATGGTTTTTCAGAGGGAACCTTGTGGAGATAGACCTGATAAGGTTTATTGTTAGCAATGGGGTCTCTAGTCCTATTACTGACAAACTCTTTCCCCCCGCTGATAAGAATTTGATAACCCCGTCTGCGCTTTCAGCATACACTTGTTAGGTACCAGTGAGGGATGACAGGTGAAGATGGAAGAAGGGCAGTTAGGCCATCGTGACGAATTCAACCCACTATGGTACCCAAGAGTAACTGCGTGGAGGTCGAAATGATATTGCAAGCAACGGTATTGCTAATTTCCATTACTTAAATCCTTTCTCCCTATCGAAACTCAAGGTTATATAAGTGGCAAGCGAATGCATCGGAATCGACATCGCCGGCGAGTCCGTGAGATAGCAACATCGGATGTCTCGTTCCAACTCATGAAGTTGCTATGTCCATAGATAATTCCATAGATAAAATCGTTTGCCACTTGTCAAAAGGGTTTGATACGTGAACCACAATAATAACAATTATATTTTTTATAACAATTTATATTACAAAATACAGTAACAATGTTTACAGACTAGACAGACAGAGATTACAGCTTTACATATATATCTTTTTTTATTTACCAACGCAACGGTTACCACTTTCCATCAGGTGGGCCGTCAGCTTGTTTATCATTCTAAGTTGCATAAAAAAAATTTAAGGTAAGGCAAAAGAATGTTTTGATAGGACAGAAGTCATAAACTTCCAAAAAAAAGAATCTGTCTAATTTGCTTGGGGTATTTCATTTTAAGGTAGGGCACTGCCCCTTAACCCCTCCCCCCATAGATACGGCCATGACTTGAGTCTACATGTCATGGCCGTGATCATGACTATGATCCACAATATATTTGAATTTGTAAAAAAATAAATTACTAATTATATTATCGTATTAAAAATATGGCCGATTAAAAAAGCCTTATGAGCATGCTTATCTAAGTATGGTTACGTCACAATTTTCTGTAAATTTTGAAAAAATAATGTCCAAATCTCAACGTTTATGATTGATTAATTAAAAAATATTCTGCTAGCGAACTAAAAAGTTGAATTAGTATATAATATCACCCATGATTTATATCATGAAGTAACAGGGATGACACTGTATCGTTACACCTTAATATCATATGTAACCGATTGATTACCAAAGTGGCTCTCTCTGCAAACAAAATATCATTTATTAATTACTATTCACAGATTTTAGCAAAAAAAGAGCTGGGTCCTACAGGTAAAAGATGCGTTGGAAGACAAAGAAACAGATAGGTTGAAAAAATCATGGAAGTGGCAGGAAAGATTTGGATAGATGTTGCTGCAGATCAAATTAAGTGGAATATAATGAAGGAGGCTTTTACCTATGGGGGGCTTTTACCCATACACCAATACAAAAAAAAAATATTGAAAAATTCATAAATTTTCTTGTGTAAAAATCCAAATGTACATATAAGGGTTATTATTTCTAAATTTGTACCATACCATACTATATCGACCGTTAAGAGCCCACCGCTGGACATAGGCTTCTCCATTGGGGGATTTTGCTAATAATTGCCATGCCTGGCAGGCGAGCTGGCAACCGCAGTTAGGCTTTGTGCTGTTTTAAGAGGGACGCTGCTGCCCTTCCCTTGACCACACGTTCTCTTCATCACTTCTTAACACACTCGGGGGGGGGGGGGGGGGAAGTCGGCGCATCCTTATTCATTAATTCAAACAATAGATAACAGAATAGACAAAATGATGGGCTACCTTATCAACCGACTTCAAAAAACGGTTGTATTTTTCTATGTTTGTTACGTCATAACTCAGTCAGTTGGAACATTAATAAAAACAATAGAGAAAAGAAGTGGCAAAATTCTGGACCACCTTATAGTATAGACGATTTTAAAAGAGCATACTAGTAGGAAAAATGGAGGGCAAAAAGGGAAGGAGAAGTTCGAGAAATAACTATATAGGGCAAATAAGGGAAACACTAAGTAGATCTCATGTCTTATAGGGAGGGCAAAAACCTGGAATAGAACTAACTAGAAGAGAATGTATGAAATAGTCGCCCCAATAAGAGGAAACTCTTAAATAAGAATAGAGAGAGAAAATGTCTATTGAATTGACCAGTTTAACATGAAATAGAAATAAATTTATATTAATACTTACAATTTAGTCCAAATCTTATTGTGGGCGAAATGGTACGTATGGCGGAGTGCTAATAACGCGCGCTGACACCACATGGCGGTCTCGGGATCACCCACTGAATCCCGGGTGTGGTATAGCCACTCTAGCATCTGTAATATATTATACGTATTGGTACTGGTCAACTTTGTTTTATTTGTAAGCAAATATCAAGAATGGGCTAACTATGGAACAACTGACCTGCTTTCATCCTCAGCTATCGTGCATATGCGCCTCGACTGTGTATACCGCTAGTGCAGGTGGAATAGAGTTACTAGTCCATTCAAAAATACATACGATCCGGCTCGAAGGACTAAAAAATTTTAAATATTAGGTTTGCATCTCATATACTGTATGTAGCCAATCCAAACTTGCATAAGCAATCCGGCTCGTAGGATCAAAAATCCTTTAACACCAGAAGGTTTGCATCTTACACTCAGCATGCAGTCGATCCAAGTGATGTTTTATTTTTATACCACTGAGATGACAATCAAGCATACGGCCCATCTAATGGTAAGTGGTTACCGTAGCCTATGAACGCCTGCAATATGCCAGGTGTATTACGCGCACGTTGCCGACCCTGAATAAACCTCTTTATCTCCTTTTTGAAGAAACCCATGCTATAGTCTCTTGGGAAAACCTCGATGTACTAACAATCCGGCTCCAAGGACCAAAAAATTTAAATACCAAAAGGTTCGCATCTCACATGTAACGTGCAGTCGGTCCACGCCTCCCGCGCTAACAACGCAACGCACGCAGCCGGCAGCAGGGCCCTGCGAGCGCTGGCGGTCAGCTGCTGCACGGCGTCAGGACAGAGCGCCCAGTGGCCGCACAACATCACCACGCTCAGTATGAACACGTCGCATAGGTACAGCTTCGCGGAACGATCCTCCGTTCTGGAATATATTTTTTTTTTTTTAATCAAAATTAATATTATATAGAGGGTAGGTTTAATTTGATTTTTTGTTTTCGAATCAAATCATTTATTGTACGAATATGGGTACATACATTAGATGAAAATAATAATTACATGTCCATTATTCCATATTCTACCATATCGACATGCACAATATAAAATTAAAGTAATAATAACTTAAAACAATAAAAACAATGTCAATAATAAAATGGAAAAAATTGTCAATAAAAATAATTAAATTGTATGTCTAATATTTATCATTGTAATAGTCATGTAACGTATAGTAACACTTGGCTGTCAAATATTCTTTTGCTTTTTTCTCCTTAAATGCTTTCGGGAATTTATTATTATAATTTGTTTATAATGGACAAAGTAAAAAAACACAATCAGTTTTAGAAATTCTTTCACTTGTTGAAAGCTACATTATCAGGGGGTAATATGAGTTATGTTTTATTTTCAAAGTAAACTAAACCGAGGCTTATTGCTAGTAATATATACAGGGTGTAGTTCCCACAGTAAAAGTGAACGATTTTACTAAAAAAAATATGGGTTAAAAATATTAAAAATTTGATCCTCCCATACTAAGTTAACAATTAGACGATTATTTATAACTATCCAAAAATGCTTATTATTGAGGTTTACTTAGATAGAAAATAGTTTTATTTATTTATTTATATATAATTTATTGTACACAAAAATTTATCATCATTATATGAACCTTTAATTGTCCACGGCAAAACCCCCCAAGGGGGAGGATAAGCCTTCCCCTTGGGAGGTTTTGCCAGTAGTTGCCACGCTTGGCATATGGATTGGACATAAAAATTACATTATTATAATTTACATAAAATAAAGATGTACAACAGACGAGCTTAAGTCTATAAAAGTTAAGCTTGCCTGTTTTTTTTTTCTTTTTTTTTTATACAACTTAGAACGGCAAACAAGCAGACGATCCACCTGATGGAAAGTGGTAACCGTCGCCTATAGACATGAGCAGTACCATGGACATAACAGTGTATACAGTTTCGCCCATGATATCCTCCATGCGTTGCCATTCCTGAGGGCTCAGGTGTTATTCCTCTGTACCCAGTGAATTCACGCCATATCCCACCCTTCAAACCGAAACACAGCCATGAAAACACACTTGCTTCGCGGTTGAAACACGAATGGGACAGAGGTACCTAAGCAATCAACTTTTGTACAAAGTCTTCCTCTGGTAAACTCTTTACTCTCTTTACTTGTATTTATTTTATTAGGTGCGATTAGACAGTTCTATTTAATATGTAGGATCATTAATTAATTGAAGTAATTGAGAAATCTTACTCATTGAAAGCGACCTGCGTTCTAGCCATGAGCTGCATGAACCACTCCCTGGTGGAGGGATCGTCGGGCTTCGCCGCCTTCAGGGGTGCAATCATGCATTGCAGAGAGAATTCTTGTCCACTGCAAAGAAAATAACAAATGTACGGTGTTTTTTTTTTGATGAGTGAAAATGGTATGGTCACCCCGTCTGCGCTAACGGGATACGCTGGCGGAGCACCAGTGAAGGGCGATAGATGAGAATGAAAACAGGTCAGTTAGCCCATCATGGTGAATTCAACAAGAATTGTTCACGACGGTTTCCAGGGGGAACCACGTGGAGGTCGACCTAATAAGGTATATTGCTAGCAATGGGGCTGTCAAACTCCATTGCTAACAATCCTTTTCCCCCTACACTAGTGGTGGATTAGGGCTAACTCTTCTTATATTTAGAGGCAAACACAGCATGCTTTGTGTTTAAAAAAAAAATTAAAATAGAATTAAATTATTAAACTATTAAATGGAAATATGTAAACAATAATGTTTATTTAGCTGTTGGTATACGCTATTGGAGTTCTAATAAGAGATAAGAGGTGACGACGAAGTGAGATCAATTGGCCCATTGTGAGAAACAAAAATAGAGAATGACCACGATGGTTTCCTGTGTGGAGGTTAAACTATGCCTTATTGCTAGCGACAGGACCTCTAGACCTCATTACTAAGTATCCCTTCCCCCTTAAGATTTTTTAATAGATGATAACGAAATGGTTACCCCGCCTGCGCTAACGGTATACTTTGGCGGGGCACAAGTGAGGGATGATAGGCGATAATGAAAGGGCAAGTCAGTTAGCTCATCGTGATGAATACACTTGGAATTCAACACGATGGTTTCCAGGGGGGACCACGTGGACATCGACCTGACAGGATACCCAGAATAGACTAGTCATCCTACCCAAACTAAGATGTTATGCCACCATACGCTGTGATTCCACTTACGTGACATCCTGCGCCTGCGCATCGATGAGCTCGTTGAGCCACACGAGGCTGCAGGAGGAGAGAGCGGCGGCGCAGCGTATCGCGGCCGCTTTCCGCAGCAGCTCCGCAGACGTCTCCCACCAGGAACTGGGCGACGTCATGCGCTCCAGGTACTTGGAGGACAGCGAGCCGCATGTCCGCACGTACGCCGCCCACGCCTGCACAGCACAGTCTCTCTTTACATTTAAGAGTTTCCTCTTGTCGGTGTAACTAATTCATGCATCTTCCTCCAGCCAGCTCTATCCCAGGCCATATCCTTGACTTCCCTGTACGACATGACACCTAGTGTTTCCTTTATCTGTCCCATGTAGTTATTCCTCAGTCTTCCTCTTCCTCTTTTGCCCTCTATTTTTCCTTCTACTATGCTCTTTAAAAAATCGTTATATCGTTTAAGGCCCAGCATTTTGCCTCTTCTATTCTCTATTGTTTTAATTAATGTTCGTTTCTCATTCACCAGAGGGAGACTTTGTACAAAAGTCGATTGCTTGGGTACCTCTGTTCCATTCGTGTTTCTACCGTGAAGCAGTTGTGTTTGCATGGCTGTGTTTCGGTTTGAAGGATGGGATATGGCGTTAATTTACTGGGTACAGAGGAATTACACCTGAGTCCTCAGGAATGGCAACGCAAGGGGGGTATCATGGACGAAACAGTATACTCTGTTATATCTATGGTTCTGCTCATGTCTATAGGCGACGGTTACCACTTTCCATCAGGTGGGCGGTCAGCTTGTTTGCCATTCTAAGTTGTATAAAAAAAAAACCTCCCAAGAGAGAGGCTTATGTTCATCAGTGGCCAGTTAAAGGCTGATATGACGATGACGAAAAAACTTAGGGCATTTGAAAAAAAAAAATCAAAAATATTCGACTCACCACATTATCGTCTGTTATAATTGAAAAATAATTCTCCACTATCTGAGACAGCAGCGTCCTGTTCGCATCATGTATCCTCTCGCACTCCAAACACTGCTGGATCATCGCCAGTTGTTTCACGAACATGCCCCCTTCTTCATCAGCGCCCTTGCTCCTCACTTTGGCGATGGCGGAGAAGGAATAACTGAGGCACCGTTCGACTGGCGCTCGGATGGTATTCGGCGGCATGCCCCGACATAATATTGGGAGGATTTCGAACATTGTCATTATGTCGGAGTCCTAGAACAAATATTAAATTTATTTTATACTAGCCGTTTCCCGCGGCGTTGCCCGTTTCTATGTGGTTCCCGTATATCATTCCCATTGGAACTCTTCATGAATCCGGTCTTATGTTGTACTATACACTTAAATGATAATTACGTACCCAATACCTTCATAAAGTTTCAGCCAATTCAACTGATCGGTTATTTTATAGCATTTTATATGTGATTCTTTAGATTGATATAACTTTTTTTATTTATGAACCGATTTAAATAAAATAACCGCTAAATGTTAAGTGAAGTACACCTCAACGCATTAGTGAAAACCGCGTTGAAATCGGTTAAGCCGTTTCTGAGATTAGCGTACAGACATATGTACAGACAAACAGAAAATTCAAAAAATCATTGTTGCGGGTTCTATTGCGTTCAAAAAGCCCCCTTATAATAGTTTTTCTTATATATGTTCCGTGTACAGACAGTGACCAGTTACTAATTTACAGTTACAGAGATAGGCATCTCCGCATGTATTGTTTAAGTGCAATAAAGACTATATAATAAACTCTTTATTGTGGGCATCATATTGAACAATTCCTCTGAACACAATCCATTGTACAGGCGGTAAAACACGCAGAGCGAGGCAAAACCTCTCCTAAGACTTGAGGGTTCGATACCGCTTGCAAGCCTGGGATCATCGACAATTCTCATAGCTCGTCGTTGTACTGAGTCGAAGGGTTCAAGCTGGTATCTAGGTGCTCCCGCCCATAAGTGACAGCAATTGTGGCAACCTACGAATAATAGCAAATAAACAAAATAAATATTATATGGCTCACATCACTCGTGCCTGGCACGATTCCATGCAGGTAGTTCTCCAAGAACCTCCTGGCAGAGGGCGTGGTGTGCGCTTGTGCAGCCGCCAGCAGCGTGCAGCCGTGCCGCCAGCCGCCGCCGCGGTGCACGGCCTCGTGCAGGAAGCACAGGTCCATCGGAGGGAACGGCTTCGGGTACTCCTCCGCAAGGGTCTGCAGGATCGCGAGCAGCACCGTGTCCGGGAATTCGTAAGAGGGAGACGTTACCTGTAAATGCATTGGTTACGAGATTGTTACGCGGATAATACTTAGGAAGCGTTTAAGTATTGTGTAACGCAATTTGGGATAGACGGAGGGGGGGATTGTAAAACGTGAGAGACTGGAGGGTAGCTCAAACAATGCGTTACGTAATATTTTTTTTTACAAACAATACAATTACAACACCATTCACCACTTTTTTATTTAACCATGCTTAAATGACTAAAAATTTAGCCGTGTGACTGCAGTATAGAATGGGCTAGCCCTTCCTTTCCAGTAAGTGTCGTTAGAGAAAACTTAATAGTCGAGGGATAGGCAGCGGCTTCCCTGTTTAAACATCACCAAAGTTTATTTAATTGCCAACCCGCATGCCAAGCGTGACAACTACTGGCAAAACCTCTTTTTATGGGGTACCCCTATGTCCAGCAGTGGACAGTTAACGGATGATAATGACGGTCGCTTAATAGAAAACTGAATTAATCCGAAATCTTCATATTTATAAATTGTTAAATCTACTTGTGTCCGGAAGCACTGCAGCAAGCCCCGCAGCACGGAGTTGTGGTGGAGGACAGCGGGCGATGGTATCGGCGGTTCAGGTCGGCCGTCCAGCTGGTAGGCGCCGCCGCGCAGACCGCGTAGTTCCCGCTCTATCAAGCGACGTGCCAGCCGACCGACGCCCGCCAGCGCCGCCTGGTTGGTGTATCTAAAAACTTCTGGCCACACCTCGCCTGTGAGGACAACCATTAAAAATACATTTAGAATAGAATAGAACAGAACAGAATAGAACAGAATAGAATAGAAAAGAATATGTTTATTGCTAGAAAAACACAATTATAACAGAGAATACAAAAATATTACATATATAAGAAGTGTCACCAGAGGGAGACTGTACAAAAGTCGTTTGCTTCGACACCTCTGTCCCATTCGTGTTTCTACCGTGAAGCAATTATGTTTGCATGGCTGTGTTTCGTTTTGAAGGGTGGGAATTTACTGGGTACAGAGGAATAACACCTGAGTCTTCAGGAATGGCAACGCATGGGGGGTATCATGGGCGAAACAGTATTCTCTGTTATGTCCATGGTACTGTTCATGTCTATAGGCGACGGTTACCACTTTCCATCAGGTGGGCCGTCAGCTTGTTTGCCATTCTAAGATGCATAAAAAAGGCAAACTGTTTTATAGCGATACGCTATATAGAAGTGGCCTTAAAACGTAGTAGAACCGTGTTCTTAAAAGATAATATAAAATAAGTTAGATCTGATTCAAATTTTTTTTTATACCACTGGGATGGCAAACAAGCATACGGCCCACCTGATGGTAAGCGGTTACCGTAGCCTATGAACGCCTGCAATACCAGAGTTATTACGCGCGCGTTGCCGACCCTGAAGAAACCTCTTTACCCCCCTTTTGATGAACCCCATGCGGTAGTCTCTTGGGAAAACCTCGGCAAAAAAATCTACGTTTTCCTTAAAAAAACTTACTGGGCACATAGTCTAAGACATCCTCTGGCTTCCTGGCCGCGTCCGCTGGGGTCTTGCAGTACGACGCGGGCAGTTTCACCGTTCTTCTGTACACCTGTAGGTCAACATTTTTTTTTTTATAGGATGACAATGGTCTGGTAATCTCGCCTGCGTTATTGGTATACGCTGGCGGGGCACCAGTGAGGGATGACAACACAAGAAAACAGGTCAGTTGGCCCACCGTAATGAACTCTACAAGAATTAACCATTTTTGACGACATAGGCTATATCTATCTATACTTATAATAAATCTGTAGAGAGGTCAATTCTGTACATAAAATATATTTCCAAAATAACTATCAGGGGGTGATTTGTGATCGATACTGATGCCAAAAATGCAATCAGTAAAATTTTTGTCAGTCTGTCTGTATGCTCGTTATAGAAACAAAAACTACTCGACGGACTTTAACGAAACTTGATACAAACAATTATTTTCAAATCTATCTATCTACCCCTGTGAAGCTGGACCGGATCTTTAGATCATGCTTATAGGCGACGGTTACCACTTTCCATCAGGTGGGCCGTAAAAATATTCGAATTTCGAATCTCTTTTTTTTTAAGTCATTTAAAAAGATGCTCTTTTTGTGATAAAAAACAAATAGAAAATAAAAACAACTCACTTCCGGTATATCTTTGAGTTTATAATCGTCAATCTTGTAACCGGCCAGTGCGTCGCACGCCGCCTCCACCACCTCTGGGTGGTTGGACTCGGCGATGTAGGACCAGAGCTTGCGTGCAGTGTCGCTCACTAGCTTGTCGTATTCGGGCGTCTGAACGCGTAGCGCTGGCACTTCTGACAGCAGCTTGCATAAGCTGAAATTTCATAGATAAGTCAAAGAACATTCATAACTTTCAACGAAGTGTGATTATATCTACTAAGGGCGGTGTCACATTACGCAGAATTGTATTTTTTATGCTAATATTTATAATATAATTAGTTATTTTTTTATGCAACTTAGAATGGCAAACAAGCTGACGGCCCACCTGATGGATAGTGGTAAATGTCGCCTATAAACATGAGCAGTACCATGGACATAACAGAGTATACCGTTTCGCCCATGATACCCCCATGCGTTGCCATTCCTGAGGACTCAGGTGTTATTCTTCTATACCCTGTAAATTCACGATATTTTTTTTTACAACACAGGTTTTAAACCAACATGCGGCTCACCTGATGGTAAGTGACTACCGCCGCCCATGGTCACTCACAACACCTACGGCATTGCAGGTGTACTGCCGGCCTTTTAAAAAGGAATATACTCTTTTCTTGAAGGTTATGTTGTCGTATCGGTTCGGAAATACTGCTGCTGGAAGTTGATTCCAAAGAATGGTTGTGCGTGGAAGAAAAACGCCTGCCTTGAAAAACGCACGGTGGAAGACCGTCAATCGTCCAGATGGTTGGGATGAAACTTTAGTTTGTATCGGATTGTACGGTGGTGAAAATCAACAGCAGGTGTCAATCTGAACAATTCCTCAGAGCACTCCCCATGATAAATTCGGTAGAAGATGCACAGAGGTGCAACGTCTCCGCGCAATTTCAGTGGGCCGAGTCGGACAGTAAGGCGTTGACTATCGACAATTCGAGCCGCCCCACTTTGAATGCGGTCTAACGGGAGGAGTCGGTACTGTAACGCTCCTGCCCACAGGTGAGAACAGTATTCCATATGCGGCCCGACTTGGGCTTTATATAATTTGAGGCGGTGTTCCGGCATGAAATACCGTGTCACCCTATTGAGCACTCCTAACTTTTTGGAAGCCACCCTTGAAGCCGAAACACAGGCATGCAAACACGCGCGCCGCGAGTGTGGCGGCAGCGAGGGTGCAGGGTACCTGGCGTGCAGGGCGGGGCGGCGGTGGGCGTGCAGGCGCGGCTGCAGCGCGCGCCACGAGCCGGCGGGCGCCACGGCCGCGCCGCGCCACAGCGCCGCCAGCGCCGCCAGCGCCCGTCCTGCTGCCACCAGGCCTCCGCCGCCGCCACCGCCGCCGCCGCCAGAGCAGCGGTTCAGGATCGACGATATGGTCGACACCAGCTCCAGTCCGTGGCTCGACGGCCTGCCACACATCAGTTTACTCATATTCTACTCCAATACTAATTGTAATGAAACATTTTTTTTTTCATGCAACTTAGAACACCTGATGGAAAGTGGTAACCGTCGATTATAGACATGAGCAGTACTGTAGACATAACAGAATATATATATATATATATATATATATATATATATATATATATATATATATATATATAGGTCCGGTAATGAATGAATAACCTTGAAACGTCATACATACATAACGTATAGTTCAACTAATGGCCGTCCTAAAAGAATACAATCAAAATATATCATAAGTAGTACCTTTGTTAACTATATTTTAAAGAAAAGTCAACTATATTTAAAAAAAAAAACAATTTGAGCATTTATTGTAAATTTATGTAAAATAATTAATTTTGAATATTACATGTTGTTTTTTATTATTCCCCAATGATAAATATATATACAGAAAACATTTCTGAAACCACATCACAAGCAACCATTTTGATTTTAGGATGCGAGGATGAATTCCCCACCGGTAGTGAACGATGCGATGGTAAAAGGTGACGGTAGGGTACCATGTCGAACTGCTTAATGTTCCAATGTACCTGATCTCGCATATCCTCTCGACGGCTGTCGCCCTGGCCACTTCCACCTCCCACTTGAGCTCGTCCGGCCGCCCGGTCCCTGGGTCCACCAGCATCTCTTGTAAATACGGGAAACAACGTACCTGCCGTGAATATATGATGAAAATTTAGTTTTTTTATTTATTTATTCTTTATTTTTTATAAAAAAAAAAATGTCTGGTACAAAAGGCGGTTCTACTATATACGGCAAACAAGCTAATAGCCCACCTGATGGAAAGTGGTAACCGTCGCCTATAGACATAAGCAGTACCATGGACATAACAGAGTATACTGTTTCGCCCATGATACCCCCCATGCGTTGCCATTCCTGAAGACTCAGGTGTTATTCCTCTGTACTCAGTAAATTCACGCCATATCTCACCCTTCAAACCGAAACACAGCCATGCCAACACAGCTGCTTCACGGTTGAAACACGAATGGGACAGAGGTACCCAAGCAATCGACTTTTGTACAAAGTCTCCCTCTGGTAAAATAAAAATGACGTGAATAATAAGCTAAATGTTAAAAAAATAAGGTCATATTCAAATGGGCATGACGTATAGCTGAGTGACACCATGTCTGTGGCTTTTCTTTTTTTTTTGGTTTTTTTTTTGTATTGTATCAGCCGTTCACTGTCCACTGCTAAACATAGACCATCCGTTAAAAAGAGTAGTTGCCACGCTTGGCAGGGGGTTTGGCAACTGCAGTTTGGCTTTGGTGATGTTTTAAGGTGGACGCTGTTGCCTATCCCTCGCTCACTCCCTGCATAGCTACCTTAGTCACCTCTTAAGACACCCACGGCAAAGTAGTGGTTGCCTATTCTATGCCGGGACCACGCGGCGATTTTGATATTATATATTTTTAATTATTGTTAAAATATTATTTGTAATTATGTGGAGAATTAAACATTAAATATATATAGATACTCTTTATTGTTTCCTCCAAAAGATTACAACAGTAAACTTATTATAAATATAAACAATTACAAGAAATAATCACAATGAGAAAACAATGGGCGACCTTATCGTTAAGAGCGATCTCTTCCAGGCAACCTTTGGATGGAGAGGAGTAATTATAAACAGTTTGGTGGGAGGCACGATGAAAAATTCTGTTAGTTCTAAATATGGGAGATGTGATACATATAATAATATATTATCCCTACTCATTATTATATATATATATATATATATATATATATATATATATATACACATACACACATACACACATATATATTTCTTTCTTTCCTTCTTAATTTAAAAATATCATATCTTCAGGACTTTATCAGGACCCGCTACCAGAGAGAGACTTTGTACAAAAGTCGATTGCTTGGGTACCTCTGTCCCATTCGTGTTTCAACCGTGAAGCAACTGTGTTTGCATGGCTGTGTTTCGGTTTGAAGGGTGGGATATAGGGTACAGAAGAATAACACCTGAGTCCTCAGGAATGGCAACGCATGGAGGTATCATAGGCGAAACAGTATACTCTGTTATGTTCATAGTACTGCTCATGTCTATAGGTGACGGTTACCACTTTCCATCAGGTGGACCGTCAGCTTGTTTGCCATACTAAGTTTAATAAAAAAAAATCCTATTTTTTTTTCTTTTTTTCTATCAGACTCACCTGTGTTTCCGCTAAACTGCTATACAGCATGACGAGGAAGGAGGTCGGCGCCCCCTTGCCCGTCTTTAGTTTGTTCAGGACAGCCACTATTCTCGGAACATTTTCCTATCAAATTAAAATTATGTATTGTCGTCAAACGCAGTAATGTTTACATAACTCCCTCTATGGAGTAGAAAAAGGGTTTTACATCATTTATGAAGAGGTAAGCAATTTTATGAAAAACTAGCCCCATAAAAGGGTACAAACTACGGTAACCGCTTACCATCAGGTGGGCCGTATGCTTGTTTGCCATCTCAGTGGTATAAAAAAAATATATGTGTACAAATATATATAATATCTTCATATTCATCATCACCATATCAGCTTTTTAACTGTCCACTACTGAATATAAACCTCCTCCTTGGAGGCTCCCTCCTTTGCAGGAGGGTTGGCAAGTTGGCAGTTAGGCTATGGTGATGTTTTGGTGAGGACGCTGCTGCTCATCTCTCGACCATTATGTTCCTTTAGTCGTCTCTTAAGAGATCCATGGAAAAGGAAAAACTGGCCCATTCTATGCCGGGACCACTAGTTATATTACGCGGCCCGTCTCGGCTTCGCACGGGTGGACATTTTTACATTTTAAAAAGTGGCCATTAAGGCTGCACGCGCGACGGAAGCTTAAAAATGGAGTAACTTCTCCCGTTTTCCCAACATTTCCCTTCACTGTTCTGCTCCTATTGATCGTCGCGTGATGAAAAGTATACTATAACCTGGTCAGGAGTATGAAGAATAATTGTACCAAGTTTCGTTAAAATCCGTCGAGTAGTTTTTGTTTCTATAACGAACATACAGACAGACAGACAGACAGACAAAAATTTTCCTGATTGCATTTTTGACATCAGTGTCGATCACTAATCACCGCCTGATAGTTATTATGGAAATATATTTCATGTACATAATTGACCTCTCTACAGATTTATTATAAGTATAGGATTAAAAAGTATAAATGACAGATTTTAGTTTTAAACTCATTTTCAGATTCGTAATATGAGTAAGAACAAAAGTTAATAATTTGTAGTTAGTAAAACTAATTAGTATGAATTACTCACTTTATACTTGGCTAACTTCGGCAATGCCCTCAAACATTCCAGCTTCACCCTCGGCGACCGATCATTAGCTATCTTATACGTCAAAAGTGGCAACACCATCACTGACACCTCCTTCCTGGCACCCACCAACTCGATCACCACTCTTAGGGCCCTCAGAACCACCTCCTCGAACCAATCCTCCTTCCTCCTCTCCATACAGAGACCGAGCAAAAACGGTAGTAACTCATATTTCAACAATTCATCCACACTTTCTATAGAATCGAACCATCCACTCAATTTGTCCGGGTTATCTCTAACCCGTTCCCATATCTCGTTCAGTTTGAATGTAACCGACAAATGGCTGTCGGTGTAAAGCAACGATTGAAATATTTTGTTCGCTTTCAAATTAGGCATGTGGAGTCTGGTGTCCTCTTTTACATTCGCCTGGTATATGTCGAGTATCTTGGACGCGGCCTTCAGTGCGTCCGATGTGAGACACGAGGGCAGGTTGAGCCACTGCAAGGACAGAGCTACGAACACATTCAGCGACACCGTTGAGTGTTCATACTTGTTTATAATGTTTAAACCTGAAAATAAATGAAAACATGGCAACAAATAAAAAACTGGCAACATCTAACTTCCTGTAGTGCTTCAATATATTTTTCTTGTTTGAGAAAAGTACTATACAAGCCTTGGCCACAACTAGGCATTGGTGGACTCACGTATGTGTGCCGTGTTGCACTACCGTGAAGCAGTTGCGTTCGCATGGCTGTGTTTCGGTTTGAAGGGTGGGATATGGCGTGAATTTACAGGGTACAGAGGAATAACACCTGAGTCCTCAGGAATAACAGCGCATGGGGGGTATCATGGGCGAAACAATATACTCTGTTATGTCCACGGTACTGCTCATGTCTATAGGCGACGGTTACCACTTTGCATCAGGTGGGCCGTCAGCTTGTTTGCCATTCTAAGTCGTATAAAAAAAAAATCCTTTTTATAATATCAATATAGAAAACAATAAAATGTCGAATAAAAGTTGATAATAATTTTCGAACTAACATAAATTGAAGAGTTCATGTAGATGAAGCGCGGAGCTGATGTTGAGGTTCTCCGCCAGCAAGGAGACGACCAGCCCGGCCACGGTCCTCAACTCGGGCGCCTCCAGAGCGAAGCAACGCTCTATGAGTGTGTAGCACGAGCGCGGATCTCGACTGTTTGCAATAAGCACGATTTGCTAAGCTTACAAGTACTTTACTGAATTAGGTATATCTCTTGCAGAAGTCCATATCACTGGTTATTTTTTTTTTACAACACAGGGGCAAACGAGCATGCAGCTCACCTGATCCTGACCTGCAGATCACAACACTAACAGGCATTGCAGGTGTGCTGCCAGCCTTTTAAAAAGGAATATGCTCTTGAAGGTTATGATGTCGTATCGATTCGGAAATACTGCTGCTAGAAGTTGATTCCAAAAAGTGGTTGTGTGTAGAAGAAAGTGCCTTGAGAAACGCACGGTGGAGGACCGCCACTCGTCCAGATGGTTGGGATGAAATTTTAGTTTATGGCGTACAAGTACTTTACTGAACTAGATACTCTCTTGCGGAAGTCCATATCACAGGTTATTTGGTTAGAATTACAGTAAAATCTCTATTATCCGAATCAAATAAAACCAGAAGTATTCCGTATAATCGAATATCCGGATAATCGATTTCAAATTCAAATCAAACGATACATAAATAAATTATAATATTTTTATTGTGTAAAGGGATTTTTACATAATAAAAACTTAAACATACGTCATTTAGACAATACGATAAAAAAAAATTACGAGCTATAAAGATAATGGATTACATAATACCTATTTACTCAATCAATACATAATAATATTTCTAAATCGGTAATTAGAGCCGTGAAGAATAAGTCCGGATAATCGAATATTCGAATAATCGATGCTCGGATAATCAAGATTCTACTGTATTTTGTTTAATTCCGCTACCATTAGTATGTGTGTGACTGGCAACACTCAAAGATTGACTACCACTATTACTACCTTTTTACTATGGCTTTGTACAGTTTGGATGCCGAACGGTTAACACTAAATTCCGAGCAGCAATCTAATAATTTGCTTGAAGATGCCTCGTTTAGTGTAGAAACACGTGTCGCAAAACGTAAGCGAACAAAATGACAGTCGGAGATTGATGGCTAATATGGAAGGTTGTGAAACTTCTGGTAGTGATAGTGGTGGTCAAACTTCGAGTGTTGCCAGTCACACACATAGTAATGGTAGCGGAATTAAACAAAATAATTCTAATTAAACAAACAAGCTTACAAGTCATAATTTCTTATATACGAAGGGTATATAAGAAATTATTACCCCATCACCAGAGGGAAACTTTGTACAAAAGTCGATTGCTTCCCATTCGTGTTTTAACCGTAAAGCAGTTGTGTTTGCATGGCTGTGTTTCGGTTTGAAGGGTGGGATATGGCGTGAATTTACTGGGTACGGAGGAATAACACCCGAGTCCTCAGGAATGGCAACGCATGGGGGGTATCATGGGCGAAACAGTATAGTCTGTTATGTCCATGGTACTGCTCATGTCTGTAGGCGACGGTTAGCACTTTCCATCAAGTGGGCGGTCAGCTAGTCTGCCATTCTAAGTTGAATAAAAAAAAATTATTCATTCAATTGGACTTTTTTTTTAATTTACATAAAAGCAAAATAAAGAGGCAACAATGGGCGGTCTTATTGCTAAACAGCGATATCTTTCAGACAACCTTAGGATCATCGTCATCATCATATCAGCCTATAACTGTCCACTGCTGAACATAAGTCTTCCCCTTGGAAGGTTTTGCGAGTAGTTGCCACGTTTGGCAGGCGGATTGGCAACCGCAGTTAGGCTTTGGAGATGTTTTAAGAGGAACGCTGCTGCCTTAGGATAGAAAGGAATAATTAAAATTGATTCAAAATTCTTTTCTCTGCCCTATTACTTGGAATTGGTACAATAAAAAAAAAAAAGAATTTATTCAACTCACCCGTGTTTAATAAGCTCGTTGGATATCCTCGCCAGCATGGGCAACAGTGCCATGACGGACTCCCCGTTTTGCCGGTACACCGCCGCGTCCGTCACCACTGAATACGCTGCGAAAGCTCGCTCGATCAGATCAGGGTTGCATACCTGTTGGCGAAAACATGTCTGTCAGTTTCATTGATTCGGGGTATCATGGGCGATACAGTATACTCTATTATGTCCATGGTACTGCTCATGTCTATAGGCGACGGTTACCACTTTCCATCAGGTGGGTCGTCAGCTTGTTTGCCATTCTAAGTTGTATAAAAAAAAAGCTTTTAACTGTCCACTGCTGAACATAAGCCTCCCCCTTGGGGGCTTTTCCAGTAGTTACCACGCTTGGCAGGCGAATTGGTAACCGCAGAAAAGCTTTAGAGATGTTTTAAGAGGGATGCTGCTGCCCATCCCTCGCCCTCCCTTAGTCACCTCTTACGACATCTACAGGAAAGGAAGGGATGGCCTATTCTATGCAGGGATTTACAACATGATATCCCCATGCGTTGCCATTCCTGAGAACTAGTGTTATACCTCTGTAGTTCTATACTTTCTAAATTCACTGCCATATCATATCTCACCCTTCAAATCGAAACACAGCCATGTAAATACAACTGCCACTCGATTGACCCACGAATGGAACAGAGCTACCCAAACAAACGACTTTTGTACAAAGTCTCTCTCTGGTAAACTACTCATTCATTCGTTTATAAATAACTATAATACAAGGACTGTTTAATTTGATACTTTTTTTTTTTATACAACTTAGAATGGCAAACAAGCTGACGACCCACCTGATGGAAAGTGGTAACCGTCGCCTATAGACATGAGCAGTACCATGGACATAACAGAGTATACTGTTTCGCCCATGATACCCCCCATGTGTTGCCATTCCTGAGGACTCAGATGTTATTCCTCTGTACCCTGTAAATTCACGCCATATTAGAGAGTGCTGTTTGCTTTGACCAGGGCAATTAATCCTTACTAATATTTGTAAAAGTAAGTTTATTTGTTACCTTAAGAAGTAAATCTTATACTATATGTGATACAGGGCATAACACATACTTTTACTCCAGTCAGTGAAAATATCTCAGTCGCGGGTAAAAGCTAGTAGCAAGTATAAACATAACCTGCTGACAACTGAGACAGGCCAGAAGTAATGTTGACTGTGCAGTGGACTGCGGCAGACTCAGCAGCAGTTGCCATGGCCTAACGCCACTACCGTGCTGGGGGTTGCATGTTAACCATAAAAAAACTGAACGGAGCAGTTCTAGACTGTTTGATGACACTCTGAGAAGGGAAAAGGTTATTTTAATACACATTTATTTATTTATATATAACATATTTTTGGCGAGTTTTACTGTTTTTGTAGAAATAATTTATTATTGTTTCTCCATATAGGTACAATATACGCGGTGTAAAGGACAGGTTGGCAAAACGGAAACAGTGAATTCAAACCATTATTCTGAACTTAAAACCGATGGAAATTCTTTCAGGAAATTTTCGTATTTTTTCCCTTGTCTTTTTTTTTCATTTAAAATCACGTACTGATTTCAAATGATTATATTCTGTTACATTATGAAGAAATAATATTTTTTTTAGTAAAATACTATGAAATAACAAAAAGCAGCAATGTAATGTTCATATTAAAAACTTACCGCGACGCGCGAAATCAGCTGTGTAAGGTTAACGCCACAAGCCTACGATAACTACCTACGAATGGGGGGAAAGGGATTGTCAGCAATGGAGTTTGACAGCCCCATTGCTAGCAATATGCTTTATTAGGTCGACCTCCACGTGGTTCCCCCTGGAAATCATCGTGAACAATTCTTGTTGAATTCGTCACGATGGGCTATCTGACCAACTTCATCCTCACCTATCATCCTTCACTGGTGCCCCGCCGGTGTATACCAAAAGCGCGGGTGGGGTTACTATCCATTATCAGCCATTAAAAGAAAACTACCTACGAATTGGCCGTGCTAACGTTGAATCAACGACTATCAAAACGTTTATTACATCTAGATAGAAAAAACCTTAAAATAATGACAGGGACAATAACGGGCCATTGTCCATTAAACAAACATTTATACACAATAGGAGCCACAGACAGCCCTCTATGTCGAGGCTGTTTCGACGCCGAAGAAACGGCTGCTCACGTAATCCTGGAATGTGAAGCTGTGGCCCCTTAACGTTTAGAAATCCTCGGAACGGTGAGATCGCTCCGTGAGGCCTGTAAAGATCCCAGAAAGCTTCTGTGCTTCTGGGTGGAGCTAAGTTGGCTATACTAGCCACGACTTATACGCACAACGACCCAAATGAGAAGTTAAGCACGGAAAATAGAGTCCTATTTGCATTACAACTACCTATGAAGAAGCACTATTGACCACGCAATGTACTCGTAGATATCATGCGTTGGGTGGAGTACGTCGTAAAATTTCAAATGCATTGCGCGGCGTCAAAATTAAGAATCGTTAATTATATGGCTGTGGTGCATTTTCGGTGGGAAAATAATCTGCCATCTGATTCAGATCATCTGAAACAACTCTTTTCATTTTGGCTAACGTGTCCCTTCCACCCTGTATAGTTTAAGGCTGTATACTTTTGCTATAACACTTTATTTTAAGAGATTTGGTACCTAATATATATGTATGTAACAAATATCTATTAAATTCATAGTCTTGAGGGCTTACCACTAAATATTTTCCGAAATTTCTGGCACGAACGAAACAGAAATTTGATGTTAAAATTACATAATACACGTCGTTAAAAATTATTAAAAATGTTAAAATATCATTCCTCTGGACTATTAGGATAGGATTTATGATGAACGTAATGTTAAGCTCCATTTACTGGGTCGATTTCGGTGCGAACAAAAACACGAAATTAAGCCCGAAAATTCGGAATTTCATTTCATGGTAGACCACCTGATTATTGCTACATGGTAGAACCCTGTACATATATTTCTATTATATAGTTATTCTAATTATTAAATTTATTTACTGTAACTATGTTTTTGATTATTATTGTTGGTCCTAACACAAATTTACTTTCGTATGAGAAATTAAAATGGAAAAAAGAATATAAATAACGAATTTGTCTGTTACCTCTTAACACCTTTACAACTCAACCAATTGTTATGAAATTGGGTTTACAGTTAGTATTTGGGATAACATTATTTCCATACCAAATACTAAATGTTAAAGTACCATTAAAGAGTAAAAACAAATAAAAGAAAGTGTGTATGAAAAGATTGATGAATGTAGAGGAAATAAAAGAGATCTGTTTAAATTGAAGATGCTGCTGCAACTGTTTGGCATTTCATTGTTTCTGTCTACACTGATGGGAGACAGGCGTGACAGACATGTATATATGTAAAAACAAATGAGTAGTAAAATAAAACCTCACATATAATCAGGGTGAGTGCATAATGCCTGCATTTGAACAAGTACATCATCTTCTGCGTTCTTATTTTTTTCTAATACAGTTATAAACGGGTGCTTCGGGGATTTGAGGGAAAACTGGCACTTGTACGGCTGGCCGGGCACCAGTCGAGACTTCAGGTCGAGGATGAGGAGGCCAGCCATTGTGGAAATTATTGCTGAAACATTACTGTGGGAATATAAAATTGTAGTAGAGTAAATTTGATTAAATTAAATGCTAACATAGTTTAATTATTTTATTAAAATCTTTAATTGTTTATTCATTGTGTAAAAAGATATTTTTTTATGAAACTTAGAATGGCAAATCAAGCTTACAGCCCACCTGATGGAAAGTGGTAACAAATAGAGTGTATGCCATGTCGCCCATGATACTATTTTAAAAATAAAATTACTAATATTCTTATTTATAATTTATTTTATTAAATAAATAATCCCCTTACAACTTTATTTTTTAATTAATTTATTTTAATAAAATTAATATTACATTAAAGTCTTCAAAATGTACTGTTCCCATATTTTGATTTAATAACATTAAAAATAAGTATATTAATAATTTTATTAAATAAAATATTACCCTTGAGCTTCTGCTCATAGAAAGATGAAGCCAAATACACTCAATTGGCAGATTTGTACAGGAGTTTACTTCTAAATTTCCTATTCCTGTTTGTGCTTTGTTTGCTTGTTTTAATATATTATTTTTAATATATAAATATATGATTAATATATAAATATATGATTAATATATAAATTTTACTTACTGTGCACTAGGTAGTAAGGTTATAACAGTTGACATAGTGTGTCCTATTTCTAAAACACCAAGCTCTACGAGCGCTAACAGACCCTGGCAAGCTGTCAGGCTCACCATAGCCTCCTTGGAGGAGCATTTGTCTCGTAGGAATTTCAATTCTTCATTTTCCAAAACAAATTTTTGTCTTTCCCCAACTTTATACTTTGATTTAATCGTATTTATTAACTTATCAATTGCGTTGACGATCAAAACACTGTTCTTTGTATTTAATTTATATTCGATTTCATCCATTTTTAAGTTTGCATACAAATTTAAATATTATTTAATGATAATAAAAGAGCCGGGTGAAAAAATTTATTAATAACAGCTGTGAACTGACAGCAAATTCAACAAATCTCAATTAAGAGTCAGCAATAGTGCAATCTTTTCAAAGCTGAAAAATACTCTATGCAATTACCTCGTAGCATACTTAAAATAAATTAGTATTTATAGTGTTATAGAACTATTATATTATGTTTCTATTATATATTATGTTTCTATTAAAAAATATCAATATGGATAGATATAAAAAAAACTATGTAAGCTATCTTAGAGAATAATTTAAAAAAAGATTTAAAAAAAAAGATTATTTTAAAAGTCCATAAACTGGTTGCATAGATTTCATATGATCGCTTTTTGTTCGATTTTATTAATTATATCGTTTCACTGAAGTAACCTCCGAATAATTTTTGATTGAACAAAAAAAATACATTTTGACAATAAGACACTAAAGTCAAGACTGTCAATGTCATCATTAAATTGTCACTGTTGTCATCTTGACTATCCTCTCCAATTCATTCAATCAAAAATTCAAAAGGGTGAAGTTTCTCCCAAAATATTTGTTTGATTCTATTCAATTTTACTCGTTAAAAATTCACAAATATACATTAGTGATTGGATTGCTTTTCATATACGTAATAATTATTTGATATTAATCACCATAAAAAGAAAATTGTAAAATGTCTACGCCGCCGCGAGAGACCATCCAAAAGCAAATCCAGCAGGATTGGGCGAATAGAGAATACATCGAAGTTATTACAGGAAGCATAAAGAAAATTACCGATTTCCTAAACTCTTTTGGTAAGTACATTTTCAAACAAAACAGAGAATGAATTGAAAGATTATTACTTTTAAATAAGAATAATTATTGTCTTTAAATCAAGTTATATGGTACACTTTGAGAACCGAGAGCCAATGGCCTCCTTTTACACATCTTTTGCCTCCAAAACATTCAGAACTCTTCTCATGCAGCTGTGCCAGTTCTGGAAACTTCTCCTAACTCCAGTCTTAGATATATGGTTTATTTGATCATAAAATATTAGTGTAGATCTGCTATGATAGATGTATATCCTTCTATTTTCGTATTGTATAGCTATTTCATAAATTTGTCATCTAACATTCTTTCCACATACCTAAACAAATAAATGCAGCGAGTCCTTCCCAATTTTATGTTGATACTTTCCGATGGCATAAATGTTTATAATATGTTTTAGATATGTCCTGCAGATCACGTTTGGCCACTTTGAATGAGAAACTCACATCTTTAGAAAGGAAAATTGACTATTTGGAAGCCTGTGTAAGTAACCTATTGTTAGTTATTTATCTATGAAATATTTCTATCCACTGCTGAACATAGGCCTCCCTATGTTAGGGAGTTTTGCCAGTAATCGCCATGCTTGACAGGAGGGTTGGCAACTGCAGTTAGGTCTGGTGATATTTTAAGATGGATGCTGCTGCTCATCCCTTGACCATTAAATTACTTTAGTCACTCTTACAACACCCAAAGGACCTTCCTTTTTTCGTCTCAATACATAATCTATCAATGTCTATATGACAAAGCAGATTACTAAAGTAACTTCATACCCTCACATTTATATTTTTGCTTGTGTTTCTTGGAGTTAACCTTATTGTGACATTTTTTTTTATACAACTTAGAATGGCAAATAAGCTGACGGCCCACCTGATGAAAAGTGGTAACCGTCGCCAGACATAAGCAGTACCATGGACATAACAGAGTATACTGTTTCGTCCATGATAACCCCCCATGTGTTGGCATTCCTAAGGACTCAGGTGTTATTCCTCTGTACCCTGTAAATTCACACCATATCCCACCCTTCAAACCGAAACACAGTCGTGCAAACACAACTGCTTTACAGTTGAAACACGAATGGGACAGAAGTACCCAAGCAATCGACTTTTGTACAAAGTCTCCCTCTGGTAAATATTTTGAAAATTTTTTTTTTATTATATTTTAATTTAGGAATTCATTTACCAAATGAAAATACCTTGTTTAAATTATTATTATTAAATAATTAAATAGCTGGTTTAAGAGAATAAGGGCTAGAACTGGGTCTGGAGAAAATAAAATTGGCAACATTGTATCAAAGAGACTTGTGAAGTAACCTGCTTAGCCTACTACATTACTATAAGTATACAATCTCGTTTGAATCATTAATGTACTTATTTAATTTTATTTATTTCCAGGTAACTAAAGGAGAGACTTTGACATAGTAATTAAAGATTTTTTTTTGTTTATTAATTACAATAAAAATATGTTATGTATTATACATTATACTTTCTAAGTTTATTATAATTCTTAGTTACATTAGTTGTAACAATTTTTTTTCCATTATTGAGGTCATCATCAAGATATCATCATATTCATATTAGGTAGATCATTATGGCTTCTTAATATTTTTTTTTTTTTATACAACTTAGAATGGCAAACAAGCTGACGGCCCACCTGATGGAAAGTGGTAACCGTCGCCTATAGGCATAAGCAGTGCCGTTGACATAACAGAGTATACTGTTTCGCCCATGATACCCCCCATGCATTGCCATTCCTGAGGACTCAGGTGTTATTCCTCTGTATCCTGTAGATTCACGCCATATCCCACCCTTCAAACCGAAACATAGTTATGCAAACACAACTGCTTTACGATACTACAAACTGTCTGTTTGTTCTTATGTTTATGGTAATTATTAAAATATAAGGAGCCATACCCAATATTGGAAAATTATATTTGATAACTAAATAATTTAACTAAATAATTTTTTATGTATTTATAATATTGAAATATGTAGTAAACTATAAATAATACTTCTGTCCGTTCCACAATGTTTCTTGACTCGCGTAACGCTACTATTTCGCGAGTACGCATGATCGAGATAAGACGAGGTAATCCACATGCCAGTAATAACTATTGCTTCTCTAAATATTAAAATAGACTTAGACATTTGAGGTTTTATGAATAAATAAGTAAGTTTCACAACCAATCGCCAATTGTACGCATTATTAGAAATAATTGCAACCATAATACTTTATGTTTAAGGTACATTATTATGAAATAAATACACATTTTAATTCGTAGAAAATTCATTTCATTTTAGCACATTACGGATTTATACTTTTTTTTTTGTTGGGTGAAAATGGTATGGTAACCCCGCCTGCGCTAACGGGATACGCTGGCGGAGCACCAGTGAATGGTGATAGATGAGAATGAAAACAGGCCGGTTAGCCCATCATGATAAATTTATCAGAAATTAACCATGTTAGTTTCCAGAGGGGACCGCGATGAGGTCGACCTGTTTGGGTATATTGCTAGCAATGGGATTCTCAGTCTCCATTACTAATAATCCCTTTCCTCCCCACGGATTTATACTTAGATCACAGGTAATATATAAAGCTACTTAACAAGTCCACCAGTGTACATTTTTGTTATAACCTAATATCTATACTATAGTGGGCATGTGATTGTTAGTAAGACGGACTACCATATACCTATTGCTAACAATATACCCCTGTCAGCCCGACCTCTCCATGGTCACCCTGGAAACCTTCGTACTGAATTCCAAGTGTATTTATCAAGTATAAGTGAATGTACAAAGGCATATAAATAAATAAACATATGTATAAATTATTCTATTATATTAAGGATTTTATTCAATTATAGTAAATAAATTAAAAATAATCAGATTTCTATTTATTAGAATGTTTATCTCTCGTCTGAGAAATTTTTATATATTTTTTGTTTTCGTATTATGCATTTATCGTATGTTTATTAACACTGCAACTGATTCTGAGACGTTTTTTCTTTAAACTTAAAATGTCAATTTGATATCACAGCAAAATTTTTGTTCTAATGAGTATAATAAATTAAATTTCTAATACTAAATGTATATGTATGTAGTGGGGGAGAAGGGATTGTTAGTAATGCGGATTATCAATTCCATTGCTAATAATATACCCTAACAGGTCGACCTCCCCGTGGTCCCCCCTGGAAACCATCGTGCTGAATTCCAAGTATATTCATCACGATGGGCTAACTGACCTGCCTTTTCATCTTCACCTATCATCTATCACTGGTGCCCCGCCAGCGTATACCGTTGGCGCAGGCGGGGTTACCATTCCATTATCATCCATTAAAAAAAAATACATTTAAGTCAAAATTACTGTTAAATTAATTTATAATTAACCAAGGAATAATAATGTCGCGAAACTATGAAATTAAAACATTAGATTAAGCGGTAGGTTTAGAGAAATAGCACCTCAGAAATGACACCGTTGTCTTTTATAAATTTGATCATACAGCTTCGAACATCACAGCTACGCCTTGCCCACCGCCACAGCTGGACGCGGCAACTGCTCTTTTCAATTTACGACGGCTGAAAAAGAAAACAATATTTTTTGTAAAAGGTTTACATAATAGGCATTGAGTCCGGAACGAAAACAATTTAAAAGCCGAGTATGATTTTGAAAGGTGAAATAGAGTACTTCGCTGTTGATTTAAAAGTCCCTATGTGTAACGTTGAATTGCATACTTTTTTTTTTATACAACTTAGAATGGCAAACAAGCTAACGGCCCACCTGATGGAAAGTGATAACCGTCGCCTGTAGACATGAGCAGTACTATGGACATAACAGAGTATACTGTCGACATTTGTACAAAGTCTCCCTCTGGTAACTTACTCAAGTAACACAGAGACGACCGCAAATCTAAAAAAAACGTAATTATTTTGTCGTTTTAAGATCAACCTCATCATCACATCAGCTTTTAACTGTTTACTGCTAAATATAAGCCTCTCCCTTGGAGAGTTTTGCCAGTAGTTGCCAGGCTTGGCAAGCGGATTGGTAACCACATTTAAGCTTTGGAGATGTTTTAATAAGGGCGCTGTTGCCCATCGCTCGCTCTCCCATAGTCGCTTTTTACGACACCCACGGGAAAGGAAGGGGTGGCCTATTATACGGTGGACCACACGGCGATTTAAGATGGAGATCATAAAATTACAATAATTTACATAAAGACGACGTCTTTTATTTTATTTATTTATGTTTTTTTTTTTTAAATAAAATCGAACAGCTAAAAAATTTCATTACAAAAACAACAGCAAAGACAAAAAGCCAAAAGCCAATTACAAGTTTTTACAAGTAAAAATTAGATTTAACTAAATATATATGACATTGCTAATACAATAAACTAAAGTAATAGGTACAAACATTGTAGGTGGGGGCAAAGAGATTCTTAGTAATGGGTTCTAACAGCCCTATTGCTAGCAATATACCCTATCAGGTCGACTTCCACGCGGTTCCCCTGGGAACCATCATGGTTAATTCTTATCGAATTCTTCGCGATGGGGCGACTGACCTTATTTTATCCTCACCTATCATCTATCACTGGTGCCACGCCAGCGTATACCGATAGCACAGGCGGGCTTACCATTCCATTTTCAACCACTAAAAATATTGTAGGTAAGCAGTTATGCAAAATAAAAAGTTGATATCACACGTTTAGACTTGCATATGTCACCAACGCATCACGTTACTTGGGTAATTTAAAAAAAATATTGCTAACTACCCAATTGACGCTCGCTCACCTCATTTCATGAACAATATGAACGGCCATCCTGGCACCAGTGGCTGCTACTGGGTTACCAAGAGCCACAGCACCTCCATTCACATTCACCTTATTGGGATCTATGTTTAGCTGTTTGGCACTGATCAGAGCTTGCGATGAGAACGTTTCGTTTATCTGGAATTGGCAAACTTGTTAGGAACAAAGACGCTAGTTTACCTTCGAGTCTCGATATACTTTGTCTACCTTACAGCCTAAATGGTCGCGTACAACACGGTTTCAGAGATGTTTTCTCCCACGAACACTCAGGTTATGGAATAAGCTCCCTGCCGAGGTTTTCCCACAAGAGACTACAGCATGAGGCTCTTCAAAAGGGGCTAAAGAGGTTTCTTTAGGGTCGGTAACGCGTGCGTAATACCTCTGGTATTGCAGGCGTTCATAGGCTACGGTAACCGCTTACCATAAGGTGGGCCGTATGCTTGTTTGCCACCTCAGTGGTATAAAAAAAAAACCTCCACCCTGTTTCTGAAAATCATTGTATTTTTTTATATATTTTTATATACAACTTAGAATGGCAAACAAACTGACGGCCCACCTGATGGAAAGTAGTAACTGTCGCCTATAGACATGAGCAGTATTATGGACATAACAGAGTATACTGTTTCGCCCGTGAAGCCCCCCATACGTTGCCATTCCTGAGGACTCAGGTGTTGTTCCTCTGTACCCTGTAAATTCATTGTGATTTCTTTTTCTCATTTTCTTCATTCTTCATGCTGATACCCTACCAGTGTCATTAACATAAACTTCAAAGAGACAGGCGGAATCATCATTCCGTCATCAATCACTAAAAGACTATTAGGGAGTCGTAACACATTATTACACATGTGAGTTTGCTTGTTACCTTTTATCACCTTATTGGCTCACTACCATTGGCATGGATGGAGAACATGACTATTTACTTTTTGTCCTGGTTACATCGATGAAATTTCGGTAACAATTGTATAATAAATACCTCAAATATATCCACATCATTAACACCGACACCTGAGACTTCTAGTAACCTCTTCACAGCTGGCACAGCTCCGAGGCCTGTTTCTAAAGGATCAGTTCCTACACAAGACCACGCTGCAACTCTAGCTAAAGGTAGCAACTTGTTTCGCTCGACAGATTCTTCTCCAGTTATGATCAAGGCAGCAGCACCGTCTGCTGGAGGCTGTAGTGGAAATAAGACATTCAGCAAATTACTAGACGATATATAGTTCAATAAGCAATGATCAGTTTAACTTACTGAAGAGTTTCCAGTTGTGATCAACGATCCATCATCCAGAATAGCTGGTAATTGACTCAGCTGTTCTGTATTAATATTTGGCTGCGGTACTCCATCTTTATCCACCGTTATTTCTTTTTTCTTCATTGTTACCGTCATATTTGTCAGCTCTTTATCGAAGATGTTTGCTTCTTGAGCTAAAATTATAAATTTCTTGATAATTAGATGGATTTTATAGTTCGCCTGTAGCATGATCTTTAGCTTATAATGTAAATGCCTCTTTAACTGCTTGTTTATTACTATTATTACTAATACAAATCCTTAATTACAATGTGCTTTAATAGTTAATCTCATTCTAATGATATTAATCCTATAAAAAGAAATTGTAAACTACCATCGCCCAATCACCTGCCTTCCACTTTAAATGACTTTGCAACGCAAAATCGTCAATCTCTTCTCTCGTAATCTGATACTTCTTCGCTAAATCTTCTGCTAACTTCTCAAGTGTAAGCCCACTGTAACTATCCAGGAACTGGTTTTTGATATAATCCTCAAATTTGTATGAGATGCCGAGGACAGAGCCGAATCGAACATTTCTGACCAAGTGTGGTAACGATGACATGTGTTCAGTACCGCCAATCAAAGATGTCTTTGCCAACCCTGTTATAATATCCTGAAAAGTGATATAAATTTCTTTTCTTTTTATTAGCAACGCTACATTCAAATCGGGATTAGTTAGACTCTGTACTATCAACTTTAAACATCGCTACTGGGAATGAAAATTCTAACTTTCACCTAAAGTATTTAATGCAGTACGTCATTGAGCTATTCATGTATGAACATCACATTGCGCCAGACACGTATTATAAGTCAATAATAATTAAATATGAATATATTATTTCAGCAATTCAATATATCTAAATTGATAAAAATTGAATAATTTGAAAGGATCATTACGATAGTTCTGAGCAGTATGGGCAAAGCCCTTTGCTTTTCCCTTTGAGATAAACAGATAAAAAAAGCAATAATAATTTGCATCGTCTCAAATGCATATATTTTAAATTAATAATTGATAATTGATAACTATAAATTTCTTAATGATTACAATAATTTCTTTTTACGGGTCAATAAATCTGCTTAATGCGTAGCCAAAATTGTTTTTAACACAGGATTCTACGTTTCACTCGTAAATTATACGTAAATATTTTTAGTCATTATTAAAAACGCTATTTTGTAAAGCAAATCTTATTTCTTACTATATATAGCTTGCATTTGAATTAGAATTGTAAATACCTAATATATTTATGTTTATTTGTATGTAGTTCAACTTATGTATACAGAATTTAATTCTAAATTCATTTACGATATGCCATTATATAATGGTAATGTCAATTTAATACTGGGTCAACCTGGCAGTCGCAATGCAAGACGGCTATATCTGTGGGGAATGGTGTCCCTGACGGACTGACAGACTGACTTTCAGACAATCCCTATGAGGCTGGCATAGTCACTCCGGTGTACTAAAGCCTCAACAAAAATTTGTTTAAAAAAAAATTCAGCTATTTAAGTGTGAAGGAGCAGAATTTAAAACAATATTCACATTCATCATCATCACCATTTCAGTCATTATCTGTCCACTGCTGGACATACGCCTTCCCCCATAGACTGCCATAAGAAATGGTCCTGAACCACCTGCATCCACTGATTCCCTGCAATGAATCAATTGAGTTTCTTGCCAGTTCTTCTCAATTGGATCTATATACCGAACTGGACGGTAGGGTAAATATAAAATTATAATGTACAAATTTGACGTTCATAAGCGGCTAAAATGTCCTACATGAATAAATGATTTTTGAATTTTGAATTTTGAATTTTGAATTTTGAATGCATTTGAGGTCGTCACTCCGTCTAGTGGGGGGGGGGGGGGAGGTCATTCTATATTGCATTTGCCCATACGGAGTGGCCACTCAAGAACCTTTCTTGCCCATCGGTTGTCAGTTCTTCGAGCTATGTGACCAGCCCATTGCCACATTAACTTATCCTTCGGTCACTTTGGTTTTTTTTGCAGATATCCTCATTTTAGATTCTGTAACGCAGAGAAACTCCGAGCCTAGCAGAGGGCTGAGCTTGAAGTTTCTTTTCTATGCTATGTAGAGCTATGCTCGCTGAATAATTTGAAGCTTTTACATACGGGCAACCGTGTAGGACCATGTTTCGGTTCTATAGATCACCACTGGCAACACGCACTGATTAAAGACGTTAGTTTTTTTTTTATTTGAGGTATTTTAGTATTTGCATTCATAATTATTCTTAAAATATGTACAAGCCATCGACTTGTGTGTCATAAGATTGTCAGTACTCACCACTGCAGCATTTACAACAGTTTGCAAGCCAGAGCCGCAAGCTTTGTTCACGCCCAGCGCTGGTCTTTCAATGGGAACTCCTGAGTATATGCCGCAGTATCTTGGAGTCTTACCGCCATCGCATTGGCTTAACTGAAACGTAATTCCCTGATTTTTTAATCGTGCTCTCACTATTATTTAAACCCTTTTGCAATAAAGATAAGTACGTTGTTTCAACAGCAAGCATCGTGCCATGGGTTTTTTTTATACCACGAAGGTGACAAACAAGCGTACAGCCCGTTTGACACCCATAGGAAAGAGTTATGTTTACCACATTGTATGCGGTGGCTACACGGCTTAGACCTCTTGCTTGCACCATATTAATAACTTCTCCCATGCTTGCACACCGGTTCTTGAATCAGACTGTGTAAGGTCTATTTCATTATCACTATTTGTGTCCCTGTGATTTACACTTATAATTTTAAACAGGAACTCAAATACTTACAAAGTGAACATTCCCCACAATAGTATTGTCTATTGACGTGGGATCAATATTGGAAGTACGAATGGCGTCCTTCGCAGCAGCAGCGAACATTTGTGAAGCCGTAACATCTCTCAGTGCTCCGCCATAACCACAAAATGGCGTCCTTTTCGCGCCAATTATAAATATACCTGTAATTTTTGGAGTGTTTTGCGTTTTTTCCTTAATTCAAAATGAAGCTTCCAAAACACATAAAATTGCATATTGGCAATCCAATTCGAAATATTCTTTTTTTTATCAATGTCATAGGAGATAGTCTACTTTTAGTAATATAGATTCCGTAAGTTAGATTTTTTGGCCGCTGTCTGTCTAGTCTCATCATAAAAATTAATTCGGTTATACAGTTTGAATTCGAAATAGTCAGCCGTTAGTTAAATTAAGAATCTACCCTAGATATTAGGATAGCAATTTCGTGAAACAAAAATTTAAAAATGACAACATTTTTTGTCGTTTTAATGTCTTGTTTCTTTTATGAAAATGTTTAATTTCATTGGTGATAGAACACGCGTTCAGACGAATAACGATGATGTAGATTTGATATAGATTATTAAATAAAACATATTACTTATATAATAATCATCAGACTTGTTTTTTAAAATTATGTTCATTTTTCAACCGACTACAAATATAGAAGAATTAAGAAATAGTATTGTAATAGTAATAGACTTATTATGACAACTCTTTGCTATTCCAAATAAAGAAAATACAAAAAAAAATAGGAAGGTTCTCAATTCGAATATATATTTTTTTTATGTTTGTTACCTCACAACTCCGCCATTTCTAAACCGATTTGGAAAATGGCTTCTTTTATTTAAAAGGGTGTATTTACAGTTATGTTCCATAGAAATTTTGTCACAATTGATTCAGTTGTTTAATTATTGGATCAAAATAACTGATTTTGTCACAATTCAAGTCTTTATGTTTTTTTTTTTTGTGGGGAACAATCTTTAACTATTAACGATATGCCTATATATGAGTAACGGGGAGTTTTATGAATTTCAAAGCTAAAGAAAGTCATCCTGAATCGACAATATGGACAAATTAATGGTTGTAGGCAAGATAGAGGGAAAAAGACCATGCGGACGATCGCCTAGTCGATGGTCGGACCAAGTAACCGCCATTACGGGACTGTCAATTGCAGCTGCCCTGCGAGAAGCTGAAGACCGTGCGAAATAGAATAACGTCATAAGACAGGCAACAGACACCTTTTAAGGACACGACCTTCAGTAATGAAGAGGACGTAGAGAGAGAGTTATCCTGAAGAAAGCTTCCGGATGAAGTCGAAACTATTGGAAACCACAGATACAGTAAGTTCATTAAATTCCCGATACACATATCAATCTAACAAATAAAGAACAATTAATTAATAAAAAAACAATCAATAGAACAAAATTAAACAAGAAATTAATTATTATTCTTTTGACGGAAAAGTATAAACAAACGTAATTTAACAAAACAAAACAAATTGATAAGGGAAAGAATATTAAACTTATTCCTTAGTCAAAAACTGAAACTAAAAAACTAAAATGTATTTTAATGTATTGAATTTACCTTTACTCGGCAATGCCATACTTCTCAAACTGTATTATCTTAAAATGTCTTGTACAAATACAATATTTTTGTATTTATCAATTGTTGGAACAAGTGATTCCATTAGCAACTACGCGGGGAGTGACATTTCGTTCTACGTGTCGTCCGTATCTCAGTTTTATCAGTTCACCTACTGTTTATACAATGATATTTCATTTGTTATATATTTATACAAGAAAGCTATGTGATTACAATGTAATAATGCATATTAATTTTTAAACAATCTTCATTTTATCACGTCAAAGTTGTTACACAAATTTGCAAGAGAATTTTACTATCATTAGATACATTATCATTATTAAAACGTATCCATTGTCCACTGCTGAGTACAAGTCTTTAGTGATTTTCTGCTACATTCTTAAAATCGTCACTCCATCTCGCAGGAGGAGACTTTGTACAAAAGTCGTTTGCTTGGGCACCTCTGTCCCATTCATGTTTCAACCGTGAAGCAGTTGTGTTTGCATGGCTGTGTTTCGGTTTAAAGGGTGGGATATGGCAGTGAATTTACTGGGTACAGAGGAATAACACCTGAGGCGTTAGGAATGGCAACTCATGGAGGGGTATCATGGACGAAACAGTGTACTCTGTTATGCTCATGTCTATAGGCGACGGTTACCACTTTCCATCAGATTGGCCGTCAGCTTGTTTGCCGTTCTAAATTGTATAAAAAAAACCTGTCCACTGCAGAACATATGACTCTTGGGACCCTTGGGGGGTTTTGCCAGTATTTGCCACGCTTAACAAACAGATGGATAGATAGATACTCTTTATTGTTTCCTCCAAAAGATTCCAATAGTTTATAATAATAACAATAAGATTGGCAGTTATAGGTAAGTTTACGTGACGTTTTAAGATGCATGCTGTTGCTCTCTACCATTGAATTCCCACAGTCGCCCCTTACGACACTCACAAAAACATATTGAAATTATTTGTGTTAATCCGGTAATGAATGAAAAATCGCCATACTTCTATTAAAGGAACAAATAAAACCACAATACACAACAACAATATAAAATATATTTTTTTATATAATAAAGAAGTAATATCGCCAACAATCTTACTGTTTATTTCAAACTAGCGACCCGCCCCGGCTTCGGCGGGTACACATTACATCACATTAGAAACTTCTAAATTTGTCAGTGTTTCTCCACAATATTATGCATGTATTATACATATAAACCTTCCACTTGAATCACTTTATCAATTGAAAACACCGCTTCAAAATCCGTTGCGTTGTTTTAAAGATTTAAGCATACATAGGAACGGATAGACAGCGATAGTGTATATATATATATATATATATATATATATATATATATATATATATATATATATATATATATATATATTACTTACAATGTCTATATATTGGGGGGAAAGGGATTGTTAGTAATGGAGTTTGACAGCCCCACTGCTAGCTATATGCCTTATTAGGTCGACCTCCACGTGGTTCCTCCTGGAAACCATCGTGAACAATTCTTGTTGAATTCGTCACGATGGGGCTAACTGACCAGCTTCATCCTTCACTGGTGCCCCGCCGGTGTACACCGATAGCGCGGGTGGGGCTACCATTCCATTATCATCCATTAAAAAAAATATCTATATATCGGTCCAATAACAAATATGTTAAAAGTCTGTTATCCAAAAATATTGCATGACAGGCTTCTAACATTATCGAAAATTGATATCGGACCAATATGGGCGACACCGGAACGACATTATTTCCGCCATTGATGTCCAGAGGAGCCCAATATATAGATATGGGATCGGTATCCATATAACCACAGCCCTGATCATATATCAAGCTATTATAAAATAAAAGTTTAATACGATAATGTTTTGGATGTCTATTACTTATGACAGAACAGATTTACACATTTTCATTATAAAAGGAGCCAAGAGACGACATATAACATTATTACCAATTCTTTATATTCTAGTTTTGACGAGCAAAGCCGCAGATTAGAACTAGTAAACTATAATTATCCGTATTCTATAGCAGTCTATTTATTGTTCATTCGTTGATCTCGCAAGTCATCAGACGGACTCGAGTAAAACAGCGATGCCCTGTCCGCCGCCGATGCATGCTGATCCGATGGCCCTCTTCAAGCCTCGCCGTCTGTAAATAAATGTATTTTGTACATTCTATAGGAAATGGTTATAGAAGGGGGGAAGGGATTGTTAATAATGGAATTTAGAAGCTCTATTGTCGTATAGATTCTTGAGTGTCGACCACGTACGCGTAAACGCAGTGTAGGACGAACCCCCACCAGATGGAGCGACGATCTGAAATGCATTGCAGGGAGTCAGTGGATGCAGGTGGCTCAGGACGGTTCCTTATGGCAGTCTATGGGGGAGGCCTATGTCCAGCAGTGGACGGATAATGGCTGAAGTGATGATGATGATGATTATCGTGTGATCTCGACATAGAATGTGCCACCTTTTTCTTTTCCATGGGTGTCGTATAGATATAAAGGCGAGTAAGGGATTGTAACGGTGAATGGATGGACAGCAGCGTCCCTCTTAAAACATTACCAAAACCTTACTGCGGTTCCCAACCCGCCTGCCATGCATGGCAATTACTGCCAAAACAATAGAGAGGGGGCAGGCGTATGTTCAGCAGCTGATATAATTGCTCGCCCTACCTGGTTAACCTCCACGCGATATTCCCTAGAAACCGTGGTTAATTCATGTGGAATTCCTCAATATGAGCTAGCTGATCTGCTTTCGTGCCGTGGACACGTGTCGCAAAACGTGCCTGAATAAATAGGCAGTCGGAGATTGATGGCTAAAATAGAAGGTTGTGGAACATCTGGTAGTAATAATGGTGGTAAATCTTCGAGTGTTGGCAGAAACACATATACTAATGGTGGTGGAATTAAACAAAATAATTCTAATCAGCTAACCAGTGAAATAGAAGGTAGACTAATTAAAAGACGTACTCCTAGTCCATCTCGTAGATAGACTTTTTTTATAGTTGAAGGTGCATTTGTTCAAACATCCCGTTCTCGCCATTAGATACGAGTGGCGAGATGCTTGCTGTATTAAACACATTGAGTATATAAATTTTGGGATAGAGTGCAAATTAGGGGACATAAAGTAAACTAGTTAGACTGACGGCCTAATACTGCTAATGAGTCTCGTAGATGGACTAGTAGTAAAACCCACAAAGCTGTGCAAACTGCAATGCATCATTCTAGTGGAATTGAATTCTTTGTGCTTGCGATCCTCCTACATAAGAGATTAAGCAAGAAGATTAAGGATGGAACCGGAACTTGAACAACACCAGCTTGCAGGGATCGAAGAAAGCCTAAACTAGGCTTTCTTCGGTCCCTGCATACATCACCTATTTATATTCAGTCTCTACATCCGACTGCTATTTATATATCCAACTTTTTTAAATAGTCCTAATACCTGAGTTCGTGAGTCAAATGCGCGGTGATTCTAGCACCTGATGCTCCTACCGGATGACCAATAGCGATAGCTCCACCGTTCACATTCAGCTTGCTTTGATCAAGCTTCAGTTCCTTCACGCAAGCCAATGTTTGTGCAGCAAATGCTTCGTTGATCTAAAAAAAAAATTACTTTGAGTATCACCACAAGAGGGAAAAGTAGAGATATGTCTTTCTTATTAGCAGCTTGTTTATATGTAGTGTTCAAGTTTGAAGAGTTAGATATGGTGAAATGAAAATATTGAATACTGTGACTCAAAATCCCGATGTCACAATACCCGAGTGATACTTTTGGTGTTGCAAATGTTTATGACTTATGGTGGCCATACAACATACCATAAAGCACGTATTATGCTTGATTGCCATCTTGTTACCTAAGCATACTTGTTACCTAAGTAATTACCTCAAGTTCTTCAAAAATGATAAATAAAAAAACTAATCTATCTAGAAAAACTAGTCTATGGGGGAAGTTTATGTCCAGCAGTGGACGGATAATGGCTGAAATGATGATGTTGATTTCTTTCCTAAAAGTTAAAGATGTTTGGTAATTATCTAAAATTGTTTACCTCAATCAAATCAATATCATTAAGTTTGAGTCCTGTCACAGACAAAACATTCTGAATAGCAGGTACTGGGCCAATGCCCATGATGCTCGGGTCTACGCCTACAAACGACCAGCCCAAGATCCTCGCTAAAGGCTTGAAGCCATGTTGTTTGATAGCCTCCTCACTGGCCAGGATCAGAGCGCCAGCACCATCGTTTATTCCCTGACAATAGAAGAACAAGTATATACGTAGATACAGAATTGTAGGTATCTACATTGTAGACATTGTAGAATGCAATAAAGGTTTTCTGGAATCGACATGTATGGTAAGTGTAAGTAATTGAATAAAAGAAGAGATGTAAGTTTGTATTCAAAATGTATTTGGAACGATACTAGATACTCGGGTTGTCAACTTTTATGCAAAAGTAAAAAAAATAAAATTAGATAAAGTAAGAAAAAGATTCCCTAATTTTTACCTATATCCCTTCTTTCATCTGTTTCCATCATTCGTCTCATTAATCATTATGTATTATGGTCTAGAAATTACTTCGTGCGTTTTAGTCTTCACGAATAGGCCGTAAAGTCCGCTGTCATGTTATTTTTTTTATACAACTTAGAATGACAAACAAGCTGACGGCCGATCCTGATAGAAAGTGCTAACCGTCGCCTATGGACATGACATAACGCCTATACCATGGACATAACAGAGTATACTGTTTCGCCCATGATACCCCCCATACGTTGCCATTGCTGAGGACTCAGATGTTATTCCTCTGTACCCTGTATATTCATTATATACTGTATGGTATACTTCTAACCGAAACACAGCCATGCAAACACAACTGCTTTACGGTTGAAACACGAATGGAACAGAGGTACCCAAGCAATCGACTTTTGTACAAAGTCTTCCTCTGTTATGTTGATTTCTACAGGAAACGGTTTCGACTTTCCATCAGATGATACGTCAGCATAATCCATGAATAATCCAAAATAAGATATAAATGTTTTCATTAAACTTACTGATGAATTACCAGCTGTCACCACGCCTCCCTTCCTAAACAATACGGGCAGCTTGTTCAGCCCGTCGCTGGTCGTCTCTGGTCGAGGGTGCTCGTCTCTGTCCAACACTACTTCTTGCCTTTTTACTTTTACAGTCACAGGGGATATTTCCTCATTGAAAACTCCGGCATCGAACGCTGTAAACAAACGGAAAATTAACTAAGGATATCGTGGCCTACGAGTTTTTTTTTTTAACAGAGGAGTCAAACGAGCATGCGGCTCACTTGATGGTAAGTGCCTATCGCTGCCCATGATCACCCGCAGTATTAGACACATTGCAGGTGTGCTGCCAACCTTTTAAAAAGGAATATGCTTTTTTTAAATTAATTATTCTGACTATAAATCTTAAAGGACGCAAGACTTAACCTGACACTAATGAAACCTGACATAAAGTCGTGTGTGGTATCAACATAGAATGGGCCATCCCTTCCTTTCCCGTGGGTGTCGTAAGAGGCAACTAAGGGAACTTAATTGTCAGGGGATAAGCAACAGTATTCCTCACTTCACCTCCAACACCAAAGCCTAACTGGGGTTGCCAACCCACCTGCCAAGTGTGACAACTATTGACAAAACTCCCCTTATAAGGGGAAGCCTATGTTCGGCAGTATACAGTAAACGGCTGGTATGTAATCGATTTGGTATTAATTTAAATTTCAGATTATGGTAATTAAAAATAATGTTAACAAATCAAATACACTTGACGATATCCGAATGATATGACTATTGATTGGTCGAACTTTGTCTATGCCCTTCAAGCATCAATGTTTGTATTGCTGGGTTTCAGTTTTAAACACGTTAGTTCGATGAAATGTGATAGTAAATAAAGTGAACGTGATATATGTTGTTTTTATACAACTTAGAATGACAAACAAGCTGACGGCCCACCTGATGGAAAGTGGTAACCGTCGCCTATACACATGAACAGTACCATGGACATAACAGAGTATACTCTTTCGCCCATGATACCCCCCATGCGTTGCCATTCCTGAGGACTCAGGTGTTGTTCCTCTGTACCCAATAAATTCACGCCATATCCCATCCTTCAAACCGAAACACAGCCATGCAAACACAACTGCTTCACGGTTGAAACACGAATGGGACAGAGGTACCCAAGCAATCGACTTTTGTACAAAGTTTCCCTCTGGTATGTAAGGACCTTCGTATGAAATCTGGCATTAAAAGAGACTGGTGCTTAGGAATCATATCATACAAGTTTACCATATCTTACCAGCTTTCCATCTTCTCTGCGATTGTAGCGCAAAATCGTCCACCTCGCTTCTCTTCAAGTCATACTTCTCTGCTAAATTCTCAGCTGTCTGCGGCATCGAGAAATTGCAGTAGCTATCCAGGGAGCCTGCAGTGAGCATGTCCTCGAAGTTGTAACCCGTTCCTAGCGCGGTACCAAAGCGGACGTTTCTTATAGCGAAAGGTACAGCCGACATGTTTTCGGTACCACCAGCAAGGGACACCTGTGCTCCACCTGTGAGGATATCCTGGAAACAAATGGTAATCTTTTGCAGACACATTTCAGAGAAATGCCTACTTTGATATACTACAAAAATGGGGAGGGCAGAGATTGTTAGTAGTGAGATCCAACAGACCCATTACTTATTACGGCAAACAAGCTGACGGCCCAACTGATGGAAACTGGTAACCGTCGCCTATAGACATAAGCAGTACCATGGACATAACAGAGTATACTTTTTCGCTCATGATACCCCCCATGCGTTACCATTCCTGAGGACTCAGGTGTTATTCCTTTGTACCCAGTAAATTCACGCCATATCCCACCCTTCAAACCGAAACACAGCCATGCAAACACAACTGCTTCACGGTTGAAACACAAATAAGACAGAGGTACCCAAGCAATCGACTTTTGTACAAAGTCTCTTTCTGGTCTTAACATAGAGCTCCCCTAATAAGGGGGGAGCCTCCGTAAGGGGGGAGGGGGCTATATTCAACGTTGGCCAGTCAACAGCTGATATGCTGATAATAAATAATAAAAATATATAAGTATTTGAATGGAGAATATTACCTGAGTACTGTTGACGATAGCTTGGAATCCTGATCCGCAGAGCCTGTTCACGCCAAGAGCGGGCTTGTCCTGCGGGACTCCTGCTTTTAAGGCTGCATGACGTGGTGACAGTCCACCATCGGACGTTCCACTTAACTATAACAATAAAAATATTAGTTACCTATAATATTTTTTTAAAATATTACATTCTTTGATAAGAGCAGAGATGGTTGTAACCTAATAGAAGTATAGTCAGTCGGAATATGCCTTTTTTTATACAACTAAGAATGGCAAATAAGCTGACGGCCCACCTGATGGAAAGTGGTAACCGTCGCCTATAGACACGAGCAGTACAATGGACATAACAGACTATACTGTTTCACCCAAGATACCCCCCACGCGTTGCCATTCCTGAGGACGCAGATGTTATTCCTCTGTACCCAGTAAATTCACGCCATATCCCACCCTTCAAACCGAAACACAGCCATACAAACACAACTGCTTCACGGTTGAAACACGAATGGGACAGAGGTACCCAAGCAATCGACTTTTGTACAAAGTCTCCCTCTGGTGGTAGTCGCCCTTAACTCCAGTCAGTGCTTTTGTACAAAAGAATTGGTATATGTATATTTTATGTTACCATAAAAAAAGACATTTAAATTAAAAAGCTAAACTATTGAATCGATTTTGGCAAAATTTCTGTAAGATCAATTTGAAACTATATCCTTTCAGATAAAAAAGAAAATTTCCAAATTGGTTTATAATTGACAGAGTTATTATTAGAGTGATGCAACAAACGTAAAATAAATAAAACCTAATTGTGGACCTCCTTCTTTTTAAAGTCGGTTGGAAATAAAAATAAAAAAAAATCTTTGATTGATGTATTGAGTATAACATTCATTGAACTGAAATATAACAAATTTGAGCTAATTGTTATTATCTCCACGAATTAATCAGTTTAATGCTTAATTTTTGATGTATTGAAGTTTCATAGACCCGAGTACCTCTTTTCTAAACTTAAATTCACCAGATTACATAATCACAGTACTAGAGAGTCACGTTTTCTTCTAGCTTGTAATCCCCATAAAACAGCAGCTTTTAATGGTAGCTTCCGATATCAAGCCACAAAATGTTGGAACAATATACCACCTCCTATAAGACTGATCGCCACTAAGTCCAGTTTCAAAATTAATTTACAAAAATTCTTAATTGAGAGGCAAAAGTTAGACATTCCAGCAAGTTACCTCTATGTCCCAATTGTCTGCTAGATAGATTGCCATATCTATCTGTTTACTGTATGGATAATCTGGTAGTATTGTTTTATTGTTACCCTATTCCCTTGGCCGCAACAGAATATCAGTGCTTCGCTCTTTTGAGGGCGAAGCAATAAACTGAGTTGTGACCATTTTGTATTGTTATGGCACACGCACAAACGAAAAATTGTATTTAGCTTTATGTATTTTTTTTTAATCATTTACGTTATCTCGCTTTTTATGTATATCTATATATGTTGTAATTTGTGTGCTGTAAGTAATGCAAATAAATTATCTATCTATCTAATTGTTATTATCTCCAAGAGTTAATCAGTTTGCCTTGGGAAGGGGGGGGGGGGGAGTAAGAAATTGTTAGTAATGAGGATCTGACAACCCCATTGCTAGCAATATACCCTATCAGGTCAACTTTCACGCGGTACACCCTGGAAACCATCATGGTTAATTCTTTTAGAATTCGTCACGACGGGCTAACTGACCTACTTCATCCTCACCTATCATCTTCCACTGGTGCCCCGCCGGTGTATACCGATAGCGCGGGTGGGGTTACCATTCCATTATCATCCATTAAAAAAAACCCCCATTGCTAGCAATATACCCTATCAGGTCAACTTCCACGCGGTTCACCCTGGAAACCCCCTTGGTTAATTCTTTTCGAATTCGTCACGAAGGGCCAACTGATCTGCTTCCATCCTCACCTATCATCACTAACTGGTGCCCCGCTAGCGTATACCGGTAGCGCAGACAGGGTTACGATTCCTTTATCACCTATGGAAAAAAAATTAGTTTACCTAAATCAGGCATACATCAATGTAATTTATCTAACATCTCACCCCATAGACTTGTCCAATGTTGACCGTGTCTATTGCGGTCGGTGCCACGTTACCAGCTCTGATGGCATCCTTGGCAGCCACCGCCAGCAAGTCCGAAGGGTGTACGTCCTTCAGCAAACCACCCATGCGTCCGAACGGCGTCCGTTTCGCCGCCACGATAAAAATACCTGCGTCAATTAAGATTATCTTTGACAAAGAAAAAGTACTTATACTAACCTGAATACCTGAATGTGACAGAAAGTGACCTCTGACTACCCCTCATCTAATGGTATCTGTTATTTATTTATTTATTTAAAATATAATATCAAATGAAGGCGAATGTAACACGCACAATGCATTTTATTTATATTTCATTGTATTATTATTTTTAATAAGGAATTTCGCGACTGACTCTTGGCCACAGCAGAATATCAGTGTTTTGCCCTTTTAAGGGCAAAGCAATAAACTGAGATGTGACCATTTTGTGTTACTATGGCACACGCATGGAGGAAAGAAAAGAAAGGAAATTGTTAATTTATATATTTTGTTTTTTGTTTTTGTTTTGTGCTTTTTTATTTTCATTCTTTTATCTCTTTTATTGTGTATTATGTGTATGTATGTATTGTAATTTGTTTGCTGTAAGTAACGTGAATAAATTATCAATCTATCTACTTATGGCAAAACCAGTTAATTTCATATAAAAAATCAATTACTGAAACGATTTCGATAAAATTGGACTATAGGACCAGTCTGTAAGTATATCCCTTCAGATAGGGAAAGAATTTACCAAATTAATTTAGAACTGACGGAGTTATGAGGTAACAAACGTTAAAAATAAGTAGTTTTTTTTTATAAAGTCGATTGAAGAGTTTGTTTACAGATATCTTGTCAAGACTGTAATCAAGGGATTTAGGGTATCAATCTTGTCCAATGTTTTTTATATCTATAACTGATATGTAAGGAAAATTTATATAAAGCGGTCTTGATAAAGGGCAATAGGGACGGGAAAGGGAAGCTAAAACAATATTTTTTTTAATATTAATTGGATGCGGTTTTAACTTAAAATCTGGTATGTATTTTATTTTGATACGCTAATTAAGAGTGACGTTTTTCATTGGTTTTATCTACTTCTGAAGTCCACGTGTTCGAAGTAGCGGACAGCAAAAGCTTATAAATGATAAGCCAACAATATTTGCCTCAGCTAGTTAGTTAGTTATTGCTAATCCATAAGTTGTTATTTTTAGATAGACAGAGGGAGACTTTGTACAAAAGTCGATTGCTTGGGTACCTCTATCCCATTCGTATTTCTACCGTGAAGCAGTCGTGTTTGCATGGCTGTGTTTCGGTTTGAATAGTGGGATATGGCGTGAATTTATTGGGTACAGAGGAATAACACCTGAGTCCTCAGGAATGGCAACGCATGGGGGGTATCATGGGCGAAACAGTATACTCTGTTGTGTCCATGGTACTGCTCATGTCTATAGACGACGGTTACCACTTTCCATCAGGTGGGCCGTCAGCTTGTTTGCCATTCTAAGTTGTATAAAAAAAAAAACAGATAATTTATTTGCATTACTTACAGCACACAAATTACAACATATATAGATATACATAAAAAGCGAGATAACGTAAATGATTAAAAAAAAAATACATAAAGCTAAATACAATTTTTTCGTTTGTGCGTGTGCCATAACAATACAAAACGGTCACAACTCAGTTTATTGCTTCGCCCTCAAAAGAGCGAAGCACTCACATTCTGTTGCGGCCGAAGGGAATAGGGTAACAATAAAACAATACTACCAGATTATCCATACAGTAGATTTTTTAATTAATTCCTATGATTCATGCGAGCAGCAGCGAAGTCGATGTTTATATATACGAAGTCGATCTTTCTTTCTTCTTTCTTTCATATATAATATGGTAATGTATTAAGCATTTACATATACGACGCATACATAATAGCCACTATGTCTGTAGTGTAAATTAATTTAATAGCATTACAGTTAAAAATAATAACCCCGTGTGTGTCGTACGAGACGACTAAGGGACCTTATGGTGGAAGGATGAGCAGCAGCGTACCTCTTAAGCGTCACCAAAAGCCAAACTGCGACTGCCAATCCACCTGCCACGCGTAGCAACTACAGGCAAACCCACCTTTATGGGGGAGATCAATGTAGAGCAGTAGAGTATTAGCGGTTATAAACATGAGCAGTACCATGGACATAACAGAGTATACTGTTTCGCCCATGATACCCTACATGCGTTGCTATTCCTGAGAAATCAGGTGTTATTCCTCTGTACCCTGTAAATTCACTGCCATATCCCAGCCTTCAAACCGAAACACAGCCATGCCAATACGACTGCTTTACGGTTGAGACACGAATGGGACAGAGGTACCCAAGCAAACGACTTTTATTTAGAAATAATAGGATTTTCATCGTGCCTCCAATCAAATTGTTTATAATTACTCCTCTCCATCCAAAGGTTGCCTGGCAGAGATCGCTCTTAGCGATAAGAGTCTATTGTTTTCTCATTGTGATTATTTCTTGTAATTATTTATATCGAGAATGAGTTTACTATTGTAATCTTTTGGAGGAAACAATAAAAAGTATCTATCTATCTATATGCAACTACACCCACACAGGGGTTAAATTTTTTTTAAATATTATTTATTTATTCAAGTGTCTGTGGTATGTATGATCTGTTTATTTACTATTCTTATAATTTGTTCCAATATTGATTCAAATGGTTTCAGAACGAGCGAGCTTATTTTTGGCACAGAATTTTTTTTTTGTCTATGGTTGTCAATGCAGTGCATATTATATATCTCTCTCTTACTCTACCTTAAACTGGACATTGAACTTGCCTACCTATCTCCAATCTAGATAGGTACAATTGCCACTAAAACTTTATTAAAACTAAATTAATATTATAGAAGTTTTTATAGTTTATTTATTTAAGGAACACCAACAGCATATTGCATTATAACATATATAACAAACATTAAATACAATACAATATTAATGCACACGCCTGTTATAGGTGTTCACAGCATTCACTTTAACATAGTTGTACAGTGCGAGAAAATGAAGTAAATAATAAAAACAAACATGTAACCCAAGTTGTGAGCAATATCAGAAAATACGAATATAAGTGAATTGAATTAAAAAATATTAAATATATATATATATATATATATATATATATATATATATATATATATATATATATATATATATATATATATATATATATATATATTATGATAATTAGAGAATAAATACATAAGTACATAACAATTATACGCCGTGATAATATGCTTTGTTACCAAGTACACAGCATTAATGATAACAGCCAGGTACATTTTGTAACATTTATTGACACAAATCGTTCAAATTAATCTGTCAAAACAAGTCTGTGTACACACAAATTAATTATTTTTTAAGAATGGAACAGGTTACAATAAATATTGAATAAAATTATGTATATCCTACCTTTATTCACAGCAACTGACATGTTGTTATTATGGTTTTAACAATGTAACTACAATCACAAAACGTCTAAACTGCACGCGGCGCGTCACTCCGCGACCGGCTAGCGATCACATATGGTTGCCTACTTCTTGTGAAGCGATAGCAATGTTTCTTAACTTTCATGTCGCTTATAGATAGCAAGTACTTATATACTTATGTGATTTGATGTCGGTAGGGGCCGCCCTAGACGGACGTATGTTGACCAAATAGGCGACGTGCTGAAGAAGGGCCAAAATAAAAGTACCCGTAACTGAGCGTGTATGAAAAGATTGATGGGTGTGGAGGAAGCGAAAGAGGTTTGTTTGAATCGAAGCATTTGGCGTTCCATTGTTTCTGCCTAACCTAATGGGAGACAGGCGTGACAGATATGTATGTATGTATGTATGTATGTGATTTGAATAAATAAAATTATGCCGCAATATCAAAAAAAATTTTTTTTGATCAAGAATAAATTGTAAACTGTATGCCCCTAATAACAGCCAACAATAGTAAAAGAAAAATCTAGTAACAAAAATTGTCCCGCTATCACATTGTATTTATAAAAATTGGCAATAGAAGTGGAATCAAACCCGCATCATTTTTTTTAATACATAAGAATGAAATGGTAGCCCCATCTGCGCTGTCGGTATACATTGGCGGGGCACCAGTGAGGGATGATAAATTAAAACGAAGCGGGTCAGTCGGTCCATCCTGACAAATTGAACAATGAAATAATCACGATGGTTTTTTGGAGAACCGCGAGGAGGTCGATCTGATAGGGTATATTGCTAGTAGGTAATAGTACTAATCCCCATTACTAACTATCCCTTTTCCTCCCCACCCGCAACATTTTTTTTTTTGATGGGTGTAAATGGTATGATAACCCCGCCTGCGTTAAAGGGATACGCTGGCGGAGCACCAGTGAAGGGTGATAGATGAGAATGAAAACAGGCCAGTTAGCCTATCATGATGAATTCATCAGGAATTAACCATGATAGTTTCCAGGGGAAACTGCGAGGAGGTCGTATTGGTTGGGTATATTGGTAGCAATGGGATTCTCAGTCTCCATTACTAACAATCCCTTTCCCCCACCCGTAACATTTGAGTGTGACAAACTAAAGTCTGCTTGAGAACCTTTGTCACATACGTGTTTCTACCGTGCAGCAGTTATTTTGGTTTGACGGTGAGATGTAGCAGTGAAATTATTAGCTCTTAACTCCACACCTAGTCCTCTCGTATGCCAAACCATGAGGGGTGTCATGGGCGTTACAGTATATTCTATCATGGTCTTAGTACTGTCATAGTATTATATTATCTGTGGTACTGTCCATGTACATAGGCGATCTTTATAATATTTAGCCATTTAGCAAGTTTCATCCCAACCATCTGGACGCGTGGCGGTCCTCCACCGTGCGTTTTCAAAGCACTTTCTTCCACGCACAACCACTCTTTGGAATCAACTTCCAGCAGCTGTATTTCCGAACCGATACAAAATCCTAACTTTCAAGAAAAGAGCATATTCCTTTTTAAAAGGCCGGCAGCACACCTGCAATGATTCTGGTGTTGTGGGTGATCATGGGCGGCGGTAGTCACTTACCATCAGGTGAGCCGCATGCTTGTTTGCCCCGTGTGTTGTGAAAAAAAGTTTTCCAGCATGATGGATCCTGGCTATCTTGAATAGCCAGAAGCATTTAATCATTTTCAAAATTCGAAAAAAAAACATTTATTACCACAGATAATGTAATACATATTAGGTACGAACTACATATATTTAAAATTCGAGATCCTACATTAAAAAAAAAAATGTTATATGAACATTCATTTATCACCTATCCTAATTCACGCCGGCAAATCCACATGATATGACTAGTTCGATAGTATATACATACGAATACTTTATAATATATACCTAAAGTAATAGATAGGGGGGAAGGGATTGTTAGTAATGGGGAAGTTAGTCACCATTGCTATCAGATACACGCGATTCCCTCTGGAAACCATCGTGACTAATTTAACATTGAATTCGTCACGACGAGCTAACTGACCTGCCTTTTCATCCTCACCAATCATCACTGGTGCCCCGCCAACGTTTACCGTTAGCGCAGGCGGGGTTATCATTTCATTATCATGCATTATAAAAAAAAAACGTAACAGATATGAAATAGTTAAAAAACAAAATAGCAACAAAGAAAAACCTGTACCTTAACTCTGCCCGTACTTTGTACTCGCGATAAATTTATGTAAGCGATAGAATTATCTACATTTTAAGACGGCATATGACTAGGGCTGCCATCCGTCCGAAATTCCCCGGATTTATCTTTTTTTTTTGATGGATGAAAATGGTATGGTAACCCCGCCTGCGCTAACAGGATACGCTGGCGGAGCACCAGCCCATCATGATGAATTCATCAGAATTTATCATGATAGTTTCCAGGGGGAACTGCGAGGAGGTCGATCTGGTTAGATATATAGCTAGCAATGGGATTCTCAGTCTCCATTACTAATAATCCCTTCCCCCCCCCCCCGGATTTATCTTAGTTTAAAGGACGTCCGGGTGCCGTCCGACAGGGGTTTTTGAAAAATGTCCGGGTTACACCCGGACACTTTTGTTGTCAGGGGAAATCTAATTTTTTTTTTATAGGTAGGCGATCTTGAAATATAGGCGAGATTGAAATAAATCGTAGTTACAAATTTATCCACTATAACCCTGTTTTTATACATATAACAATGTTTTTATTTTTGTTAAAAAAAATATTTTTCAAAAGTGTCCGGGGAAAAAATCATATTTTGCCCAAATGTCCGGGATTTTTGCCATGTTTATCCGGTGTCGGCAATTTAGGTGATGGCAGCCCTACGTATGACTATGTAATCAGCTGTCAACAAGTTGTTTTGACCACCTTTTATAAAGTAGATGCCGATATACCTAATTAATGTCATTGTAGAGTAGCAATTTGACTATTTTGCATATATTAACAACGTTGTGGCAGTGGGGGGAAAGGGATTGTTAGTAATGGGGTCAAATAGCGTTATTACTAGCAATATACCCTGTCAGGTCGACCTCCACATGATCCCCTGGAAACCATCGTGTTTAATTCTAGTTGAATTCGTCACGATGGGCTAACTGACTTGCTTTCGTTCTTATTTGTCATCTCTCACTGGTGCCCCGCCAGCGTATACCGATAGCGCAGGTGAGGTTACCATTTCATTATCATCCATTAAAAAAAACCTTCTCCCAACATGAGAGGAGGCAAGATTCGGCTCGAATCTGAACGCTTCGCGTCATATCGCACTCTTCAAACCGAAACACAGTCATGCAAACACAACTGCTTCACGGTAGAAATACGAATGGGACAGAGGTACCCAAGCAATCGACTTTTGTACAAAGTCCTCCTCTGGTTACTTAACCTCACACACAACACATTTTATTGTATATAAATTTTAATAATTCTCGTTTACATTGTTCAATTATTCTGTGATTTTAAACTATTTTCGAAGTAATTTTAAATACTAGTTTAAAAAAAATACCAGAGGGAGACTGTACAAAAGTCGATTGCTTGGGTACCTCTGTCCCATTCGTGTTTCTACCGTGAAGCAGTTGTGTTTGCATGGCTGTGTTTCGGTTTGAAGGGTGGGATATGGCGTGAATTTGCAAGGTACAGAGGAATAACACCTGAGTCCTCAGGAATGGCAACGCATGGGGGGTATCATGGGCGAAACAGTATACTCTGTTATGTCCACGGTACTGCTCTTGTCTATAGGCGACGGTTACCACTGTCCATCAGGTGGGCCGTCAGCTTGTTTGCCATTCTAAGTTGTATAAAAAAAAATGTTAAAAACATTACGGTTGTGTTGAATAAAAATGAACTAAAATAAAAATACACATTTTGAAAAATGACACGTGAGATTGAGAACAAGGGGAAGGTTTCGAGCTAAATTGACATGACATCTCACCGAGGGGGAAGGGGACGGGGATCGGATGCTCGTCAGAAATGCCATACGTTTAGTGGACACCCACTTAATGTCCTAATATAATTGTAGTATTACAGATTTGTTTGAATCGAAGCATTTGGCGTTCCATTGTTTCTGCCTACCCTAATGGGAGACAGGCGTGACAGATATGTATGTATGTATGTACTTCAAAAATAAACTTGCACTTGATATCGTCTACAGCTGATAAGTGATCCAATATTATGAAATAAAGAGATAAATAATAATCTCTAATAATTATTTTAATTATGTAACTATACCTACTTATAGATAAATACGCAAAAAATGCAATGTTCTTCGGCGATTCTTAAAGTGATCTAGGCATTTTAAACATAATTTTGTTTTTATTTTAATGCTAAGCAAGTCTTTTTAAGTGCTCTCTACCAATTTTAGTACCAAATCTACAAAGCGCCAAGTCACCAACAAAATTAAACATAGGTATTTAAATACAGTTTACCTGTAATCTGTAACAAGGGCGTACGGATATGCGACCCCGGCCTTCCGAGCCGCTGCAGTGTCCCAGTCTTTTCCGCAACTGCAGTGTCCCTCCTTTTCATTCCCAAATAAGACCTTTATTCCTTTTATTTACCAATTTCCTTTATGAATTCCCAACGTTCCCTGCCTTTTTCCTTAATCCTTTCCTCCATATCGTAGATGCTGGAAACCACCAACAAATGCATTCCCAAAGAGGGTTGACGTCAGTCAGGTAGCTTTTTTTATGGGTGATATGGTAAGCCCACCCGCGCTATCGGTATACACCGGCGGGGCACCAGTGAAGGATGAAGCTGGTCAGTTAGCCCATCGTGACGAATTCAACAAGAATTGTTCACGATGGTGTCCAGGGGGAACCACGTGGAGGTCAACCTAATAAGGCATATTGCTAGTAATGGGGCTGTCAAACTCCATTATTAACAATCCCTTTTCCCCTCAGTCAGGCGGCTGGTCATAAAAGTATAAGCCAAATCTTTTTGTAATATGGATAAAAAAAAACATATTACGCCGATGCCAAATAATAATTAGGAAAAGGGTAGGAAAAAGATGATTACTACTGTAAAGAAGTCAAAATAATGAAATAAATAAATAGAAAAACAACTTTATTGATCACAAATACAATAAATAGTTTCACAAAATATAATCTTCACAAAATATTTTATATTTTATTTATTTTTAAGCACACTCTTATATTATACAAGTGTATAAACTATACATATACCAATATAATAACAATTTCTTTATGACTCCATGTAATAATTGACGTGACTTCAGTCCAACATTCAAACTCATGTCATTTCATAGTTTCAAATAAAACGGATTTTTGGGAAATGAATGAATGAAAACTCTATTGTGCCCATAAAAAAAATGAGATATTTACTTGAAACATGTAAAAAAAATAGGATTACTTTACCAGACAAAGCAATAATGGGTGGCCTTACAGCTAAGATTTCTTCCAAGCAACATGATGATGTTAAAAAATTAATTATTATAAAATAACTTTACAATTTCAAGTAAATACAAAGTTAAAAAATACATTAGACAATAATTTGTGTTAATGACTCAATTAAGTTTCATCCAGCGGTGCATTTTGCAATTTTGCCGTCCCAGGCAAAAATAAAATTGCTGCCCTTCATTTTTGCCTTGCCGGGCAATTTTTCGACTCTATCCTAGATTTTTTTATGCAACTTAGACTGGCAAATAAGCTGACGGCCCACCTGATGGTAAATTGTAACCGTCGCCTATATACATGAGCAGTACCATGGACATAACGGAGTATACTGTTACGCCCATGATACCCCCCATGCGTTGCCATTCCTGAGGACTGAGGTGTTATTCCTCTGTACCCTCATAGAACGGTCATTGATTTAGTCGATGTGTATTGTGTATTAAATGTATGGAAACTACTGTTACGCATTATTTGTCTAGTTCTAAAATGTACAAAGATCAAAAATATATCTGTACTTTGAACCAATGATAATTTGTTATCGCTTGTATCTTTTATCATCTATGTAACATTAAAATGTTTAATATAGTCTTAACAACAACATTTTTGGCAGTAACTATTTGATTAACTGTTTAGACAGCTTCAACGAGCACGGCGATGCCCTGTCCGCCTCCGATGCACGCTGATCCAATAGCCCTTTTCAGTCCACGCCGTCTGTATGAAAAAATTAACAATTAGACACAGCAAATGTTTCAGGATTTTTTTTTACAACACAGGAGGCAAACGAGCATGCGGCTCACCTGATGGTAAGTGACTACCGCCGCCCATGGTCACCCACAACACCAACGGCATTGCAGGTGTGCTGCCGGCCTTTTAAAAAGGAATATGCTCTTTCCTTGAAGGTTATGTTGTCGTATCGGTTCGGATAAGAAAAATAAATGTAGTTTAGTCCCCACGATACAGGTCTGGCGTAGTTTGGGGACTGATGGTGATGCAGACTTTGTTCTCGTTCAATATAAATTGTAAAAATTGTACTAAATTAATTATTATATAAGTAAATATGACTAAAAAAAGATGTAACCCATTGCTTGAATTTTAAATGAATGATAATGCGATGAAGGTCGCCCATTGTTTTCTCATTGTGATTATTTCTTGTAATTATTTATATTTATAATAAGTTTACTATTGTAATCTTTTGGAGGAAACAATAAAGAGTATCTATCTATTTATAATGGGATAGTAACCATATATGCGCTACCGGTATACGCTGGCGAAGCACTAGTGAGGGGATGATAGGTGAGGATGGAAGCAGATCTGTTAGCTCATCGTGATGAATTCATCTAGAGTCAACTACGATGGATTTCAGGGGTTTTTTAATAGATAATAATGAAATGGTAACCCCGCCTGCGCTAACGGTATACGCTGGCGGGGCACCAGTGAGAGATAATAGGCGAAAATGAAAGCAGGTCAGTTAGCCCATCGTGATACTGTATGCATCTTTGAATTTAGTACACTGGTTTCCAAGTAGGACCACGAGGAGGCCTAGGGGGGACTAGGAGGAGCGATTTGCTGACTTACTTTTTCATCCTCACCTGGTGCCCCGCCAGCATATATCGCAGATAAAATCATTATTTCATTTTTGTTCATTAAAAAAAAAGTTATATTGCTAAGTATAAAAGCTTTGAAATTGAATGTACCTGAGTTCGTGCACAAGGTGGGCGGTGATGCGGGCGCCGGATGCCCCGAGCGGGTGGCCGAGGGCGGTGGCGCCTCCGTTCACGTTCAGCTTCTCCTGGTCCAGCTTGAGGGCCTTGGCGCACGACAGGGTCTGAGCTACGAATGCCTCGTTGATCTACATGGCATTGAAAAAATATTATTTTCAAAAAATCAGCGTTACACAAAAATCTTAATTATTTGGTCATCAAGTTAGGATGCCATATTTTATGAGGAACCGGGCAAAGTCTGAGGGTACGGCTTTGATTATTACCAATGCCTTGCCCCCATCCCAGACGACAACAAAAATAGTCAAAATAAATATAACGAAAAGTAGACAAGTGCTAAGCCTGGTACCCTCCCCCGACGCTCAAGGGGAAGGGATTGAAGGGAAGGGGGAAGGATATACCCTAGAATCATCATCATCTTCCTATCTTCCATATGTTTTTATCCATATTACTAAAGAATTTGACTTATAGTTTTAATATACCCCTAGAATAATCTCACAAAATCTCTAATGAGTTTTAAGTAGAAAATGGTCACTTGGGTGTTACGTAACATTAGCCCTCCTCCGCCCCCCTAACGTGGGGGATACATTAGATTGTAGTCATAAATCTGTAATAAGGGTGGGATATGGCATGAATTTACTGGGACAGAGGAATAACACCTGAGTCCTCAGGAATGGCAACACATGTGGGGTTTCATGGGCGAAACAGTATACTCTGTTATGTCCATGGTACTGCTCATGTCTATAGGCGACGGTTACCACTTTCCATCAGGTGCCAAATGCCAAACGCATGTAGCCCTTTATAAAAAAGTGGGCTACGCTAATCCTGTGAGGGCCCAAGTGCGTTCTTTCCATTACTGTAGATGGAACAGTTCAGACGGATTCTTCGATTATCGACTTACCTCAATCAAATCAATGTCGTTCAGGGTGAGGTTGGTGGCCTTGAGGACGTTCTGGATGGCGGGCACGGGTCCGATGCCCATGATGCTGGGGTCAACACCCACGTACGACCAGCCCACCAGCCGCGCCAGGGGCTTCAGGTTCTTGGCTGCTGCCTCGTTGGCGAGGACCAGCGCACCGGCGCCATCACTGATACCCTGTACAAGACCATGCCATTTATTTAATTAAAGCGGAAATAGCAAACACGCTGTCGTCTACCCTGATGAAAAGTGCTAATTGTTGCCTATGAAGACATGAACGATACCATGGTGTCGCAGAAGACGCTGTGACGCCCATTCATGAAGTTGTTTTTTTTTAAACAACTTTAAAAAGGGTAATTCAATATAACTCATGCTAACTGCTTAAAGCGCCGTGTCATGCTAGATCTCTCACCAGAGGGAGACTTTGTACACAAGTCGATTGCTTGGATACCTCTGTCCCATTCGTGTTTGCATGGCTGTGTTTCGGTTTGAAGGGTGGGATATGGCGTGAATATACTGGGTACGGAGGAATAACACTTAAGTCCTCAAGAATGGCAACGCATGGGAGGTATCATGGGCGAAACAGTATACTCTGTTATGTCCATGGTACTGCTCATGTTTATATGCGACGGTTACCACTTTCCATCAGGTGGGCCGTCAGCTCGTTTGCCATTCTAAGTTGTATAAAAAAAAAATCTTTTAGAGGAAACTAAAGTGTATCTATCTATCTCTCTTAATGTATTAAATAAATAAAGATACAAGACTTATATTGGTGATTTATTAAGATCTTAAGCTTAAAACCACTACTTTTTTGCTTGGTAGGGTAAAATAATAAACCTGTGGAATAGTACAAATGTTGCTCTGATATAAAAAAAAAAAAATACTTTTATTAATATATATATCAGCACACAGATAAGGTACGACCTTGGATACTGCGTGTGTTATATGTAAACTCGACTAACACTTATTAATGCTCTTATCACTGTCTAAATACGGGGTATTATGGATTCTATGATATAACACTTACATCGAATTTAATATAACGCGAAAAACCAATATCGACTGTTAGTTCGATATTTTTATAGAAAAATCGTCTTCATTTATCAAGTGGCCAGACAGTAAATTACTTTTTTATAACTAGGCATCGGCCCGTGACTTTGCACGCATGAATTTTTGAAGTAAAAAGACCGATGAATGTAATAGATAGATCCTCCAAAATATTACAATAGTAAACTTATTATAAATATAAATAATTACAAAAAATGATCACAATGAGAAAACAATGGGCGACCTTATCGCTGTGAGCGATCTCTTGCAGGCAACCTTTGGATGGAGAGGAGCAATTATAAAGTTTTATTTGATAATAGAACATTACTCGACGGCATACCAAAATAATATAATAACATAATAAATAATTGATATTAGCAATTACATAATAATGTAGACACGACCGCATGTATCTGGCCAGTATAGCAATTTTGATTTATCTCGAAGAAGATTGTCAAAATAATGCTCACATTTCCATGCATGTTTGAGAAAAATTCTTTTTCTTATCTGAAAGTATATACACGTACTTTCAGATTGGTCTCACAGAATTTTCATTGAAATTGGTACCGCAGTTTAGTTTCTAAATCAAATTAACTGATTTTCCCACGATTGAAGACTATGTTTTTTTGGACCAAAATCTTAAATTATTAATGTATCTTGCCCCATGTTACTTTAATTAAAATGTCCAATCTCGCCAGTAAAACACTCCCTTCAAAGAATGCCAACGATCTCGATATGACCGTGTAGTTATTACTCACCGATGCGGAGCCAGCGGTGACCAGGCCGTCCTTCTTGAAGACCGGGGGCAGTTTCTTGAGGCCCTCGAGGGTGGTCTGCGGGCGGGGGTGCTCGTCCACCTCCACGTTCACTTGCTTCTTCTTCACTGTCAGCGACACAGGTATGATCTCCGATTTGAAGACGCCGGCGTCGTTTGCTGGAAGTTTGTCGAAGTATTTAATACACACACCAGTAATTGTTTTTTTTATTTATATAACATCTGATATATATATATATATATATATATATATATATATATATATATATATATATATATATATATATATATATATATATATATATATATATATATTGTATATAACTTCGTTTTTATAATTCTTAATATATTTTTTAACCCCTGTGTAGGTGTAGTCGTATATTCTGTAAAATAAAGTTTCTTTCTTTCTTTCTAAAACCAATTTGTCATAAGAATGCACGAAGAGTAAATTAGTTCGTACCTTTTAAGTGTAAGAATGTCAGTAAATCATAGAATAAAAATACGACATCACCACACCTTCGTATTGTTATTAGTGCAAGAATACAAAATCACCAAAATGAATGGTGATATTGTATTCTCACGGTATAGAATGGGCCACTCCTTCCTTTCCCATGAGTATCGTATGAGACAATTAAGGGAACTTAACAGTTGAATAAGACCGCCCATTGTTTTCCCACTGTGATCATTTCTTGTAATTGTTTATATCTATAATAAGTTTACTATTGTAATCTTATGGAGGAAACAATAAAGAGTATCTATCTATCTATAATAATCAACTTACAAGTCTTCCACCGCTGCTGCGACCTCAGCGCGAAGTTGTCCACCTCGTCCCTGGTGATGCTGAACTGGGCGCCCAGCTTCTCCGCCGTCATGCCCATGGGCAGGCCGCAGTATGAGTCGGTGAGGCCGGCCCACAGCGTGTCTTCGAACGCGTAGCTCTGACCCAGGGTTGCTCCGAAACGGACGTTGCGCACAGCGAAGGGCGCCTGAGACATATTCTCCACTCCGCCAGCCACTGAGATGTTTGCTGCCCCCGTTAGGATGTCCTATTGATGTTTGAACTGGGTAAATAATACACGACCATATGTCACAGGTCGTAGAGTTCAAAAACAAAGCGAACTTTAGATATTAGAACGTATTTTTTTTATTTATTTATGCATCATAGAATGGCAAACAAGTTGACAGCCCACCTGATGGAAAGTGGTAACCGTCGCCTATAGACATGAGCAGTACCATGGACATAACAGAGTATACTGTTTCGCTCATGATTCCCATGCGTTGCCATTCATGAGGACTCAGGTGTTATTCCTCTGTACCCTGTAAATTCACTGCCATATCCCATTCTTCAAAGCAAAACACAGCCATACAAACAACTTACACAACATACACAACTACTTCACGGTAGAAACACGAATGGGACAGAGGTGCCCAAGCAAATGTTTATACTCGAATGACAATTATTGCCGTCTGGTCTCGGCATAGAATGGGCCACCACTTCCTTTACCATGAGTGTTATAAGTGGCGACTAAGAAAATTCATTGGACGAGGTATGGGCAGTAACGTTCCTCTTAAAACATCTCTAAAGCCTGACTTCAGTTTGCAATTCGCCTGCCAACCGTTGCAATTACTGGCAGGACCCCCCAAGGGAGAGGCTTGTGTTTAGCAGTAGCTATTAAAGGCTGATATGATATATATATCATGCATGTACCTGTCATTTTTCATTCGACACCTGTCAATTTTGGCAAAAAAAAAAGGAGTAATTAAAGATTTTGTTCGCAAAAAAAACTAACTTCAGTCGCAGCAAAATTAGGTTTTATAAAAAAAATAAACCATACTGATTACAAAATGAATTATAAAATTTGCGAAAACACTGTACAATGTATACAATAAAAATACAAACGAATTGAATATATATATATATATATATATATATATATATATATATATATATATATATATATATATATATAAATATATATATATATATACACACACATATATATATATATATATATATATGTATATATATATATATATATATATATACATATATATATAGTATATATGTATTAAATAATCGATATAATGAAGTTCTATCATGAAGTAACAACACAAACATTGAATTATATTATGAATTAGGTAAAGACATTATCAATTTACGGCCAGATATGTCGTTATATATATGGCTTCTTATTTACATAATAAGTTGATTGCGTCATCTATTTGTTACAGTAACATGATTACTAGCTGTTTAGTACAATTTAAACAAAAATAAAAAAAAAATTAGAAATAAAAATAAGGTTTTGATCTTTTTATTAATCATGAGACATAGATAATTAATGTTGTATTTCAATAAACGACTCCAATTGTGGAAAAATCTATTATTTCGATTAAAAAATTAAACTACTAAACTGATTTTGATAAGATCTCTATTGAACTAATCTGTATTTCCTTTAAGATAAAAAAAGAATTATCCAAATCGGTTTACAATTGAGAATCCCCTTCTTTTTGAAGTCGGTTTAAAATAAAATCGTATCAATTTTATTCCCGTATAATGATCCCGTACAATTTATGGGCCCTGCACGCTTACATTCCGCCTGTCTTTGTCTATGTTTTACAGGTTATGGGCCCAGTTGACTTCCACATGTACATTTCAACATCACATATTAGAAATTTTAGGAGAACGTATATTTTTCTATAAAGATTAGTTTTCTAACTCGGTAATCTAAGGAATCGTAAGAGGGTTATGTCCATGGTACTGCTCATGTCTACAGGCGACGGTAACCACTTTCCATTAGGTGGGTCGTTAGCTCGTTTGCCATTCTAAGTTGCCTAAAAAAAACCTACAAGACTGTTAGAAAATACAAAAGATTAACTTATCAAAGATAACATGTCAGCGTGAGCAAGGTGAGTGAGGGTTATCAGCGGGGTAAATCCATTCTAACGCCCGTTAATTCAGTGTTAATATATTTTATCATGACATAAATACATGTTTATTGCCCCACCCCATAATTACCTACCAATTACCTAAGTGATATGGGCGTAATGATAAAAGCAATAAATTAATTATTTATTGTATTTCAAAGTTCATTTATTATCAAGATTGAATATTAATGAGTTGGCACTAAAAAGAGCTACCTAATTATAATTGTATCTATTTATACAAGAGCTGCACTCTTGTCGGTGGAGCTCTTGCCACTCACTACGATTTCCAGCGAGCCCCTTCACCTCTTGACACGACACGACACCAACTCCTTCTTTGATCTGCCTGATGTAACTATGTCTCGGTCTCCCTCTCCCCCTCCTTCCTTCTATCTTACCTTCTATTATAATGTTCATAAGTTCGTCGTGTCGTATCAAGTGTCCCAACATTTTTCCCTTCTGTACTCAACAGTTCTTATAATTTGGCTCTTTTCCTTAATCCTATAATTGCATAGTTCTCTTATTTTTAACTTCACAAAGTGGTAGATTAATTTATATGTACTACGCGTATATTTATGTTATGTATTCCTTTACCTATACCGATGTTTCTAAAATGTGTGTGTCGATTTTCATGTCTCTTTTTTTTAAATGGCGAAAATCTATTGAACTATGAACACATCACGAGACTACTGAACAAATTTTGATAAAAAAATTTCCAGTAATTCAATGAAAAAATACAAAAATAAATAAATATATATACATATGTATAAGTTCGTGGAATTATAATGTACAATTGATTAAAAGGTGTGATTTCAGTCTTCTCTTGAAGGAAGTAATGGAAGGACTATCCTATGTGCTCGGTTAGGATATAACCTACTCATGTAGATAGATAGATACTCTTTATTGTTTCCTCCAAAAGATTACAATAGTAAACTTATTATAAATATAAACAATTACAAGAAATAATCACAATGACAAAACAATGGGCGAACTTATCGCTAAAAGCGATCTCTTCCAGGCAACCATGTACCAAAAATGAATTCAAATCCATTCAGTAGCATTTACGTGAAGGAGTCACAAACATTCATCCATTAATTTTTAAAATTTATGTTAATTTTTTATCCGATATCTATGTACATTATGTAACGAGAAGCTAACCCAATGAGTTTAATAATTCAACAGATGTCCCTCCATTCATTCATCGTCAGAAATTTTCGCATTTATTTTATTAATAGGATCACGTAAATATGTAGTTAGAAATTTTAGGCAAATAATGATTATTTTATTATTATTTATAACTAGCGGCCCGCCCCGGCGTCGCACGGTTGGACATTTTTACATTTTAAAAAGTGGCCGTTAAAGCTGCACACGCGACGGAAGCTTAAAAAAGGAGTAACTTCTCCTGTTTTCCCAACATTTCCCATCACTGCTCTGCTCCTATTGATCGTAGCGTGATGAAAAGTATACTATAAGCTGCCCGGGAGTATGAAGAATAATTGTACCAAGTTTCGTTAGAATCCGTCGAGTAGTTTTTGTTTTTAGAACAAACATACAGACAGATAGACAAAAATTTTACTGATTGCATTTTTGACAGCAGTATCGATCACTAATCACCCCCTGATAGTTATTTTGGAAATATATTTCATGTACAGAATTGACCTCTTTACAGATTTATAATAAGTATAGATAATAAAATAATGTTAGAATAATTCCTAATAGAAATTTAAGCGGACAAATTTGTTCATAAATAAAAAATCTGGCTTGACAGAATTGGGTAATGTACAAAAATTTATGTAATGTAATTAATTGTCCACTGCTGAACATAGGCCCCCAGTACCCCTTACAGGGAGAAGACCCCCCAGTAAGGGGTACTGGGGGGTCTTCCCCCTGGAGGGGGAGGCAAAACTCCCTTTGCTCCTTTAATCGCCTCTTACGACACCCACGGGTATGGAAGGGGTGGCCCATTCTATGCAGGGACCACACAGCGATACCATAGCCTTTATATACCTGAAATACCAGAGGCATTACGCGCGCGTGGCTGACCAGAATACATGAATATTTGTTTACCTGGGCACTGTTAACAACTGCCTGGAAGCCGGAGCCGCAGAGCCTGTTCACGCCGAGAACAGGCTTCTCCTGAGGAATACCAGCCTTGAGGGCCGCGTGTCGTGGTGTGAAGATGCCATCAGTTTGGGAAGCCTATAGGATGATAAAACTTAAGTTAGGCGTGAGGAGTGACACAGATAGGATTATAAGGTAAAAAAATTATTCTAAAATCTAGCCATAAAAATATTAAGGGTACAGATTTCTCTATCTACATTTATTACACGATAATTCAAGGGAGAAATGCATCATGACGGTAGAGAGGCCCATGTTTTTAATAATTTTTCGGCCCACATTTTATTTATCTATTTTTTATTTATTTTTTTATTTTATCTTTATTTGGTCTCCCAGCAATTGTTACACTGATAAGATTTCATATTAAAATTACTGTCTATTTATACTTAGTGTACAATCATTTTAAAGGAAACACAGCTAATTAACAAATGAACAATAATATGGTATAACAATCTCTTGAGGTATTTGACATTGGTATAGTTTTTTAGATTCAATAGATGATTGCTTCACATAAGTTTTAGCTATTTTTATATATCCATGTATTTATATTGCGGAAATCTATAATTCACTGGGTAGTTGATTAGGATTATTTTGTTTACTACTACCAATAGCATGTGTGCCACTGGCAAAATGCATAGATTGACTATTATTATTATCAGAAGTTCTATAACCTTCCATATTAGCCATCAATCTCCGACTGCCATTTCGTCCATGCACGTTTAGCAAAACGTGATATTCAGATAAAAGGTTTTTCCAAATCGGTTTACAATATAAAAAAAAACATAAAAAGGCAATTAAATCGAGAACCTTCTTTTTTTTTAAATTGGTAAAAAATGCTTATAATTAAGTTTATTTGAACAAAAATTGTTCTCATTTCACTTAGAAGCCTTTTAACAATAGAAGTACATCACTTACCGACATAACTTGGCCGACGGCGACAGTGTCGACTTGCGTGGGCGCTACTCCCGCTTCCTTGAGGGCGCCCGAGATGGCCAGGGTCTGTAGCTCCGTGGCCGATGTGTTGCGGAACACTCCGCCGAATGTCCCGAACGGGGTACGCTTGGCACCCACAATGAATACACCTGCAAGAACAGTACTGTTAAGTAAAGTTTATGGCAGTATAAAAATATTTGCCACCTCTTTTTTTATGCTCTGCCACTTTTCATTTTTCGATTTTAGCCAACTGAACAGCACTGTGCCTATCACAAATTGAAAAACTCAATGTATGGAACATTAATATAATAACAATAATAATAATAACCCTTCTCAAATCCATCAGAAAAACATTCAGTCTTGGCCAATACATAGGATTACACCAACCTATTGCTAGAATATGTTCCCTTTATAATGAACTTAAAGCAAAAATAAGGGACCTCGATATTTTCCATGATTCACAGCGTACATTCATGTTTTTTTTATACAAATTACAATGGCAATGTTTATACAACTTACAAAGCATGTGTTCATATTTCATGGTTAAATTCAATAAATTTTTATGAGAATAAATTAAAGGTTTTTTGTATAAAAAACTAAAACTTGTAAAGTATGGGAAATAAAGTTATAATAAAAATTTACAGATAGTAAATATCAACATCAGATTATTGCAGGACTGGTAGAAAATTAAGTCAAATTCCTTGAACATTCTCTTGTTCTGAAATTAGCTTACAAAATGAAGCAACACTGACAAACTGCATATATCTCCAAAGACGGAACACTTGTGCTTATAATAGTGATTGTGAATTAAAATTAAAATTGAGTTAAGGAATAAATCATCTAATTCAATGTTTTAATCATGTAGAATTGTTATTTAGTTAATAAATTAGCTATTTAAAGACTTTTATCTAATATCAGGGGTGTAACTATACCATTTGGGGCTGGTGGCAAATTCTTTTGATGGGGCCCTATCAATAAAAAAATACTTTTCACATAAAATAAAATACTCAGGTACAATGCAAAAAAAATCTGAGCTCGCGGCCCCTTGAGCCAGGGCCCTTTTGGAAGGGGGACCCTTGGCATTCTCCCAGCCCTGCCACCCTATTGTTATGCCACTGTCTAATATATTACAAACCATAAGACCAAATATTTCTTTGTAATTATTTGTTATATTTTAATAATATAAAAATGGTGAACTCTGACAAGTCTTAGAAATAGGCTACTAACTGACCCAGCAAATAGTGTTTAGTCAAGAGGAGAAAAAGAATGAAGATTGATAGAAATAGGTGTGTAATGTGTAAACCTGATGGGTTTATTAGCAATCGCGCCATTTCTAGCAATAAACGTTTTCAGGTTAGCATCCATGAAACTCCCCCTAGTAACTATTTTACTTTCCATTTTCACCTTCATGGTGTAGTCGGACTTATCATTCCATTATCATCCATTAACAAAAATTTGTTACTTTAATAAGATTTCGTAAGGCCGGTTGAGTGGTATCAAAGATTAGCATGACATGGAATTTATATAAAGATTTTTATTTAGTAGGATTCTCAGTGGTATATAAAAATTATTTGGTAAAAAAAAAACTTAACGTAATATGGAAAGACTGAGCGAGCTTTGTATAAAAGAAAATAATTGTTGAGTTAAAAGTTATAGTGCCTATGCAGATACATAATAAATTGGACTTCGCTCTTTGAATGTCATATTGTTAATTCCGTGTTTTTTGTACCTTAATACAAACTAATCAAATGTTTCAGGATTTTATTTTATATTTATTATAAATTTCTGTATGAATTCGAATAAACAGATACTATAAAACTTTTTTATCAGCGCCACAAAAATGACATTTGGAATTTGACCCCAAGAATTTGAAGAAAAATTATATTTACATATATTCTTAATATAAATATAGTTTATTTTAATTAACTTACCCTTCACTGCTACAGACATATTTAAATCTGGTTTTTAAATACGTTAATTAAAAATTAACAAAAGACAACACAACACCGGAAAACAAATAACACTAAGTTTTACGCTGACAGCCAACACGTTTAGTTTCGTGTCGTACAGTGAGCGAATTTTAAATAGAATAAATTGGGAAGGTAGATATATGAATGAATAAATAGTAGCAAGAATGAAATAACAAGCGAACGAATGAAACTCATTTAAGTAATGAATAACTTGACATGATAAATGAAATAAATATGAACGAATGATAGGTAGCTAATTAAGTTAAATAAACTGTCATCTGAGATTATAAGTGCAGTAGTATTTTATCATTACACGTAGGTATAAATTAATTGTTTGTAAGCAACGTAAGCAAAATCAGATTCTATTATATTTATTTAATTCAATAAATCGCAGTTACTATAATTATATCATTTACGGTCATCTTTATATGAATACCTACTGATAATTCAATCAAATAGGAATCGACAGTGGTGGTTAATATATAGCAATATCTATATATTTTAGTTACAATATTTATATACTGATCCAATAACGAATATATTAAAAGTTTGTTACCTAAAAAATAATATTAGAAACAGACTTTTAACATATTTGAAAATAGATATCCAACCGATATGGGTTATATCGAGATGGATGTACATCTTTTTTTCGCCATCAATATCCAGAGGAACCATGAGAGGATCCATTATATGAATATCGGATCGGTTTCCATACGTGAGTGTTGTGTAATATCTGTATGTGTGTGTGTACTTATTGTACTATTACAACACAAACGCCAGTATGACTGACGTTTGACTGCTGTGAAGTTTGCTGTAAATTAGTCCTTCTGTGATTTTTCTCGTGATTGATTGTAATAATAATTTTCAATTCAAAACCTAAGAAATGCTTATGCAATGAGCGATGGTCGGCCTGTAAGCGGTCAGTTGAAGAAGTTTGTGTTTCGCGGCAAGTCCACAGCTAACGGGGACACTCGAGGTGAATATCTGGAGATCAAAATACCCGAGTTGCTTTCCGCTGGCTACTCGTTTTACACGTGGCCATCGGCTCCACTTCTGGCTTGGTATTTGTGGACACAGAGAAGACATTTACGCGGTCTTCGAGTCCTAGAACTAGGGTGCGGTACCGGTTTACCAGGAATATTGGCGGCTAAGTGCGGTGCTCGTGTCACGTTAACTGATAGCGTTGCATTGCCCCGATCTCTGCGACATTTGTCTGCGTGCTGTGAAGCGAACAATCTCGTTCCTGGCCACGATATACAAATCTTAGGTCTTGCTTGGGGCCTATTCTTGACTGATGTTCATTCTCTGCGCCCTGTAGATCTGCTTCTAGCTTCAGATTGTTTTTACGAACCGTCGCAGTTCGAGGAGGTTATCTCTACTGTTGCTTACTTTCTAGACGGCACTGACGCTCGATTTTTGTGTGCTTACCAGGAACGCAGTGCTGACTGGTCTATCGAAGCTCTATTGAAGAAGTGGGGACTAAAAGGCGCCCTTATTGATTTGGATTCACTGAGCGAAAGCTCAGGTGTAGACTACAGAGCCTTGATAGGCGAGCGATCTTTGCACTTGTTGGAAATAGTGTCTGTGTAGGGTATGGCCAGCACAGCTCGGGCAGCGCGTCTATATGTGGGCAACTTGCCGTGGACTGTTGGACATAGACAGCTGAGAGAGTACTTTGCCCAGTTTGGAGCAATACAAAGCTCTAGAGTAGTATTCGATCGTTCTACTGGTCTCAGTAAAGGATATGGTTTCATAGAGTTTGTTAGCCCATCAGCTGCTGCTGATGCCATCAACAAGCAGGTTCATACACTAGAGGGCTTGAATTTAACAGTGCAAGCTCAAAATAATTAAGTACTTTATCTTCTCAATTAGCATTCAACATGGCGGAGGCAGTACTGGATTATCCAGATTCAGATTTCTCTGATGATGACCAAACACCATTAGATATATCTTTTAACCAAGCAGCTGGCCATGTGAGAAAGCTCACCAGCAAACTAGACAATAATCAACTCTTAGAACTTTATGGACTTTTTAAACAAGGTACAGAGGGCAAATGTAACACACCCAAACCTGGTTGGTTAGATGGAAGGGGACGGAGGAAGTGGGAAGCTTGGAACTCACTTGGCGATATGCCTGTAGAAGAAGCCAAGGAAAAATATATCTTACTAGTGCAGAAATTTGATCCAGAATGGTCCGACGAGCGTGCCACAAAAATGTCAGAACAGTGGGTGGCAGTGTCATCACTAAGACGCTCCCCTGAACCAGAGCTTATTCACAATGAGTTGTCACTATTAGACGCAGCAAGGGAGGATTGTGGAGAGCGTGTTGCTGAGCTCCTGAGGCAGAACCCTGAATTAAGACATGAGAGAGATGACGATGGTCTCACTGCATTGCATTGGGCAGCTGACAGGGACGCTACCAAGGCTCTGCTTGCTGCTATTGAAGGTGGATGTATACTCGATGCAGTAGATGAATGTGGACAGACAGCTCTGCACTACGCTGCTTCCTGTGGTCACATCAACTCCACAAAAATACTATTAAATGCCGGAGCCTCCTTTTTAAAAGATAACGAAGACTGTACACCAATAGATTTAGCCACAGACGATGAAATCAAGAAGATTTTAGAAGGTGCTAAGATGTAGACGTAAAAGCCAGGCATGGTGGCAATTTTAGTTAGAACCTTTATGTTATTGTAATGTAGTTTAATTCAATAAATTTTTAATGCATTACAAAGTTTCATCTTTCATGATAACCTCATATAGCTCAAATTCTATTATTGCTAATTCCCTCGAAGACATTTAATGACGCACTGTCGGTTGTAGTCCGTCATGTAATTTAAAACTAGTCCTGCTTAAATTTTATAGCCTATGACGTTACGACTTGCCTCAAGGAACATAACCTAAAATTGAGAATAATTTCTTTTTGTTTAAAGCTGTTCAATTTCATAGAACTTAGCAATTAATTTTGATTCACCTACATTTTACGGGGATCAAAATTATAACCATCTGAACGCGTGTGTGCATACCCACTTAAGATCATGGCAACTTGGTTAAAATAATAATTGTTACAATTTTAAATTTTATTTTTATTTACACTTTATTGGCCACCAGAGGGAGACTGTACAAAAGTCAATTGCTTGGGTAAACACGAATGGGGCAGCCATTCGTGTTTCAACCGTGAAGCAGTTGTGCTTGCATGGCTGTGTTTCGGTTTGAAGGGTGGGATATGGCGCGAATTTACAGGGTACAGAGGAATAACATCTGAGTCCTCAGGAATGGCAACGCATGGGGGGTATCATGGGCGAAACAGTATACTCTGTTATGTCTATGGTACTGCTCATGTCTATAGGCGACGGTTACCACTTTCCATCAGGTGGACCGTCAGCTTGTTTGCCATTCTAAGTTGTATAAAAAAAAGAAACATTACAAAAAATGGTATAAAAGGCAGACTCGATGTTCTATATAGCATTCTCTCCATTGAATCAATATACTTTTCAATTTTCGCCCACATTTTATTAAAAACAAAAATTTTAATACTGAAATATGTTTAAAACTACAAATTGATATATCCATCGGTTGCTAAATAGAGACTAGGTAAGAATATCAAACAAAAGTAACTTGAAATGTTTATTAATAAACAATATAATAACACTATTCCTACAAACGTTAACTATACTACAAACAGTACTGAGGCACAATATACTCAGAATTGGCAACGAATAAGTACTATGGACCTCAGTGAATTTGTGACGACCATATTTTTTTATTATACAGCTTAGAATGGCAAACAAGCTGACGGCCCACCTGATGGAAAATGGTAACCGTCGCCTATAGACATGAGCAGTGCCATGGACATAACAGACTATACTGTTTCAGACTTGATACCCCCTATGCATTGCCATTCCTAAGGACTCGGGTGTATCTATAGGCGACGGTTACACTTTCAAAAGCCATCAGCTTGCTTAAAAGTTGCATCTTCAAAAATTCCGTTATCATCTTAAAATGACATTTCTAGTTCAGTTTTTTGATACGGAAAGATAATTAATCATATGCAAATTTATATAAACAGATAAGAATACTGCATACAGGTGCATTAACGTTTGTACAAATAAGATTATTTTGGCAGTATTTGCTATATATTTAAAATCAAATCATTACACGACAATTCTGTTTAATGTTTTATCTTTTTTATTCAATTAGGCAAGACATAGGCATAATACAATATTGGGCGCATAGTCTTGAATACGCTGTAACATGGTGGAACCGTAGGATTTTTTTTTTTTATTATTATGGTCAGACGTAGTAAATGAAAAGTGATCCAGTTCCAATGGACGGCGCTATTTACTTGTCATCAGATCAGCTACATGCTAGTTTGCCTTCTATTATAAAAAGGTATTTTATACAAATATGGCGGGACCAGCTGTCAATTTAGTACTAAGAACAAGGAATGTCATAGAAGGAATGATAAAATAAAAACTGTAAATCATATGGTTGCCTCCTTTCTTCTTATGCAAATATAATTAGTAAAAAGAAGAAGAAAGATACACCATCAGTTACTATTTTTCTCAATTCATAGTGTATAGAAAATGTTAGATATGTGAATTATTTGTCAATAACAAATTTTACATTACTAGATTATATATTGGACACAGTTTATGTAGAAAGTATGTGAGCAGGTTGTATCTGAATTTGATAGGGTTATACGGCCGTATAACATTTTCTATACACTAGCCTGCTATGAATTGACAAGTTTATCACTCCTTCTATGTAATTCTTGTTCTTAGAATTAGTATGGACTCAGATTTATTCGTGACAGGGTTCCAATAATTTCGATTCCACCGTGTACATACCGACAAATAACTAAAACAGTATTTTCTCTTACTCATAAAATAGTCCAACCTTTGAAACCTATGTTAAACATTGATGGGTGTTATCTTTTTTCTTTTGCGCTAATTTCTCAACTTGAAATAGTGATAAAACGAATTATTAAGTTAAAATAGGTTTTTATGAAGGCGGTACATTAATATCAGGTGACCTGCGCATTACCTACGAATTTTAGATACAAATTCTAGTATGTAAGCCTCATTGTCTATGATTTTGTTCAAGTTGTTTACCGCTAGCTATAATAGATAATCATAGATTCAGGAAAGGACCATAGAGATATGTCAACATTCTAGAATGTCTATGGTCCTTTTCTAACCGCGCACAGAGGCGGTTTAAGCCACTTAGGTATTAATGACATTCCATACTTAAAAAAATATTATTATACACAGAATCTTAAAACTATAAATTAATTTTCTAAAGGGCTTCTGCTTCTAGACAAATGGCAATCGATTCTATCCATAGAATCGTTATTGAATAATGAAATTAAAATTTGTTATTGTCTGTTATTATAAGTGGTTTAGCATGTAAATTATTTTTAAAAAAAACTAGATTTTTATATTAAAAAAATAAATTGCTAGCGAGTCCATGAGACAGATTGAGTTGACATGTGCTGTCTTTCTTTCTCATGCGATCGTTGACCGAATCGATATTATTAATTAGATTCGTTTGCCAGATCTCTAGAATGGCTGGGCCCATAGACGACGTCAGGTCCATAGACTTTCTACATTGCCTATAGCCATAATAGCTGGTAGTCAAATATATATACACCAGCTTTGTTTGGCGACTATGCCTGCGTGAATTAAAATATAAAATTATGCTATATGTTAATCTATCCCTTTGCACTCGAGCTAAGTAACTCATAGAGGATACAAATAACTCATTAACTTATTAATAACTTATTATAATGTAAATGTACACATATCGGGGGGAAAGGGATTGTTAGCGATGGAGTTTGACAACCCCATTGCTAACAATATACCCTATTAGGTCGACCTCCACGTGGTTCCCCCTGGAAACCATCGTGCACATTTCTTGTTGAATTCTTCACGATGGACTAACTGACCTACTTCATCCTCACCTATAATCCTCCACTGGTGCCCCGCCGGTGTATACCGATAGCGCGGGCGGGGTTACCATTCCATTATCATACATAAAAAAAAAACATAAACATATCATAAACACTATAGGATAAACACAGACGATTTCACTCACTCAAGTGTTAAAGGCACCGAGTCAGTAAAACAACCGTGTCGCTGTAGTCGCGACAGTGGATTTAATCTTAGCATTTTAATATCGCAAATATGACAACAACGGAGTGCAAAGGGTTAAAATATGGTCTATTTGTTTTGAAAATTTCAATCAAATCCGTTCAGCTGTTTGATCCTAATTGAGTAATTAAGTTACTAATATATTTATAAGAATTCATATTAATCGTTTTATTATTATAATTTGAGATCACAGTCGATGGCCATATGCTTAAAGTAACAATATACAAAAAAAAAAAAATCGTCACATCACTATGAAAGCCAAAAAAAAAATTACAAAAAATTGTTTTAATTTTTTTTTCTTACTGAACGGCTGTATAGGCTTTGTCCTTTTATCCTTCTATTCGTAGGGAAAACGGAAACAAAAAAAAAATAGTTTGTTTCATTAGAATTATTTTTAACCAATCTGGGTAGAATAATGCCAATATTAATAGGGGTGTCACGACTGGTTGACGTGCCACTTAAATAATTATGCTAGAGTTGGCACTTGTAACGGATTTATATGAAAAACCAAAGGAATTCTTTAATCTATACATATAAAAAATTTCTTTGGACGGTGTTTACATTTTTTGTAAAATTTGATATGCGTTCATATCACGTAGTTTCCCATTCGACTTAGGATATTAGTCTCCTCGTAGGCTAGGGTTAGCCCATTTAGCATATTTTTGGTAGCCGATCAGTTTGTTTTAATAGAAATTAATGAAAATATAGACTAACATTTGTACCTGACCATAGAGAGCCTGCTGATGTGCAAAAGTAGTAGAAGTTAAAAATCTTTAAAATGATTGAAGACATGAATGGATGAAGGTGGTATGTCGCATTTTTAGATTTTTTTTTTATATACAACTTAGAATGACAAACAAGCTGACGGCCCACCTGATGGAAAGTGGTAACCGTCGCCTATAGACATGAGCAGTAGCATGAACATGACAGAGTATACTGCTTCGCCCATGATACCCCCATGCGTTGCCATTCCTGAGGACTCAGGTGTTACTTCTCCATACCCAGTAAACTCACGCCATATCCCACCCTTCAAACCGAAACACAGCCATGCAAACACAACTGCTTCACGGTTGAAACACGAATGGGACAGAGGTACCAAAGCAATCGACTTTTGTACAGTCTCCCTCTCGCTTTTCTATGAATGGGTGAAGCTGACAGACAATGCTGTGTACATATAAATAAAACTTATGTTTTGTTACATAACTTATGTTGTTGTTTAATTACATATAAATATATTATTTCTCAGTAAATGAGTTTTTAAATGATAAAATAATTATAAATGATTAGATATGTGTTCACTTCGTGTTGTGTATATTTTTAATGGTTTTATATTACAATGAATTGACATGAATAGATACAAAAAGTGACAAAATATTATTGCAAATGTATATATGTTATTATAATGAAATTATTTTAATGTTTTGTTTAATAAGTTTTTATATTTGCACGCCTACAGTGTGCCAGAATAAGATTAGACTATTTTTCTTGTAAAGTAACACTTATAAAAATGTACCTTAATCCAGAAAATAAATGATTTCAATTATATTTTAACTCGATTATTACAACTTATAGTTGTTAGTAAGCACATAAGACCTTCATCTGTGCATCATCTTATCGACTGCTATCTGTCCACTGGTAAACATAGGCCTTCCCATAGACAGCCATGATGGAACGGGTAAACGCAATGTAGGACGACTCCCACTAGATGGAGCAACTTCAACTTGCTACTTCGAATGCATTGCAGAAAGTCAGCGGATGCAAGTAGCTCAGGACCGTTCCTTATGGCAGTCGATGAGGAAAGCCTACGTTTAGCAGTGGACAGGCAATGACTGTTATGATGATGATGATATGTGATGATGATGTGTATGTGTGTGTATGTATGTGTATGTGTGTGTATGTATGTGTGTGTATGTATGTGTGTGTATGTATGCATTTTGCATATATAAAAACCGATCATTGTCATTACGCAAATGTGAAAACGATTCATGGCTTAACATAGATATAAATTTGATTATGTATTGACTGTAATTCATCTGTACGTTATCCAAAAAATAAATAAATAAATAAATATGATATAAGTGAATATTCTAAGATCGTATAGGTAACTTTGCTTCACCGAGTATCCAGTAATCACAGCCCCGTTGGCTGCGAGGAACGGAAAGATATGTAATGACTACCTTCAACCATTCATGTCTTCGATTGCATATTTCGAATTGTCACAAACATTCACAGGTTCACTGTCAACATTTAGAGTGATGATTTCTACAAAATTTGGCAACTTTTCATTTAAACTTTTGTAACAAACTATAAGTACTTAAGCACGTGGGTGTTACGTAGTCTACAGTGGCACGTTAGATCATAATTAAAATATGGTTTTCGCAGTAAAGTGACAAAACAGTCTGCATATGACCTGCTCTTACATAGTAAGTACATATTATCCATGATCTGTACATTTCTTTACATCGGACACTGCCCCACGCAGTGGACAGGTTTCAGTTCTCCTTGGCGTCCTTGTGGGCCATCGCTTCGCCGGTTTCGAGCTGTTTGAGCAGCCTGAACAGCGCCGCTGCCTCCCTAATACGACTGAACTCGATGCAGAACGCTTCCACTTCTATGAATAGCTCCTGAAAGATAATTATACTTGAATGAAACAACGAGGGTGGGAGAGGTGTTTTTTTTATAATGGATGATAATAAACTTAGAGCCTTTGAAATGTGGTGCTGGAGAAGGATGGAGAAAATTGGAGCTGGAGGGATCGAATTAGCAATGAGGAGGTCCTGCTTAAGGTTAGGGAAAAAAGACAAATTATTAGAACTATTGAGGACAGAAGGGGAAAAACGTTGGGACACTTGATACGACACGACCAACTTATGAACATTATAATAGAAGGTAAGATAGAAGAAAGGAGAGGGAGAGGGAGACCGAGACATAGTTACATCAGGCAGATCAAGGAAGGAGTTGGTGTCGTGTCGTGTCAAGAGGTGAAGGGGCTCGCTGGAAATCGTAGAGAGTGGGAAGAGCTCCACCGACAAGAGCGCAGCTCTTAAATACGATAGATAGATAGGATGATAATGGTATGGTAATCCCGCCTGCGCTAACGATATACGCTGGCGGGGCACCAGTGAGGGATGATAGGTGAGGATGAAATGGCAGCTCAGTTAGCCCATGATGAATACACCTGGAATGCAGCACGATGGTTTCCAGGGGGGATCACCATTTCATTACCATCCATTGAAGATAATTTTGATTGTCATGTCATGAGGCTACTGCTTGGAGCCTAAAATAAACATATTTTTGATGCTGCGTAGGATACAGTGCGGCTGGTACCTTGACGTTGATGATTTTGTTCCTGATGAGCGACTGCAGGAAGACGCACACGAGCCGCACGAGCCGGTTCTGCATGTACCGATCGCGGATCGTCTCGCATGTAGAGATGCAGTTGCTAATGTACAGGTGCACGAAGTCCACCGGCAGGTCCACCGTCGTAGTCAGCCTGCCATAACATTATTTACAACATGTCAATACAATGTATTATTATTTATTTAAACTTTAATGCACAGTAAAATTCTGTGTACATTTGGCGGACTAAACACCGGACGGTGTTCTCTACCAGTCGACCATTGGGCAAACAGAGAAATAAGTAGACGGTTATTGAATAGAGAAAAATTTCTTTTTTTTTTTTGTAATTCTTATTATTTTATTTAAAAATTTATACACAACAGGTTATAGTCAATAATATTACCAGACATGTAGCCATACACATAGCATGATTGAAGCAGTTGGCAAACAATGAAAAAATGTTTTAAATAACAATGAATTAACAAATATATAATATGGACATGCCAAAGAAACTTGACAGCTGTTTGTAAAACGTTTTGAAGGTATTAAGACGCGAATTGAAGATGTCAATTTGAGGATATTTAGCGGATATTTCAATAATTTACCAGAGGGAGTCTTTGTACAAAAGTCGATTGCTTGGGTACCTCTGTCCCATTCGTGTTCCAACTGTAAAGCAATTGTATTTGCATGGCTGTGTTTCGGTTTGAAGAGTGGGATATGGCGTAAATTTACTAGGTACGGAGGAATAACACCTGAGTCCTCAGGAATGGCAACGCATGGGGGTATCATGGGCGAAAAAGTATACTCTGTTATGTCCATGATACTGCTTATGTCTATAGGCGACGGTTACTACTTTCCATCAGGTGGCTCGTCAGCTTGTTTGCCATTCTAAGCTGAATAAAATATATATATAGGGCAAAGTGAGTAAACCCTGTTCTTAAAAATGTGGTTTGCAACTATCACATTTATCTATATTAACTAATTAACGGACTAACTAACTAGCGGAGTAATTTATTAATTAGTTTCCATCTCCATAAAGTTCCCTTTGTAACAGAGTTCAGTATAAAGTATACAATGTGCTAACCTGTTGACCACCTCCATGGAGTGCAGCGACATCTCCATGTTGACGAGTACGCTGAAGTACTCCGTGATGTGCTGCGAGTGGATCAGCTTCAGCAGCACGGATATCGCCACCATCGGGTTGTTCTCCACCAGCTCTGGCAGCTGCAAGTCAACCATATGCATTATTTCTTTTTTATTATTATTTTTAATAAGGAATTTCGTGACTGACTCTTGGCCACAACAGAATATCAGTGTTTTGCTCTTTTGAGGGCCAAGCAATAAACTGAGTTGTGACCATTTTGTGTTACTACGGTACACGCACGAAAGAAGAAAATTGTTGTTTTATATATTTTGCTTTTTTTTCATTCTTTTATCTCTTTTTACTGGATATGCCTGTATTATGTGTAAGTTTGTATTGTTATTTGTGTGCTGTAAGTAATGCAAATAAATTATCTATCTATCTATCTATTGGCATTTATTTATTGGTACATCCACTGTGCATATGTACCTATTATTCATTATCAATTTATACAAACATGTTAGCATATGGACACCAGTTAAAGATTTACACAACAATGGCTTTATATTATTCCCAAATTCGTGTATAATATAGTATATATCATATATGTGTAAGTATATTTGTTATTCATATATATTTATTCGTTTATATATGTAATTTTAGTATGTATGTATATCAATAATTAGTAGTATCGCATTCGAGTATTCTGACACTTCCCTGTGGTTGACTAGGAGAGAATGCTTTTAGCATTAAGTCCGCCATGTACACATATTTGTACTAATAAATAAATAAATAAAAAATGGCTACATAATGATCATTAAATTCAAGCGCCACTTGAATAAATTTAATATTGGTCTTATTCAATCTATGTATATTAGCTGAAACCAAATCAGAATTTTTTAACATCTCTGTAAATTACTGATGCCCATTAATTCCTCTCTCCATGTCTAGGGTAAGTAGATAAAACTTTATTTGGGAAACCAGTGCAGGGTACAATAGGGTTGATATACTTGAAGAAGGTAAAAGCCCATAATAATAAAAAAAAAAAGTCCACCGCTGAACATAAAAAGAGGAGTTTTGCCAGTAGTTGCCACGCTTGGAAGGTGGGCTGGCAACCGCAGTCAGGCTTTGATATTTTACCTTCTACCTTTAAGTTCCTTTAAGTCATTTATGACACCCACAGGAAAGGGGTGGCTTATTCTATGCCGGGACCACAGGGGCTTTATAATAATCATAATATGTGGAAATAGGTAAATAAATTATTTGCACTACATTTGATTTTAAGAATTCCAGTATAAGATACTGAATTTTCAAATGGACTGAACAATAATGTAGTAATAAAAATCGAAAAAGGAATGTTGCATAGGTTTGGCCATTTGGAGAGGATAGATCAAAGAATTATGAAAGAGATTTATCGAGCAAGAATGAATGGGGATGTCGGTAGGGGCCGCCCTAGACGGACGTATGTCGACCAAATAGGCAACCAAGCCGATGGCCCTCTCCAAAATGAGGAAGATCCTCATTTTAAAATTTAAACACTTAGAGACTTTGTGTTTTTACCTGAGCGGGCGTGACCCCAATATCATAAACCACCTTGGGGTCCTGGTCCAGCAGTGACAGGAGCCGCTGTTGCTGCATCATACTCAGTGGGTTCTTCAGCGCCATCTGTGTTAGTTCCCTCGCTTCAATCGTGGTGTTGACGACGGGCTCTTTCTCTTCAGTCTTCTTCTCTTCGGGTTTTTCTTTTTTCTCCTCCTGATTCTAAAAGAACAAAATGTGACAATAAAAATAAATAAAAGTAGCCTTTATTCCTGATTTACAGTTTCTCTTTAAAATTTTTTATTCATTCATTATCCGTTCACTGCTGGACTTAAGCCTCCCCCATAGACTGCCATAAAGAACGGTCCTGAGCCACCTGCATCCACTGACTCCCATTTCAGGTCGTCACTCCATATAGAGGTTGTCGTACACTGTGCTTTGCCCGTACGCGATCGCTACGCGTTTAAATTTTAACCGTCGATTCATTAAGTTTTGTTTTTGACTGCCTATGCAGTGAATTTACAGGGTACAGAGGAATAACACCTGAGTCCTCAGGAATGGCAACGCATGCGGGGTATTTTCGAAGAACCACAGTCCCTCGGCATAGTGTTATTATTATTGTACGGTACCGTCCACATCCTCGCATATAAATCAGTTTTGTGTTCTATTATTCTCAGGTAGCATGGGGGGAGGGGGGGGGGGGGGTATTATGGGCGACACAGTTTACTCTGTTATGTCCATGGTACTGCTCATGTCTATAGGCGACGGTTACCACTTTCCATCAGGTGGGCCGTCAGCTTGTTTGCCATTCTAAGTTGTATAAAAAAAAATTACTAAACGGATTTAACTAAAATTTGATGAACAGCTATATTCGATATCCTTTTGTGTAAAAGAGTAACAAACATCTAACTATCCTAGCTTTCGCCCGCGACTTCGTACGCGTGGCCGAGACATATTTAGTGACCGTGGTAAAAAGTAGCCTATAATCCATAGTATGGGGGGGAAGGGATTGTTAGTAATGGAGACTGAGAATCCCGTTGCTAGCAATATACCCAACCAGGTCGACCTCCTCGCGGTTCCTCCTAGAAACTATCATGGTTAATTCCTGATGAATTCATCATGATGGGCTAACTGGCCTGTTTTCATTCTCATCTATTACCCTTCACTGGTGCTCCGCCAGCGTATCGTGTTAGCGCAGGCTGGGTTACTATATCATTTTCACCCAAAAAAAAAACCCATAGTATGGATTGTGGTCACCCATCCTAGTTGTAACCACGTCCGGGGTTGCTTAACTTGCATTAGCGTTACGACCTCTAAGCAACTTTTCATTGTATTATATACTTAAATTATAATTACCAATAATACCTTCATAAAGTTTCAGCCAACTCAACTGATCGGTTATTTTATAGCATTTTTATATGTGATTCTTTAGATTTATATAACTTTTCTATTTATGAACTAATTGAAATAAAACAAACACCAAATGTTAAGTGGAACAAATCGCAACGCATTAGTGCAAAACCACATTTAAATCGGTTAAGCCTCTTCTGAGATTAGCGTGCACAAAGGTACAGACAAAAATTCTAAAAATCATTGTTGCGGGTTCTATTGCGTTTATAAAGCCCTCCCATATAATAGTTTTTCTTATATATCTTCCATATACAGACAGCGACCAGTTACGATTTTATTATACGAGGTTTGTCCGGAAAGTACGTATAAAAGTTTTTTAAAAATTTTATTTTACAATTATTCAGGTAAATCAATTTTATCCCCTTCAAAGTACTCCCCCTGTGACATAATGCACTTGTGCCAACGCCGTTTCCACTGTGAGAAGGCTCCTTGAAAGTCCTCTGGTTGTAGGTTTCTCAGCTGCCCCGTCGTAGCTTTTTTTATCTCATTTATGTCCCCCAAATGCCGCCGCCGAAGTACCAATTTGGTTTTTGGGAACAAGAAGAAGTCACACGGGGCCAAATCCGGCGAATCGGGGGGGTGTTCGGTCACCGTAATGGAATTTTTACTCAAAAACTCACGGACAACAAGAGAGGTGTGGGCAGGGGCATTGTCGTGGTGAAGAATCCAACGCCCCTCTCGCGCCAATTCTGGACGAACTCGTGCCACACGAGCTTTGAGGCGTCTGAGCACATCGACGTAGAATTTTCCATCAACTGTCTGGCCTGGAGGGACGAATTCTTGATGGACAATCCCCCGAACATCGAAAAAAACAATCAACATTGTCTTGACATTTGAGCGGGATTTTCTTCATTTTTTTGTTCGTGGTTCCCCGGATGTCTTATCGAATTAGATCGGCAAAAATTTCACGGCCATTCTTGCCGAGTTTCGAGAGAAACTTGATTACGACGCGCTGCTCTTCAACGGAAGCGGGCTCCATGCCGACGGGGTTTCGTTAAGAGGTAACTTCACAGATGGCGTGACAAGCCAGTTCGCACCGCACGGCGGTCAGACCAGAACTGAAGCATTGTTAGGGACATAAGGAAGGGGTCCTGCGCTTACCTGGCCTCCCCACTCCTCTTTCTCGCATTCCAGAACACTTTTATACGAACTTTCCGGACAGACCTCGTATGTATATATTTGTTTTCTCCGTACTAATTGTTATATATAAATATATCAACATATGCTGTGTTTGTATATAAAAAATTTGTTACACTTAGTTCTAAGCTCCATAATTGTATAAATATTTACACTATCTTGTGGAAACAATTGTTGGTGAACCTAAATATATAAATATGTATTGCATAACATACAAAAGTGTATAAATAAGTATAAATCTACTTGAAAAAAAAATCCCTTTTTCGTACAAAACATGTATTGGTATAAACGTACCTTATTCTTGTGTTGTGGTTGAACATGCGTCCGTCTGTCTGTCCGCTCTAATTTAGCTCCGATGAGCCCCTCGCAGTCCGTGTCGTACACGGGAGTGTACACGCCTCGGTTCACCAAGTTCTTCCATACAGCCTAATGGATGAAAATAATTTTATTTTCTTAAACAAAAATATACAAAAATAAACATAGACTATGTTAAAATAAATAAATAATAACTGTTTTTATTGAATAATAAATTAAATTTAATTAAATCTATTAGCCACAGAACTAGGCTGAGCCTGTATAACTATCCACTGATAGTTAAATAACTTCCTTTGACTTAAATATTTATGTATATATTTAATTATATACCAAAGAGACTTTGTACAAAAGTCGATTTCTACCATGATTTTTTTTTCTATACAACTTAGAATGGCAAACAAGCTGACGGCCTACCTGATGGAAAGTGGTAACCGTCGCCTATAGACATGAGCAGTACCATAGACATAACAGAGTATACTGTTTCGCCCATGATACACCTATGCGTTGCCATTCCTGAGGACTCAGGTGTTATTCCTCTGTACCTGGTAAATTCACGTCACATCCCACCCTTCAAATCGAAACACAGCCATGCAAACACAACTTGACTGTGTTTCGATTTCGATCGGGATATGACTGTAAATTTGCTTGTGAAGCTTTCAATGATAGCCCCGCCTGCGCTATCGGGGCTATACGCTGGTGGGGCACCAGAGAGAGAGAGAGAGAGAGATGATAGGTGAAGATGAAAGCAGGTCGGTTAGCCAATCGTGACGAATTCCACAAGAATTAAACACGATAATTACTAGGGGAAACCACACTATATTTCTATTAACGTCCCCATTACTAACAATCCCTTCTCCCCCCCCCCCCCCGGCCCCGTATATATACGCGTATGAACAGACCTCATCAGAGAAGGGTATCTGGTCCGGCTGCAGCAGGAAGGGCGGCGGCGGCACGGGCCCGGCCGCCCGCAGCGTGCGGTGCAGCGGCGCGTACTCGCTCGACATCATCGCCTCTAGCAGCTCCTTCAGGGCCAAGCGGTTCGGCGGGCTCCTGTAGCGGTAACAAAATTACATTCGGCTTCGCATGGCTGCAATGTACACACAATACGAGTATTATGGCAATTATTATTATAGCTTTTTTATCCACTTCCGTGGTCCCCAAGGGTAAAAGCCTCCTCCATCTTTTTCCACTTCTCCTTATCTATAACAATACTTGTCCAGTTTTTTCCTGCTGTCTTTATTATGTCATCTGCCCATCTCTTTCTTTGCCTACCAACATTTCTTTTTCCTGCTGGACCTCGCCATTTTGTTGTTTGGAGAGTCCACCTTTTATCTTCGTACCTCACTATATGACCTGCCCATCTCCACTTCTGTTTCATACTATACTGAAGAGCATCTGTTATTTTGGTTTTCTTCCTAATATCAGTGTTTCTTGTTTTCTGTATTTTTCTTAACTTTAAGATACTTCTTTCCATTGCATGCTGACATGATAGGATTTTGTTCTTTATTTTTTCATGATGGCAATATGAAGCATTAAATAACTCATCATATTAGCGGTTAACTGTCCAGTGCTGAACATAGGCCTCACCCATAAGGAGAGTTTTGCCAGCAGTTGCCATGTTTGACAAGCAGGTTGGCAACCGCAGTTAGGCTTTTACATATGTTTTAAGAGGGACGCTGCTTCCTGCCCCTCTAACATTAAGTTGTCGCTTCTTATAATACCTACAGAGAAGGGGGAAAGGGATTGTTAGCAATGGAGTTTGACAGCCCCATTGCTAGCAATATGCCCTATTAGGTCGACCTCCACGTGGTTTCCCCTGGACACCATCGTGAAAAATTCTTGTTGAATTCGTCACGATGGGCTAACTGACCTACTACATCCTCATCTATCATCCTTCACTGGTGGCCCGCCGGTGTATACCGATAACGCGGGTGGGGTTACCATTCCATTATCACCCATTAAAAAAAATACCTACGGAGAAGGTAGGGGTGGCCTATTCTATGCCGGGACCACACAGCGGTATTACTATTGTGTCTGTCTAAATAGCTTTCCAAATTTCACATAATTTGTATAATTTTTTAAACAATAAAATGGTTATAGGAAGTTATCCTTACATTATAGAATGCCATAACTGACTTTTTTATAATTCTAACAAAGAGGAACATCATACATTATTTTGTTACTTGTCAGCATTTTCAATGAAAGTACATAGTCGATTTTATTTCTTCCGAATCTTTTTTTTTTATACAAATTAGAATGGCAAACAAGCTGACGGCCCACCTGATGGAAAGTAGTAACCGTCGCCTATAGACATGAGCAATACCACGGACATAACAGAGTATACAGTTTCGTCCATGATACCCCCCATGCGTTGCCAAGTATGACTCAGGTGTTATTTCTCTGTACCCTGTAAATTCACGTCATGGTGGGATACACCATTCAAACCGAAACACAGCCATCCAAACACAACTGCTTCACGGTTGAAACACTAATGGGATAGAGGTACCCAAGCAAACGACTTTTGTACAAAGTCTCCCTCTGGTAAACTATAAAGTTATGTGTAAAACTGATATAAACGGTGGGAAGCGACTTTGTGTAATACGATGTGGAGAAGAATGCATACCCATCACTGAGGGGCACGAGAGCGGGCACAGTGGCCCGCGCCATTGCTGTCATCTCCGCGATGCGATCAGTCACGATGGCTTGCAACGACGAGTAATCAAAGTCTAGATCTTTGGCGGTAACCTCAGTCATCATCACTTGTTTTGCCGATTTCTTCATCACCTGCAAAGTTACACACATAATAAAGTCTGCATTTTTTCACTATTCACGAGCTTTTACCAGCGGCTTCGTCTGCATGACCGTAATGTTTTTTTTATACAACTTAGAATGGCAAACAAGCTGACGCCCCATCTGATGTAAAGTGGTAATCGTCGGCTATAGACATGAGCAGTACCATGGATATAACAATACACTGTTTTACTCATGATACCCCCCATACATTGCCATTCCTGAGGACTTAGGTGTTATTCCTCCCTACCCTGTAAACTACTGCCATATTCTACCCATTAAATCGAAACACAGCCATGCAAGCACAACAGCTTCACCGTAGTAACAGAAATGGGACAGAGGTGCCCAAACAAACTACTATTGTACAAAGTTTGCCTCTGGTAAATGTACCCTCTGATACTCATGTTTCTGTTATGAAGCAACTGTGTTGGTATAATTGTATTTTAGTTTGTAGAGTTTTTTTTATGGATGACAATGGAATTGTAACCCCACCTGAATTATCATTATAAATTTTTATTTTGGGGGGAAAGGGATTGTTAGTAATGGAGACTGAGAATCCCATTGCTAGCAATATACCCAACCAGGTCGACCTCCTCGCGGTTCCCCCTGGTAACTATCATGGTTAATTCCTGATGAATTCATCATGATGGGCTAACTGGCCTGTTTTCATTCTCACCTATCACCCTTCACTGGTGCTCCACCAACGTATCCTGTTAGCGCAGGCGGGGTTACCATACCATTTTCACCCATCAAAAAAAAATATCATTGTACACTGGAAGGGAACCAGTGATGAATAATAGACCAAGATGAAGTACGTCAGTTGGGCCATTGTGATGCCATGACAGTGAAATAATAGGATTTAGAGGAATAAGTCCATAGTCCTTAGAAATAAGAATGAATAAGGAATTAACAATAATAATACATGGGAGGCACAGTACAATATCTGTGATGATTATGGCTTTTTCCATGTCTATAGGCAATAATTACTATTTTACATCTCATTACATATGTCATTCTCAATTAAAAAAATATAGTTTGGATGGATCCATATGGGGACCATAGTTAAGCAATTCTGTAAATTACTGTTTTGTAAAGATTATTATAATATAAAAAATTTCCTTACATCCTTAACATTCACAGGTATGAATCCATGAATCTGACCGAGGAACAGCCGCTCTTGTGGTGTCAGTGGCTGCAAGCCAGGCCTGCTTTCCAGCAGGTGCAGGAACACTGAGCAGAATGGGTTTTCCTGTTTGTACATATCAAACAGGAGTGCTAGTGCGACCACACGTTGGCCGGGGAGCGAGAGGTCACCACCAGTTATGAGGGACGACAATACCAGACATACTGAAAATAGAAACAAATGTCAAACAAACAACCTTTCACAATTATATTATTATCATAATATATCTATCTATACTTATAATAAATCTGTAGAGAGGTCAATTCTGTACATGCAATATATTTCCAAAATAACTATCAGGGGGTGATTAGTGATCCATACTAATGCCAAAAATGCAATCAGTTAAATTTTTGTCTGTCTGTATGTTTGTTATAGAAACAAAAACTACTCGACGGATTTTAACAAAACTTGGTACAATTATTCTTCATACTCCGGACCAGGTTATAGTATACTTTTCATCACGCTACGATCATAAAAACAGTTACATCATCATATCATCCTTTAATTGTTCACTGCTGTTCATAAACATTCCCCATAAGGGGAGTTTTGCCAGTAGTTGCCACACTTGCCAGGTGGGTTGGCAACCGTAGTTAGGCATTTAGAGATGTTTTAAAAGGGACGCTGCTACCCATCCCTCACTTTCCCTTAGTCGATTCTTACGACACCCACGGGAAAGGAAGGGGTGGCCTATTCTATGCCGGGATCACACAGCAAAGGTATTTATTTGTGTAAAATTTTAAAAATTTAAAAAACAAAACAACTTACCGTTAAAATGTTCTGATTTTGGAAACCGCTTTTGGACTTGGGCACTTATAGAATCTAAGCCTTGCGAATCCACAGTCTGTTCCGAAAATAAACTGAAAAGAAAAACAAAGTTTTAAACAACATTCAAGAACGTGTGAGGTTATATGGGTGAAAATGGAATGGTAACCCCGCGAGGGCTAACGGTATACACTGAATGGGGCACCAGTGAAGGATGACAGGTGAGAATGAAAAGGCAGGTCAGTTGGCCCATCGTAATGAATACTCCTGGGATTCAGCACGATGGTTTCCAAGTGGGACCACGTGGAGGTCGACCTGACAGGGTATTTTGCCAGCAATGAGATTTATAGTTCACATTACTAACAAACCCTTCTCCCCCGAACGTAAGAGGTTATCTACATTACTTGTTAATTTACTTACTCTAATATATATTTACTGTTCTCATTTATTAACTGCTGTGACATTTTTACTGTTTTATTAATAATTCGAGCTTTAAATGACAAGATATTATTACGTAAAAGTTAATTATTATGAAAATTCATTTCAATAACAATACAATGTTAAAAGGAGGAAGACAAAGAATACACAAGTAAGCAGCAACAAACATAGAGTGATTCCGATTTCAAGTATAAAAAAAGGCTGAAATCCAGTGTGACCATTACATTAATAGCGAATGAACCACAGTTTGGGCAAAAAATCTGCTAAAATCTGCCACATTTGCCGCCATATATATAATTACTATATTATCAATGTATTAAACATCTGATATACTTATTATTAATTTATCAATGACATTTTGTGATTTACATTATGTAAATTTTATGATAACATGAAATAAAGTGAAAACATAAAACAATTATATTGTAATAGTGGACAACTGTGATTGTTACAGCCTATGCTGTAAATACTGTAAATGACGTAGTGAAATAACTTGAAACAGTCATGCTCGCTATAAAGTTCAAACTTGTGGCGGCGTGGTGGGCCAGGTCAATGTGCTCCTTCTAATATGGTTGTGTGCAATGATGGCTGGCTCATCCGTCATATTCGTGAACGGGTGCTGCTTGTAGGGACAGGTCTGTTTGGGTTACAAAAACTGATTAGACTATTTGCTTTTGCAATAGCATATGCTAGTGGTCATTCTATTCTCCTAAATTTGAATTTAAAAATGAATCTATATTATTGTAAACAAATATAAAATTTATTTGAAAAGAATACGAGCCGAGTTTCTTGTCAGCTCTTCTCATCTCGAAATCATTCCGAACTGATAATAAATTTGACATATCATAAAAGTCTGGAATAGACCTACATGAATAAAGATATTTTGAATTTGAATATTGCTACATATTATAAAATTTCTTTAATCAATCAAAATACTTAGTCTACGTATCAATATTTGCATCAAATTTTTCTGTAATCTTGTTTAGGAACCTATTCCTTATTTTTGTTTTATTTAAATTCACCTGAGAGAATATTCTTTCGCACGAAGCGTTTGACATGGGCAAACATAAAGCTTTCGCAAAATTTATAATATTTGGATAATTTGTACCTCTATTTGTGTCATGGACTTTTTCCAATTGCTCCCCAAAATTTGTTTACACTCAAAATTGTGCTGATGTTGCTATTTCCTCCTGATTCTAACAAATCTCTTACATTTCTATTAAATTTAATTTGTCAAAATTCGTCATCAGCTTTTGGAATATTGTTTTCGTCTGCTGTGTTGAAAAAATGTAAATCTTCTTGGATTCCTTTAAATCTGTCACTTTTTCAAATTATCAGCATAATCTGCCACAGACAAAATTTTGGAGCGAAATGTGCTAAAAAAGCACGAATCTACCACAAATGGTCACACTGCAGAGAAAACTAAAGTTAGGTACTCTGTAGAAAGTTAAAATGCCGCGTTAAATGTCACGTGTGCCAAATTGTAAGGCGTGTACTACATAAAAGACAATTTTAAAGCAGAAATTTAATTAAACAATGAATTTTTTACATTGATTGAATTTACTCGCATGGTAAATCCATATTTATTTTTTTAATAGTTAAAGTGTTTTTAGTAGAGCAAAATATTAAACTATTCAACTCGTGCTTATCCGAAACGGCTTGGCTGACTTTATAATTTTTTTTATGTACATTTTGTAGGTATGAAATTTTTTTTATGGGTGATAATTAAATAGTAACCCCACCCAGACTATCGGTATACATCGGCGGTGCACCAGTGAAGGATAATAAATAAGAATGAAGCAGATCAGTTAGACCATCGTGACGAATTCAACAAGAATTGTTCACGATGGTTTCTAGCAAAGGATATTGCTAGCCATGAGGCTGCCAAACTCCATTGCTAACAATCTCTTTCCCCCCTAGGTATGAGAATAGGTAGTAAAGTATATTTCATACTGCTAGGTGATTGAGGTGTTCCTAGTTTATTAGGCAGAACGATTCCCGGGTTAGCTTGTTAAATAAAAAAATCCAGGCCAAGTTGACTTTTTAAATTTGAATTGAGAATTATTTCTTCTGAAATTATATAAATATCCATATGTTCCTATTGATTATAAATTAATATACATGTATAAATTAAAATGATGGTCATTTTCAATGACTAAAACGAAAACAAAGTGTATAGAGTCCTTTTCATGAAAGTAGTCCCCCAGACGCAGCGCTGTAGTCGCGTGACATAATGTTGCCATTTATGAGTAAAAAATTTACCTATTTTACATTTAGCATTATGTAATTTATCAAATAATACTATTTCTTGCACACTTCGATGAAACAATATAAGCTCTTAAATTGTATTAAGAAATAAATACATTTTAATTTCATTACTCAAGCCCATACTATAACATTAGTGAAACATGTATGTTTCTGATAAGTCAAAAGTATATTTGGGCATTTTTATCAAAATGTCTACCAACCCACCTCATACCTCATTTGAAACTATTTAATAATAACACGACACTTACAGAGTAATAATAACGTTAGTTTTTTGGACTATCTATTATTGCATGGGTTATCCCAAAAGTGGGTTGGTAGACATTTTGATAAAAAATGCCCATTTGCCTATATTTATTATATTTCTGTTATGTAAAAAGTATATTTTTTATTTAATTATATAAGCGGTGTAAAGGGTAAAGAAAAGCATTACAATTTTTAATTCAGTTTTATTGAATAATTGTGATCAGCGGTCATAGGAACATCACTGTCTGAATGGAAACAGTATCAGATTCTGTTTCAGTTATGTATTTGTTCAGTTTTGTCGCAAAAATATGTTAATACTTTTTGGTTTGTTCAGAATTTATATATATATATACTCTTTATTGCATTAAAACATACAGTAACAACAATAAGTTAATAACAATGTTAGCAAAAGCGAACTTATCTCTAAAAGAGATTTCTTCCAGTCAACCTAATACTGTGGCACATGGCAATATATATATATATATATATATATATATATATATATATATATATATATATATATATATATATATATATTGTGTTATTTGTTTGAACCTTATAAACTGTATAAGTGAAATCTACTGACAATTCCGCTAACTCTGTTATGTCCATAGTACTGCTCATATCTATAGGCGACGGTTGCCACTTTCCATCAGGTGGGCCGTCAGCTTGTTTGCCATTTCAGTTGCAAAAAAAAAGTAATTATTTATTCGCCTCTTAAGACACCCTCAGGAAAGGAAGGCAATTACAAAGTATGGGACTATAACTCTATAATCATAGGATTGTTAACGCTTCCAAAGGGATACTCTTCATGTACCTTTTTTTGTGCCTGAGTAGTACCCTCGTGCCTATATATTAAAAGTAAATATATATATTAAAAGCAGAAGTGACACCAAAAAAGTTGTCTTTTTGTTGAGAGGAAAATATAGCTAATAACAAACATTGGAACTAGACCATTTACAATGAAGCTCATTACTGGAACATTTTGTAAATACTAGTTTTTACCCACGACTTCATCCACGTGATCGGGATATATTTACTGACCAGGGTAAAAAGTATATATACATATATACTTCTTTATCCGATATAGTACGTGAATAGCAAATTTCATAGTAATTGGTTAAAACGTTAAAGCGCTATAAGATAACAAACAAACTCACTTTCACATTTATAATATTAGTAAAAATTATAAAAAAGATGTCCTGTGTGGTCCCGGCATAGAATAAGCCACCCCTTTCTTTCCCGTGGGTGTCGTAATAGCCGGCTAAGGGAGAGCGAGAGATGGGCAGCAGCGTCCCTCTTAAAACATCTCCAAAGCTTAACTGCGATTGGCAATCCACTTGCCAAGCATGACAACTACTTGCAAAACCCCCCAGGGGGAGGCCAATGTTCATCAGTTGACAGTAAAAAAAGACAGCTGATATGATGACGATGATGATAACATAAACACTAATGTTTATTTTATCAGAATTAATTGAGCTCATCACGTGATAAGGGTCAAGACCCTCCATTGTGTTAAGTGAGGTACAATGTTAAGGTTTTCGTTACGCAACTTATGCAACAACGTCAGAAGTATATGTTGTCATAAACTTTTATTTATTTATTTAATACAAAAATTACCGGCGGCTTCGTCCACGTGGTCGGCATATTTTGATTATCCAAGATAAGTAACCTATGTCCTTTTCCATGCCAAATAGTACACGTGATTATACCAAGATGATTAATTGAGCTGTTAAGCCGCCGAGAGGTAACAAACAAACTGATTTTTACATTTATAATATTAATCTTTTAGTTGTCTATCAAAGCACTTGTTAAAATATTTGTTTAGAGTTTAGGCGGGAATGAGTGGCGGCCATTTTGGTCGCATTATTTCTAATTAGGTATACTTACGTAGTTTTTTTATTTCCTTTTTTTTTTCAAGTTTATAATTGTTTATGCTTTAGTTATAATTGTTATTGGTATGCACCAAATGAATGGATAAATATTTTTCTTTCTTCCTTTCTAAATTGTTCAATTGCAGTTGAAAATTGTCAGACAACTACGAACTAGCTACGCTCTGGTAAGATTCGGTATGACCTTCTTAAGAAAATTCCTCTAACGATGTCATTAAATAAATAAAAAAGTAACCTAGTTTTAATATGAAAATAAAGAAAGAAAGAAAAATAATTTATTTAGTAACATACATAGACATAATAAAAGCTAACTATAAAAACAAATTCGAGTCACTGAAAAGGCTCTTACTCAGCACGTGTCGGGAGTCTTTACTGCTCACAGATGCTGATCTTCCGTAAGATACAGAGAGTGCTGTACGCAACAATGAAATTAAATAACAAGCAACAATAAGACAAATATTATTATTATGTTAGTATATTATTATATTTTATTATTATTATTATATAAAATGAATGGTATCCGAGATTGAGTGGTATCCGCGTGATGGAAAAAGAAACCGAGGTAGACCAACAAGAAGATGGGAGGATGATTTGCCGAAAGGCTGGAGACAAGCTGCAAGGAATCGTTACCAATCCATAGGTCGCTGGTTCAAATCCGGCTCGAAGGACCATGTCATGTTTAGGATTTATTACGATGTAATTTTTGTAATAATCAAATTAAAGACGGAGACTTTTATATTTACCATATATTGTATGACTTTTATAACGAATA